CATCGATGTGGTATGACGAGGTCTTCTCCTGCGAATGAGCCAACCTCACAGACGATGTCTCTGTCTAGATGGTTGCCGACGCGGAGGGTAAGAGATTGGGTAATATGGGTACCGGAGTTAGGCATAGGGGTGCCGTCAGCCTGTATGATAATGAGAGGCTTGGGTCGAGGTTGAGTTGGGATCTTTAGACGATGGACACAGTTCCAGGACATAACCCAGTCCTCTGTTCCGCTGTCTAGGAGTGCGTTGACTGTTTCTGCATGTTGGGTACTAGTTGCGGGGTGGTTCCAAGAGATCTCAATCTCAAGGCGGGTTTCTTGGTGATGTGAAGACATATTCGTATGTTTGAAAAGTGTAAGGTAGATTGTTCTTGGGTCTAAGTAGGTTGATGTTGATTGTTCTTCTTCTGAGCGCGGGGCGAGGGAGTTTATATAGAAAATTCGGGCGTTGATCAAATCATAGTACAACACTTATGCGCCAGGCGTTTTTCGGAATGTGACCCCGCTTCTCGAAATGTGTGTAGAGAGGATTTAAATTGCGCAAAATAACAAAACCGATAGAACATAACATAACCCGATCCCTTAGAAAAGTCTTTCTTCCAAAACAGAATAGAAAAGCCGTAACATAACATAGAATAAAACACCGCAAAAATAGAAATACCCAGTCAATTTAGTCCTCCAAATTCGTAATCCTTGCCCTAAATGCCTCATTTTGTGGCCCCAATTTCCGTTTCTTATCACCCTCCCTTCCGTGGTCCTTTCTCCCGGAAGGATATTCTTTTCTCTTTAGGTTCGTCAACCTGACCTTACTCGTTGCCACGCAATCCTTTACGAAGTGGTTATCTCTACCACAACGGAAACACTTTCCTTCTTTCTGCCATTTCTCCTTCTCTTCTTTGGTGACACCTAAGTCATCCGAGGTCTTGGAGTTGTTGGCTGATGCGGAAAAAGTTTTCCGAGGATTTGCGTTGTTGCGCGATTTCCGCCGTTCTGTTTTCTCCTCGCGAGGTTTCACAGAGTCTTTACCTCGCAGGATTTCTTTCCGAGCCTTCACCTCGTGGTCCTTGCGTCCGACTTTTCGTACCCATGCTAACCAGTCCACAAAATCACTAGGTTCCTCAATCGCATTAGAGAGCCGTTGTTCCAGCGAGGAGTTTATTCCTGTTAGGATCATGGATCTCATGACAACTGGTCCAACTCGTGCGTCCCATTCTAGGTTCTGCATCTCATTGATGTAGTCGTCGATTGGGCCAGTTTGCCGGAGTCTGTCCATCTTCTGCTTGGCCTGTTCCTGACTCGTGCGGTTGCCGTATTGGGTACGAAGTTCCTGCTTGAACCGTTCCCAGGTTCCGATACTGCGATCCACAGCTAACCTCTCCGTAAAATTCCGCCAAAAGTTTGCCGCACTACCGGTAAACTCGAGGGATGCCCACATAATCTTAGTGCCATCATCCCATTGGACCTTCTTCTGGAGACTGATTAGAATCTCCATCTGGTCGATCCAGAGTCTTACGTCTTGATCGGCTCTTCCGGAGAAGGGGATATTGGCCTTTTTGGGCGCATCACCTATGGTGGCGCGAGGGGGGTGCGAGGGTTCTTGCTCTCGTTGGCGCCTTCTTTCGTGCCTTCGTTTCTTACGTTCCAGCCGCTTGCGGCGTTCGCCTTCCGAATCTGAGGAATCCGATGGGGATGATCCGGGTGCTTCCGGGGCGTTACCTCCCTTATTACCATTTCCGTTACCTCCACCTTGTGCTCCTTGACTTCCTTGCTTCCCTTGTTGGCCTGGGTATTCGAGGTCTTCACTGGATTCGGAGCCGGCTGGAGGGGCGACTGGTTGTTGGGGAGGTGGTCTAGGAGGTGGGCCTGATCCACCGCCACCTGTTTCTGGGGCCAGTGGTTTTTCCGCAGCCGCTTTACGGGCTGTTTCCTTCATCTGCTCCATCATTTCTTCTAAGGCCGTCTTTGTTCCGGAGAACCCATCTACCAAGGAGACCTGCTGCTGCATGGTCCTTTCCAATTGTGCTAGTGTGGCTGCTACGCCTTCTGGGACTTGGGCTGGACCATCTTTCGGCAGTCTTTGAATCCAGTCAGCCAGCATGGTTATGTGCTGGGCCTGCTCCTCCTGCCGCTGTTGGTGGGCCCTAGTAGTGGTGGCGATCTGTTCCAAGACTTGACCGAGGTTCGTAGTGGTTGCGGCTGTCTCTGCTCGCACTTGCGCGAGGATAAACCCTTCGCGACGCTCCCGTTCTTCTTGGTCCTGGTTGAACTTCATCTGCAACTCGCGGATGAGTCTGGTCTGCTCTTCGTGCTGCTGGGTAAGCTGCGCCGCATGCTGTCGAGTAATTTCCCTGATTGCGGGCAGGTCTTGGACGCTCACAGTGAGGTCTCCAAGTCCGCGGCTCAGCTGTTGAACCACTGGGGCTCCTCTCCGTTCGATTTCCTGCCCGATGATTTCTCCAAAGGGGTGCTCGATCCGGCGTTCCTCTACGTCCATATCCGTATCCTCGTCTTCGTCCGTTTCCCTGGGGCCCGAGGGCCTCGGAATAGAAGATCGTTCTCTGATTGGCGTTTTGTATGGGGAATAATCTCGATAGTTCCCTTGCCTGCGGGAGCGGGGTTGGCCATAGGATGCGGCCGGCTGAGTCAATCTGAAGAGGTCGCTGATCGGCATGTCCAGATCCCTCCTGTGGCGCTGTCTCGCCTGAGTCTCGACTATACCTCGATCTCTCACTGTGATTGAACTCTCCATATTGTAGTCTTCCTCCGATCGTTGCTGATGACCCCTTGACATTGCTAAGTTGCTCAATGCTGAGCTGTGGCTGTCTCCTACACCAGGGTTGAGCGATGAACCAAGGGACGGAGTGAGCTAATCCTTAGGATTGCTGACTGAGGGTGATTTTAATGGGGAAGAGTTCGGGATAGTTGAGGATCTCTGGGTCGTGTTCTTCGAACGTGCAAGTAGTACCTGCTTCGGCAAAAAACCCGGCGTACTCAAGGTATCCGCAATAGAGGTGTTCGGCACTGCCTCTGCGAACGACAAAAGAGGTGGTGCAAGTAAAGTTGTTGATAGCTGCTGTTGCTACTCGGGGATGCATACGGTATCAAAGAGTCCTTCTAATAGACTACTTTCTTATTCTTTTACTTGAGCGCACGGTGACTATCCGCCACAAACAAAATACTCTCAAGTATTGGTCTAAGCAAGTAGTTGTCTTATCGGGACGTTGATGATATGCGATCGGTAAAATAATAGCGTAGTGGATAAGGTACAATATAGTGTTTGGGGAAATGCCAATGCTAAGCGATAGTTCTGTAGCTTTTAAACTTGTAATATTGTAAACCGGATTCCGCTCGCTGAGTGACTGATGATGCCACTAAGACGAGGCGGAACCCTACCCTATTTATACATTTTGGAACCTATGCCAAGGCCCGCTTTCTAATACTAATGAGATAACGATAATAGAATAAGACAATCGACCCGAAGATAACCCCAATAGAAAAGCGCCCCCGCATAGTTCCGCTCCTCCATTCTAATTCCGACACGTAACCATAAACCCCGCAATTGCCAGTAACCGAGCTGTATCACGCTATTGTCCTAGAGCTACTTCCCTAAGTAGAATGGCCTGCAGCCATAAGCCCCGCTTCTATTCCGTTCCGGGTGAGACACCCAATAGTAAGCGTGCCCTCACAACAGCCTAATACTAGTGTGGTTGCACCCGGTGCCCCCACACCCCTCGGTACCTTTCTATGCTTACTCCTTTATTACCCGACCGTACTCGCATCACAACCCATCACTCATATTATCCTTGTTCCCTGACTTAGGAGCAGTGTTCGTGTTTCCTGTAACACCTCCGGTCTGCGTCGGGCCGGCTAGTTAATCCTGGGGTAACCAACGAAGCTTTTGAGGCTTTGCCTGCAGCAGCATCCGCAATATGCCGGGGTCGTTTCCTGGAAGCCCTAGGGGCCCTGGGAGCTTTGGCCAACTGGGTAGTGAAGTTGCATTAGCCTCTCATATGATTATTCTTTAGGATGATTCCGGAAGTTCTTACCACCCTTAGGAAATCGTCTACAGTCAATTCACGGCTTTCACTGCCAGTACCAGCAGTGGGAATGACTCGACTGCGGCGTCGAGACATGGCTATGTAGAGTAGCTAGGTAATCTAGACCCCTATGCTGTTTAAACTCGGATAGGAAGGGGATACAGCAAAACAAATGATTGCATGGATAGCTGCAAATCGTGATTAGTCGATGATTACATACATGTATGTAGTCCGGAAGAAGATTTCAATATGATTCGCGTTTTACATACAAGGGAAGCTTTTTCACCACTAGCAGGGGTTAGACTTTAAATTTACGGCATAGCCCTGAAAGCTTGAGTCGAGTGCGGACGTATCGGCGGCCGGTTGTACGACACGAAATCGCTACTCAGCGGATTTTGGCCCCGGCTCCTGCAACTGGCCAGCCACCAAGAAAACTCGCTACGGCCGAATGCCTCGTCGTTCCGTAATATCCGTTAGGTCCCCTTAAGCTTGGCACATGGTAGATATCTCGTACATAACTAGCCTGAACCCCAAGATTGATGGACCCTGAAGATTTCTGTCGATCAACAATTACTACTTTCGGTACTTATATATTGCCCTCCCCGTCCTCTACTTTTTAGTACGGACCCATATATCGAGGGAAGAGTAAAAACCTGAACCCCCAATTCAACTTAAATCGGACGGATATATCAGCAGAAAAAGCCCTCAACCTTGACGACACATGGATTCAAACTCAACAGCAATGGCAATTGCAATGGCGGTTGGTTTACCCTTATGTTCCAGCGGAGATATAGACCGATATCCAAGTACTCGTTCTAATGATTTGTAGAGCAAAGGTCCGCCATACGCTCCAACAGCAGCCGGTTTCGGGGGGCGTCCGGACACCAAAATTGATGTAGGCGTTTCAGCGCTCTTCATAGCTCTATTTGGGCTTTTCGGGATGCTTCACATGAGAATATTCAAAATGAATAAAGCAGCTGGCCACTTCTTCATCTTCAATGGCGTGTGCTTCGGTTTCTGCATGTCTCGTATCACCACTTTCGTAATGCGGATTGGTAAAAAAAAAAACTCGACTGAGATCAATCGTGTTTGGTTCTGTACTGATATTTTGTGGGTATTTAGAATGGGCGCAGAATCCAACAAGCATCAGTATCGCAATCGCTGCCAATGTTTTCGTCTCCGCGGGTGTTATATTACTATACGTTATCAACATGAATTTCTGCCAGCGTACAGTACGAGGATATCACCCACGCTTTTATAACAGCAAACTATTCAAGAATGTTTTTCTTGCGTATTATATCTCGCTCATCGCAGTCCTTATAATGGGTAAGTTTGTTGCCCCAAGAGTAATGTGGTTGATGGCCGGTACTAACCTATGCAGTGATTGTGACTACGGTACAATCATTTTATACCCTCAACCCCTCGGTTTTGAAGGCAGATATGAGTACGTTATATCAGCATCATTATTTTAATTTTAAGTTGCTGACAGACTTTGTATTAGACGTCCGGAAGTTCGGTGTCATGTGGTTCCTTATTTTCTGCTTTGCACCAATCCCGATAACTTTGACCGCAATTTTCATGCCCTCAACCACTGAACCGCAAAACTTCGGGAAGAAAGGAAGCTTGAAAACGAAAGCAATCACGGTTATAACCGTGTCAGCTTTTCTGAGTAGGCTCCCCTTGATATGTTTCGTTTCGTCGGATGTTTAAACTGATCCCATGATAGCTTTGAGTACCGGAGTTCGCGCTGCCTCAACATTAGGACCTTTACGTCCATCCAGCGACCCAGCTTGGTATAACAAGCGTGCAGCGTTCTATGTTTTCCTCGCTACACTCGAGGTTTTGGTGGTTATGATATTCGCCGTTATGAGGGTGGATCAGCGATTTTTTGTTCCTGGAAAGGCTGAAGCAGAACGTGAGGCTGATGCCGAGTCGAAAACATCCGAGGGAACCGCGCGCCAAGTCTGAATTCCGTGGGGGCTCTCCTATGTTTAGGTTTACGGCGTATATACATGTATTTTTGCCTTTTCATTCTTTTTAGCGTCATGACGTTTATTTGCCTACCGTAAGTTGATGTGAATCGATAAATATGATACCTTATTTGTACGAAGTACATACATGTATTCACAATAGTTAGAAAATAGAGTTTTGGAATAAAACAGCATTTACTACTAGCTTTTTAGCTTTTTGGACCTTTACGAGTTTTGGTCAAGCCCGGTGCTTTTAGCCCGAAAATAAGCTTCCAGGGGCTTGGATAGCGCCCTCGCTTGGACTTTCGCTGATCAAAGGTGGCGGTTACATACGATGAATGTTTAAAACGAACCAGGGTTGTGTGAGTCCTACTAGGACTTGGGACGTCGTAGAGTATGTAATCTACATGTGGTATTCGATTCCCCGGCGCCAGAACGAGACACAAACAACTGATTGATCACGAAAATCTAGAACTGCTAGTAATAGATCAGCAACAGAGAGGCAATTCGAACTGTAATTGTAGTCTTGTAAAAGACGGTCACGTAGCCATGAAGCCCCCAAAAACCAATCTTATACTTGCGGTACTACCGATACTTTGTGTACCGATCATGAGCGTCTAATGTGTTGTTTTGATAACCTCGTCCCGATTGATTCAGAAACAATCGATTCTCAAATCGTTTTCGTCACGTCACATGCAAAAGCGGCGTTAATGGATCACCAAGGCTAGGGGAAAGGTGTGCCAAGGTGCAATTGAGAGATTGGAAAAAGCAAAAAAAAATAACCGGTTGACATACAGGGGGCAGGTATTTTGTGTTTGCGATAGACCCACCCGCTTGACGCGTGCGGCGATTGCTTTCCGAATGCGATAAGAGAGATAGGTGCGGGCTGCTAGGAAGGACGTGGGAAGACCAGACAACCGAAACACCACTGGCATGGTTGGCCAATGGTAGGGGAGATAAGGGCGATTTTCGCGTGGGACACGCAGGCTGAATATTTGGGAAGGGGGTGGCCAGCATCATTGGTTTAGTGGGTGGTGTAGGTGGTGGTGGTGGTGGTGGGTATGATTAGCGACGATAGAGAAGGTGGGTTGGTGGGAGTTGAGTGAAGTGAAAGCAACAGATGGACAATCGCAATGGGGATTTGCTGGTGTGGGGGGAGACGTCAGGCAGGCAAGTCGGCATTCGCCCAGATGATGCACCACCAGTTTATCAACTCTTGCTGCCACTGGTAGTGAGCACATACAAGACTCTATGTAGCAAGACACACAATACATGTGCGTGCTCTAGAGTATCTGTTTTCTGGGTATAAAACGAGTTGTGTGTTCTAGATATAGAGCTCCATAAATTTGAATGACATAGCTACATGAGGTCTCAGAAGCTTGACTTTACTTGAGTCAGCTCAGCAGCTTCTGGTCCAGACACAAGATTGTGTCGCAGTAGTACCTGAAGTTGACCGTTTGACCTAATCCTAGTCCTTACAGCCAGTAGATACAGCCATACTTGTAGTGCCGCAGGCTGCGTTGCGTCTCTGTGACTCTCAAACACACACCCGGTATCATTTGCTGTATATGTATGTAATGTATGTATTTTTACCTACCTGAAAGTACCTCCCGCCATGTATCTTGCCCTATCCCTTGGACCACTGCCTTCTGTCTCTTAATCACTGTCCTCCTACCCTCCTCCCACTCTCCTCCTCCAAAGTTCCTACCGCTACATCATCTATCACTCAAGCTCCTCTTCGCCCTACCATAATTAAACATCCTCGACTCTTTGTTGCAGTGCACCCCACCGTCACCACTTCCTGTAATAATCTTATAACCGGTGCACCCCAATAGCCCGATCTAGTGGTAACCCTCCGGCAGAGAAAGAGAGATCATCGTGAAAACTTCAAGGTTCATAGCACGCTTGGATTTCACAACTTTACTTTACTGATCTTCAGACTCCCATCACCAGTAGCAGCTACAATGGCTGCTGTGCTCATTCGACCACCAAGAGACACTCCCACCCCTCCACCGATGCCTTCGACCACTACATCAGCTCAGCCTCTTTCAGTGCCCGGGGTATCTTCAACTACCCCGATTTCAATCCCGAATAAACACATGCCGGCCGTGGGACCGAACTATTCAAATCCCGTTACACCCCCAGCTTCTCCTCGTTCAGAGAACTCTGAAGAAGCGAATGGCTGCATGAGCTCATTGCTATACCCAGCAGACGACTACCCATCTGTTAATAGCTCTCCACCAGTTCGTGCTATTGATGCTGCTGGAGTTGCGGCCTCCATGAACTTTACTTCAAGACAGCCGTTGCCCAACATCAATGATATATTTCCTTGGGCTCATGGACTTCATCAAGATAACAGCATACAATTAGCTTTCTTTTTTGCCCGGAAAAGGGCAATGCGAAGGGCCCCCACTTGCTACCGCGGTGTCGTTGTGGTAAAGGTTGGAGACCAGACACATTCAAGATTGAAGGGTTCAATTGCGCCAGAAGAGATACTTCACCCAAGTTTGACTGAGAATGCCTTTCTTAATATCGACCCAAAAGAAGGGTTCAGTGTTCGGAATTTCCATATACAGGTTGCAAAGTTCGCCTGTTTATCCGATATTATCGTCTATGGGGAAGAGGACGAGGCTGGTCAGGCGGAGGTTCTAAAAATTGCAAAGCGCATCTCAGCAGCTCAGCTCTACTACAGAGCACAATTCCAAGGGAGCTCTAATCGCGAGTTCCCAATATACAGCACGTTCATTATCAAAAGTAAGACATAATTGACACCAGCCATTATTTTAAACAATCATATGTTGATATTATCAGGTCCATTCTCCATGTTTGAGAAATTCTTCCCAGAGATTGTTACTACCGATTCCAATGGTCGTTTGACAGGACAAGTTATCGATTTTTGTAAGCCAATCTTTTTCAAACAACACAGTGAGCATATAATGACTTTTCAGGCCATTGGGAGCGAGTGGAAATGTGCACGATGTCTAAAGCAACAGAGTTTTCCAAGAATGTTTGGCTAGGACCAACTGCAGATGCTGGAGTGCCTTCTGGAGATGATACACCCCGTTATAACCTTCTTATTGAGGCCAGTGATCAAGCAGCGATGCCTTCAGTAGAAACTCTCGGGGATTTGCATCAGGTTATGGAGAGCACAGAAACGACGCAGGTACTTGTGTTTCCAGGATCTGGTACTATGCAATACGCACCGAGATATTCGACGGTTGAGATCGATGGTATAATTGACACTTGTCGCCTCATCCACTCTCTTGCAAACGGGAGTCAAGCAGATGAAGATCACGACGATGACGGTGACCATCTTATGACTACTCCACGAGAGCCTCGAAAAATACTTATTCATTGCACCGATGGGTATACGGAGACCTCTCTATTAGCTTTGGCATATCTCATGTACGCTGAAGGACTCCCCGCGCACGCAGCATGGGTCACTATGCACACCACCAAAGGCCGCAACTTCTTTGCCTATGATAGGGATCTTCAATTTCTCAGACATATCGAGAGCCGAATTCTTGAAGCTGCGGCCGAAACCAATGGGTACTGTCTGAACTATACAGCTTTGACACCCCCTGAATGGATTCATCGTCTAGATGGATCACTACCCAGTCGTGTTCTGCCCTATATGTATTTAGGAAACTTGCAACATGCCAATAACCCCCAGATGCTCGCTGCTCTGGGGATCAAGCGTGTCTTGAGTATTGGCGAAGAGCTCTCGTGGACTGACAAAGAGAGGCATACCTTCAACAAAGAAAAAGCAATGGTTGTTAGGGACTTGCAGGATAACGGATGTGATCCTCTAGAATCACAATTTAGGAACTGTTTGAATTTTATTGGCAAGTCTATGCTGTTTTGCTTGCAGGAGTGCTATGGCTAATATCTTATTCCAGACGAGGGGCGTCGTGCGAATGAACCAATTCTTGTTCACTGCCGGGTCGGTGTTTCCCGTTCCGCAACTATCTGCATTGCTGAGGTTATGCGGGCACTTAAACTTTCACTTCCTCGGGCATAGTAAGTTCCTGTGGTTTCTGAAGTACAGGATAATCACTAACATAATGGCAATAGTTGTTATGTACGGGCACGCCGTCTCAATGTTATCATCCAGCCACATCTACGCTTTATGTATGAGCTACTTAAATTCGAAGAGACGATGCCATTCAAAAATCGACACGGTTCTAAACGCGAGTTAGAATGGCACCATATTGCCCGAGAAGTTGCGACTATGAACCGACCATACACTCGACAAAACTGACTACCGTTAGCGGATCAGGACCTGCCCTGCTTAAATTTGGGCGATAAGACCGGGATTAACATAAATAATATAGCATCTTCCCTTTACTGCCTTCTTCTTGTAATTCTTTTTTTCTTTTGTTTGATTCTATGACAGCTTGGCTTAGCTTCTGGGGGGTTTCTTTCCTTTTCCCTTTCCTTCTCGGTTTCACGGCTTGGATTTGAAAATGGTCACACGATAGCATTTGTTTTTCTACGCAATCGTTTCTTTTTCTTCCTGGTTGTGCCTGTTTATTTCCTTTTATTTGCCCCGCACTTCCCTTTTTAAGGTATTTTTTTTACTGTCTGGACAATGGGCGTAGGCGTCACTCGTTTCGGTTCTGAATAACGACGGATGGTCGAAGGAGTTTGTTTCTTTTTTTGTACTCTATGATATTTTTTCTTTTTTCATGTTTCCCCCACCTTTATTTTTATGACACCATCCGCCTCGTGGCAGACATAGGTTGATATGGGACTTTCACTTGAGGCTTCGTACGAAATCTCCTTCCAATCTCAAGAAATACATTTTGATCAGTTTCGCAGGCATGCAATTTGGGCCTGAGTATTACTATATATCCTTAAACAAAGTGGAGATTTCTTTTCAGATGCTGAGCTCTCGGTGTTATCTGCCGATTTTGAATTCAATATTTGCTTCTTCAATTGGTTGGCCCCGGTAGTTATCTAAACTACATGTAGTCCTTGCAAATTCTTTGTTTTTCGGAACAACAGGTTGTTCTACTTGATTTGTGATAAGTTCCCTACAATACTCACTTAGGTCCTTGCGGGAGAAAAACATCACTTGATTGATAGAACAGCTATTCAAATCTATTGCCCCGCTGTGACGCGCCCGTCCGATGTTTCTACGATCAGTTCTCACAAAGCTCGGACACAATGCCAGTGTGCCCTTTGGTCCGATATTGTCCTACCAAACCAATTTCCAGTAACACGGTTCTTTACAGCGGCACCCCAGACACAAAAGAGAGGCACACAAGACTTCTCCAGCACGCAGTCTCGTAAAGAATCCCCATAACTAACCCCTGTGTTTTAATCCAGTCACGATGGGACAAGGAAATCAGATCATAAACTAGGGAATATCATAACCAAGATCGGGGTAGATTGACGTCAAGTCCGTGCCCCGAAAGCATTGTACGCACTTTTACTGGCCAGGAAGGTGTGCGCAAGGAGGATTATTATGCACTGGAATCCTAGCCTCTGAACTATGCGGGTGTAGGGAAGATCGATATGTGGAGTTGATTAGTAGGAATGCTATGAATGCGGGTCCAATTGAAGTCGCGGGGGGTGTGTGACTCGCAGTTCTTTGCGCGCTTTTGCACGCACGGCCCTCGAGTCCTCCACAATATATCCGCATTCTTCGAGATCTACCGGTGATGTCGTACGTCAGGTCTTTTGGTGGGGTATGGTGGTGGGGGGACGTGGGAAGAGAGCAATAATAAGAAGGCTTGGTGCGAATTTTTATGTTTACTTGGACCTGTCTTGTCGCGTATATACGATCAGAATAAATTGATTTCAATCTCCATCGGTATTTCAATTTCGATGTTATTCGTGTAGGGCAGTGAAGTGCGAAGTGCGCTGGGCCCGAGAATTTAGAGTAGCAGCTAGGGTGAGGCGTTGATACCCGCCGCTTTAACATGCCGTTGATCCCACCGGGTGGATCCGAGATCGCTGGCGCCCTGAATTCTCAAAAGAACCGCTTCGATATTTCCACAACCTCTGATCGTACCTCACGACGTGAGGAGTTTCTAGTTGTTGGAGGTTTCATATCGATAAGGAAGCGCACGTACCACAAGTCATGTAACTACATGTATGTTTAGACCTGAGGGGTGCTTGGCATTTTAAGCTTAAACTGGTTGGAGAGGGCCGGGATTCTACCTTCCCCACTGAAACTACCGGATAGGTTTATCCGAATGGATACCGGCATTTGTTTGGTTTTGAATTGATGGGCCCTTGATCTATCGAACCGCTTTGGGGCCTGTCATTTGGCTGCTTGGAATTGAAACTTAAGCATCATGCCGTCCTTTAGATTGCACATTAGGAGATATTCAGAGGAGAGGGCCAGTATCCTTTCATTTAAAGCTTGCACTTCAGACGCTTTTCTGGGCTCTGATCAGGTGTGAATCTGTGATTGCTGTTGAGGCTACCTGCCTCTTACGCATGATGGGAATGCAATATAGATATCGAAGGCATATCAAAAATCGGGTTTTCCACGTTCAAGTCCCTTGCCGGTGGCTTTACTGAATCAGGATCTTGATCCAATTACCACGTTGCTGCATGCGGCATAACGTCCCTTGCCTCTGAGGAAGGGGAAGCGTGTGCAGAAGATTTAACGTGATCGGATGAAATTATTCCACGAAAATGCAAAAGATACGGTACCTGAGGACTGTGGCACAATACTTTTGGTACCATGCTTTTGGGCCCTGAGGAAGGTATGAATTGATTGTACAGGGTGCGTATCAAGTAATGGGAAGATAATGATTGTATCCTTATCGTGGCCTTATCTACCCCGTACATAACTGAGTAGGAATCCAAGATAGAGACCTACATGTTGTGTAAATTGATAAACGTAGTCTTGAGCTGGACGTTGTTGAAGTCTTGGTCCCGTGCCGTGCGAGGATTTCACAGTTACCAGCGGGATTAAATGCACCTAAAAGCGTTTTCTGGAGCACTAAGCTCGATATCCATGTTACTTTATTTTCGATTGGTGATGTCTGAATTTGTGGGGAAATGATATACCACGCTCAAAAGTTCTTGGAAAAGCACGACGTTTGAGGTTGTGGCGCGTTCTGCACTGCTCACTGCCACACCAGCAGGGAGATCTCGCTTGCCCCTAGCTACATCTCCATCCGCCCTCACCCCCCAACGTCAACAATACCCCTCACCCCTCCACAGCTGTCCTGCTTCCGATTACCTTTCCGTGCCCCCAACTACTACTGTTCCTATCCATAGTCTCTCACAAAAGTTCGTTCTTCCATTTTTAAAACCCCCCCTACTAAAAACATCCTGTTCCATAGAAAGTGTGGTGGGCTTCCTTTCATCGTTACAAGATCCTTGATTACCCCCCATTTACAACCACCAACCCCACGCGACCGACGAAACCTATCCTCCTCCATCAACTGCTCGTAAACAACGAACAGAACCAAACCTTCACAGCCTAACCCTTTGATACATACTCAAAATGGACACCAAAATGGAAGATGTCGGGAAATCCCCACCGGCCTCCGCCATAGCTGTTGCCGACTCCTCCTCTTCGTTTGGACAGTTGGACGGATGGATCGAGACCTTGATGCAGTGTAAGCAACTGAGCGAGATGGATGTGCAAAGGCTTTGCGAAAAGGTACGTTATCAAGACTCGCTAAACATTCGGTAGTGAATCAGAGTGGTGGGGACCCTGAGGATGCACGTGGAAAAATGGGGGGGAGCTTATATTGCTGGTTGAGGCTCAGCTCGCTAACGTATTGAGCAGGCTAGAGAGATTCTTCAAGAGGAGTCGAACGTTCAGCCAGTGGTACGCTTTCTCTCGATACCCTGTAGGAACCCTTCTGCATGCTAACCGAACCCATCAGAGGTGCCCTGTAACGGTGTGTGGTGATATCCACGGTCAATTCCATGACTTGATGGAGTTATTCCGGATCGGCGGGCCCAACCCCGACACCAACTACCTTTTCATGGGTGACTATGTTGATCGTGGATACTATTCAGTGGAGACAGTCACTCTGCTTGTCGCCTTAAAGATTAGATACCCGCAGAGAATTACTATCTTGCGAGGTAATCACGAATCTAGGCAGATTACGCAGGTGTACGGTTTCTATGATGAGTGCTTGCGCAAATATGGAAACGCAAATGTCTGGAAGTAAGGCCCCTAAGCTTCTCGAGTTCTACATCCTACATCAAGCTTACATGAGGAACCAAGACTCTTCACAGATTTGTTTGATTTTCTACCCCTGACCGCCTTGATTGATAATCAAATTTTCTGTCTCCACGGAGGTTTATCTCCTAGCATTGATACACTTGACAATATTCGTGCGCTGGACCGCATTCAAGAAGTGCCCCACGAAGGGCCCATGTGCGACTTGCTTTGGTCTGACCCAGATGACCGCTGTGGTTGGGGAATATCCCCTAGAGGAGCTGGTTACACATTTGGGCAGGATATCTCTGAAGCGTTTAATCATAATAACGGCCTCACTTTGGTAGCGAGGGCGCATCAGTTGGTAATGGAGGGTTATAATTGGTCGCAGGATCGTAACGTTGTTACAATCTTCTCTGGTGAGACTGTTTTACCATAGCCCAAAGGTGATTTACTGACGGCATTACACTTTCTAGCGCCCAACTACTGTTATAGGTGTGGTAACCAGGCGGCGATCATGGAGATTGACGAGCATCTCAAATATACCTTGTTGGTTCCTCCTTAGCCAATCATCTTTGCAAAAAAAATATGCTGACACTGGATATAGCCTACAGTTTGATCCTTGCCCAAGAGTAGGCGAACCAATGGTTTCGAGGCGTACGTCCCGAAATCCCTAAACAGAACGAACCCAAGCTAATACGAAATGATACAGGCACACCGGATTATTTCCTTTAGACGCAGCCGACAGCCGAAAAGCAAGGTGGAAAAGAAGAATATACAGCGCGGACGCAAAGGATTCCAAAAATTAGCTCGAATAAAATCATGCTGTACATACCTTCTAATTGCCATTCGACGAACGACAAAGCAGCAACCCTTTTCAGCATAGCCCTTCATGTCTTTTTTTTATGTTTTTTGTTTCTTGCATCGGGAGTGCATCGTTTGAGAATGGTAATTTTGGTGGTTTTGATTCTGACGTCCTTATTTTACCCTGATTTGTGTCTAGATATATGTTGTGTGAGAGTCGCTGTACTTTTTTCCTGGCTTCTGCTTCTCATGTGTTATGAATGTTCGTTGTATCCGTTCCCGTGATTGTTGTAGACGTAGAGGGGAAAGGCTCTTGATTCCTATGGTTGAATCTGGTGTTTCCATAGAAGCTACAGTAGTCTTTTCGTCGTAGGGATTGGCTTGGCTCGGGTGTTTTGTCCAGATGACATAAGAGAAAAAAGATTGAATTGCTTTCTACAAGAAAAAACAAAAAAAGGGACTCTACTGTGTTACCGCTTCTAGTATATCCCGCTGCAACCGCCCCGAACTAACCTACAGAAACCTCACAAACCGCATTGTTCTCGATTTACATCCGTCCGTTTTTCGTCCCTGACTCCCTGGTCGCCTTTTATCCGAATGGTATCCTTGGTAATTGTTTTAACCGATGACAAGCTTGCCCTCCTCAGGGAAGCTAATAAGAGAAAAAGAAATATTGATTAGCTTTGGTCCAGCATTGAAAGGGGTGAAAGAACATACTCGTATTCTGGAATCTCAAGGTTGAGTGGCGCAGGACCACGCCTTATACGGCCAGAGATATCGTAGTGGGAACCGTGGCAAGGGCAGAACCAACCACCAAAGTCACCAGCCTCACCAATGGGCACACAACCTACAAACCCGAATTATCAATAACAATCCATAGCTCATAGAGAGGTAAAGAGGGGAAGAAAGCCGAGTGATAGGATAGGTAAAACATACCCAAGTGGGTGCAGATTCCCAACATAACGAGCCACTCGGGCTTCTTGACACGTTCGGCATCGGTCTGGGGGTCTCGCAGAGACTCAATCTTGACGGCGTTGGCCTCCTCAATTTCGTCGGGTGTTCGGTGGCGGATGAAGATGGGCTTTCCTCGCCATTTGATAATGACCTATACATTTTTTTTCGTCGTTTAGCGCGGATTAACTCGAATTGAAATTGAGTAAGATTAGGATAGTAAAAGTCTTACGTTCTTGCCCTCGGGGATAGCAGTGAGGTCAACTTCGACCTTGGCCATGGCCAAAACGTCGGCCGAGGCAGCCATGTTTACCAGGAAATCTACCGGCGCACAGCGTCAGTTATCGGACCATCATCATCAAGATAGCATCATCCTCCGGAAAATTGATCTCTCTTCCTTCCTTTCTTTCCTGGTCCCCAGTTTTCTTCCGCTTGTAATTCCCCAATGTCTCTTTGCCGCCACATCGAATTTATCCTTCCCCCAACTCAACAAGCTTAACTGACAACCTACCTTGGATAGTAGCCTTCGCCCCCGCCGCCGACAACACTCCCATAGTACCAACCATAAAGTAGCCAAACAACTTGTTACTATTATAGTCACCGCCCTTGTATTTCGAGAAGTCGGGGATGCGGGTAGTGTCCTTCTTTCCGTTGGCCGCAAAGGGGGACTTGTAGTCGCTGCTTTCGAAGGTTGAGATGCTCCTTGCCGACAGCGCCGCCGCCGCGGTGCGGGGCACAATTGAGCGCGTGGCTGCTCGCTGGGCGACGACCTTGAGGCAGTTCATTGTGACTGAGTTTTCAGATTTGGTGGTGGAGGGGGGGAGGGGAGGGGAGTGGTGATGCTGGTGGTGTGCCGGAGAGGGGAGATTTTGCGTGAACTGGGTGTGAAAATGTTTGGAGGGGGAGAAAGCCGGGTTGACGTTCGGGTCGGTTTCGAGGCGTCTTAGTAATCCTGGGTTACGATTGGTTGGGATTGGTGGGATCTTATCTTATCTGATGGTAATATAGAACCCATTCGGACGAAAGGCATCGGGGCGATAGTGGTTCACGACTAATTGTTTATTTGGGTATTGTAGGTACAATTGGAGATGGGTTGAAAGATTCGGTTTGGAAATGGTGTAATGCGGAGTTTGTATGTCGTTAAAGATCATCGGGTACCCACCGGTGATACATGACACGGTTGTTCTGGGGGAAGGATGAGAGCGCAAGCTGTAGATATGTAGGTGCTGATTCGATTTGCAAATGGAAATCTATAGTAATAATGGGGGGTAATGAAATAGCTAATTGAATGATCCCCCCTCCTCAAAAGAACGAGAAAATAATTGTGTAAGGAAAAAGTATCCTCCACAATTTGAAACCTCGCCTACCCCAGGATTTCTGATGACAAGTGTAACCTTCTAGCCAAAAAAATCCTTGACGCATACAATAACGGGTTAGTAATGTTGGTGTGAGTGATCGTTCATGAGCCAAGCCCGCAAAAGTAAGACAGGGCCCGAGAATTGAATCAACGAGTGGGAAGCACATCAGCTCCAGTGTCCTGGAGACGAAAAGTGGATTGCATATGGCATTGCTTTAAATTAGTTTTCTTGAGACTTAGAACGTGTAAATTTTTAGTATCTAGTGGACGTTTTCATTGGCGCCATAGTTTAAATTTACACCGGAGCTCGGATGTAAAACAGATGTAAGTTACTTCATAAACAAAGAAACACACACTGAACATCCATCGAAACTATAAAAAAGACTCTTCTCCCCAGCCCAAACCATTGATAATAAGTACCTTTTGGCCAATTTTTTTTCCATAGTACTACTACAAGTTATGAACTTTCAAAACAAACAAAAAAACAACCATAAAACTACTACTAGAAAGAAAGAAAAAAAAGAGAAGAACCAGCAGCAGCAGAAATGTCATAAATTCATCCCCGCCCCGGCCTTCCCGCCCTTCCCATACTAAAAACAAAAATGGATATGTTTTTTCTCTACCTCATGCTTCTATAGGAGGCGTTGAGGAAAAAATCCTCGTCGCCAGTCATGTTCCCGCCCGCGGCGTCTCTTGTCTTTTTCTGCGCCTCCTGAATCTTCTCCGCCATGGCAGTCGTGTGGCTGTCGATCCACTGCAGACTGCTGAGATGGTCGTTGAGGATCTTGACGATTTGCGACAACTATTTTTCACATTCTCGTTAGCTCCATTCGTAACTCCATAAGCGGAAGAGAAAACCTACTGGATCGTCCGCATTCGTGGTCTTATTAATCGTTGTGCTAGCCTTATTAATATCCTTAATCATTCCCGCAAGCTCCTCGCCCATGCTCTGCAGCTGGTCATCCAGCTTCTCCGCCAGATGGTATGCCTTCTCGCGCTCCTGGTCAGCCGGCTGCATGCCCTCGACACCACCCATCTGTGCTTCAAACAGATCCTTGATCTGCGCCTCGTAGTAATCGAGCGCCGTCCCCAGCTCCTCTTGGTCACTTTCCAGCTGTTGCAGAACAGTGTCCATGCGGCCCTGCGTCTTTTCCGCCTCTAGAGTCTCGGTGAAGAGCGTCATGATCTTGTCACCGTTCTCGATGAGCACGCCATCCCATTTCTTAACCTCGGCAGCCTGAGTAGTGAATTCAGTTTTGTACTTTTCGAGGTCAGTGGTCCAGCGGGTTATTATCTCTTCCATGGACTTGTTCTTGAGGCGAGACTGTGGAGGTGGAGCGATGGAAGCGTTGAATGCAGCGGGGGCAGCGGCGGCCGGGGTCTGAGCAGTGGCAGCGATGTTGGTAGCAGCAGCTGGGGTTTGTGCAGCTGGAGTAGCAGCCTGGGTTGTGGCAGCGCTGGCGCCGCCAAAAAGGCCACCTGAAGGTGCGCCAGAGGTTGTAGGAGTGGAAGCCGCGGGAGCTGGGGTGGAGGTAGTGGGTTTGGGGCCAAAAAGTCCGCCTAGAGATGGAGCGGCAGAGGCAGCTGGCAGATCAGCGGGCTTGCTGGCAGCAGCTCCACCGAAAAGACCACCGCTGGAAGGAGCAGCTGAGGCGGTTGTTCCACCGAAGAGACCGCCGCTGGAAGGAGCAGCTGAGGCGGTTGTTCCACCGAAGAGACCGCCGCTGGCTGGTGCAGTAGACGCACCAGATGTGGCTGTAGGTGCGGAGCTGGCTGGTGCTGCGCTACTAGTAGCGGTAGTGCCGAATAATCCACCTGAAGGAGCAGAGGAAGCTGGCGTCTCAGCGGGCTTGCTGGCAGCAGCTCCGCCAAAAAGAGCGCCCGCCGGCCTGGCTGCGGGGAACAAGGACGAAGTTTGGCCAGTTGTTGGTGCTGGAGCGGCAGGAGTGGTCGATGCGGCAGGAGTATTGCCGAACAGACCACCGCCAGGGGGCTTGGTAGCTGGGGTCGTAGAGGCAGCTGCGTTTCCAAAGAGACCTCCGGAAGTCGTCTTTGTTTCTGTGGGTTTGGCGCCAAATAGACCTCCTGATGATGGGGGAGGTCCAGCAGGGGTAGAGCTCACATTGGAAGCCTGTGCATTGCCGAACAGTCCACCTGTGCTAGGAGCAGACGAAGTGCCTCCAAAGAGACCTCCGGAAGCAGGAGCAGAAGTTGTAGCGGGGGCGCTTCCAAAGAGCCCACCAGAGGGCTTTGGAGCCTGTTGAGCTTGTGATTGCTGTTGACCGCCAAAGAGCCCACCTGAGCTGGGTGCCGCCGTCGTGTTAGACTGTGCAGCACCACTAAACAATCCCCCACCCCCACTTGCAGCAGTAGCACCACTACCACCAAACAAGCCCGTTTTCACAGCTGTTGGTGGAGCACCGGCAGGTGTGGTAGAAGCCCCACCAAATAATCCACCACCAGAAGCAGGAGTCTGCGCGCCAAATGCGCCAGTACCACCAAAAGAAGGCTTGGCCGCGCCCGCACCACTGCCAAATAATCCTCCAGCTGGTGTAGCAGAGGCCCCTGAGGCGTTATTTTGGGCACCAAATTGACCGGAGCCGGTGTTCTGTGTACCGCTAGCTGGTGTAGCTCCAAATAGACCGCCAGTAGCAGTCTTTGGGGGGGCAGGTGAGCCGAAGGGGCTGTTGTTTGCCGCTCCCGCACCGGCGTTTGCGAACGAGAAACCGCCGCTGCCACCGGCACCGCTACTGCTGCCATTACCGCTGCCGAAGATTCCTGACATGGTGGAGTTGGGGTCGGCTTGCTTTTGTGTGGGCCGGGGAATTCACGAGTCGTCGTGCGACTATTGGAGACCTAGAAATTTAATCTAAACGGTCAACGAGCTGCTTATTGACGCCTGAGAAAGGGCGATTTTTCTCTAGAGCTTACTCACGCGTCAGGAGAATATAGTGATAGGGGCTCTTGTGGGAATTCAAGGCCTGATGTAAGTGTAGAGCGACTCGATATCTGATGTCTGTAGCTGAGTGGTGTCATTAATGTTTTCGTGATGGATGGAAGACGTGTTGCAGTAACAAGGTCTTGGCATGCACACTAGCCACCAGGTAGGGATAAATGTGAGCCGCGCGACAAACGCTTTCTCACTTTCACACCACAGTTCAACTTCAACGGATAGTCCTCAAAGTGGACTATCGAGATAATGGTTCTGAATACGATGGAATTTGCCAGATACGATACCCGCGCAAATTGATGCATTGGTACTTTACATAAGTCACATGCAACCATTGACACTGAACCAAAATCAAGGGAAGTAAACCCTTTGCGTGCAGTTAAACGGTTGGGACGTTACTTTTCAACGTCAACTATCGTATGGTAGCTACGCACACAGCTTTATGTTCTTCCTTTCCTCCCTCATCATTTTTCCAAAGCAAGTTGAACAAACGACGTTGGTCCGCTGGCCTTGGCATACAGTGGATTGTGCAGTAAGGACTGCCTCCCAGACCCCACGAGAGCTCGGGTTCTGGAAGCCCTATCCCATCGTCCGTCAGTGAAATGCTGACCCCCCGGAAAAAAGCAAGTTTTGTGTGGCTCTACTAACAGATCTTATTATCTCTCTTATCAAATAATAGATCTCCCATACAAATTTAATTCCTCTATTATAGGGGGGTCATGGGATAATGGGATTCGTGAGTTGGCCGGTTCTCTCCATTCATCTCCCCACAAGACTAGGACGCGTAATACAATTATTGGCCTTGTCAGGATTTATATAGGCTCGATATCTAATGCTCAAGGCACAAGGGAATATGAAGTTACACGATAGCTCAACTTCGTGAAATATGAGATTTGGGTTCATCTCTCGATTCACTGGCTAAATCTCCTCTGTGTCCACTCCAGGTCAACATCCATCCCAGCTGAACGAGCCATTGACTGGCATTCATCAACCTCATGTTACATCCCGATCATATCACTGACAGAACTCCGCAAGAAGTGGACCACCTCGAGTGATATATCATGACTGAGTATCTGCTCTAGCCAAAACTCTTGGCTAATTGCAAACTCGCATCGAATCATGCCCTGCATTACTTGCTGAATGTACTAGGAGAATTCAGACAAGATTATTGAGTGAATTCTGTCCGTAATGCGATGAATTGATTCGTAAACCAGGCTGGAACAAGCTCAAGTTGAAACTATAAACGGTCAGAGCATTTAAGCACCGACTATCGCCTGGTGGGCCGAAACATGCTCAGAATCTGGTGCTCTGCAGCCTTGGCAAATTTGGGCCAAAAGTTACTGTTTGTGGGAGTTTCTTGTTGAAATCTCAACTGCATCATTACCCTATATGGCAAGCAAGCACAATATGCAGAGCACCAGATTCCGAGCTTGTTTCGGCCCACCAGGCGATAGAGTAATATTGTTGGTGGTGATGATAAGGCCTATCCCACATAACCCGCGAACACATGTGAAGGAGTGATCCGATGGCCACACCACACACCACAGCAACACACCACCACATCACCCTACCCACCGCCAATACCATACCATCTCATCTAGACCATCGCATCTCCACCTCTCGTCTCTAGCCGTCAGCGCCTCATGGATGCATCTGTCCCGATGTGTGCGTATATCCTCCCCAGATCCAATGGCCGCGGCGATTCACCCACCTCCATCACAATCAACCGTAGTACAAAATTGACGGCTGAATTCCCGCGGAGCAAGGACAACGTGGATTTGGCTTGGTTAGTTGGCCACGTTAAAGTCAATGACCCGGTCAGGATAGAGTTGATCCAACCCTTCCTTTATATAAAAAAAGATATCGATTAATGGCCCCAGCAGTCTAGGCCCGTTCCCCTATCCAGCCAATCAAGTACTTGTGACTTGCCTCTAATTAGAGACTGGACTGAATTGGCGTACTGATATTTGGGCGAACAGTGTGGCCCATGAATAAAAGCCGGCTAAAGATTTTGACTCGAGCCTTGCAGGCTCAAAAGGTCACGAATCCGAGCTGGCTCAAGTCCAATAGATGGACCGACAGCTATTTAGCACCTCCATATGGATTTCACCAAGATTCTTCGAGGACAATCCGGGCCGACTGTTCTCGAGGAACTAATTTCGACTGAGGCTGACTGAGATGTCCCGGCGATTTAGCAGGTGGGCTTGTCTGATATATAAAAAAATTGTCAGAAGATACTAACGGAACAGATTACACAATTACCCTTAGCTCTCCTCTCCATGGCTCTTGGTTATATGAATACACCGACGATTACATATATTCAATTTGATCGATTCGGGTAACAACTCTTTCCAAAAAATCCTGCGAGTGATATTTCATGTTCCAAGCTAGCGCCTCTAAGAAGTGCATGCTGGTGTGCTTCTGGATTAATCCATAGTACTTCTCACGTTTAGATCGCTTTAAAGTAAGTTATTGCATGCATATAAACGTGCCTGCAGTGGTTTCATTGGCATTGCCTCCCTCCCCCGGGGAGCTAAGTAGCGAGTGACGATCTGTGATTATATGCTGACCTAGGCTCACTACAATTCTTTGATCAATTGATATACCCAAGGCGGGGAAAGATATCATTTGGACCATCAGCCCGGATCCACATGACATTAACTCGTTGGATACGGCAGTTATGATACTATGAGACACGGGGTTTATCACCAAATGTCGAGAACTTGAGGCAGGTCATGAAGAGCTTTTTGAGTCTTCAATCACTCATGATCAGTTCTTGATATCACGACTTTCTTATCTGGCTATTTTACACCATTGAGATCAAAACTAATAGTCCAAGGATAGTTCCGCGAAACTTTGCGTGGCACGATGACGTGTCAAGAAGACACATCAAAAGTTACCTTGGAAGGACATCGTGGAGCTAGTGGGTTGCCATTATAAATAGCAAGAACACAGGGAAATCAGTTGTCCTCCTCCCCATATACCGCAATGGAGATATGAACTTGAATCACAAGTTCTCACCACCAAATCATCACCATTATGATCGATTTCTCTTCCCTCCGAATTCTATGCTTACAGTATAGTACTTTCGTATAATATACACGCCTAACTAGAGTGGGGTGTCAGCAGTATAAGAGAAGAAGAAATCTACAAAGGAGAATTTTGTGATATACACCCAGCCCGTAGGCCTGCTCATCCAGGTCCTGCTCTCCGTTCTCCACTATGCAGAAAAACAATCCAACCAGCCATGCCAACAAAAACAAAACTCCCGTTTTACATCCCGCTCCGCCCGTACGTCCGTCCCTCATCAGACATAGATGCAAAGATTGAAGGTAGTAAAGAAACAAATAATAAAACAGAGTACAATTAGGAAAAAAGGAGGCCTCTCTATCTATTCAAAAATAGCCCGACGATAGCTGCCATGAAGGCCCCAAATGCTGCGCTATCAAGAATCCTACCCGTGAAATCAATCTGCCGCAACGAAATCACCATGAATGCTCCAAATGCAGCGCTCTCGAGCAGCGCAGTGGTAAACTCCACTCGCTTCAGTGCGATGGATTGTTCGCTGAAATAACCGTGCAGCTTTTCGTTCCAGTATTGCCATAGCTTCTTAACCTCAGTCACAAAGTCTCTCTCCCACAATGGCTTCTTCTCTTGCTCATCCTGCAATAAGGCCGCAACCTCCTCTACTATTGCCTCACCCTCTCCCGTAGCGGTAGTAGAAACGACAGTATCATGGACGATATCTTCTTCGAGTAGCACCGGCTCACCGTCTACTACGGCCGCTGTATCAGCTCCCATAGCCGTGTCAACTGCACCAGCACCACTCTCTCCGGCCATCTCCATTATTTGTTGTACAACCTCCTCGGGTTCAACATGTAGGTTCAATAATGCGTTTCTAAGTCCCTCCTCTTGAATCACATCCCTAACCTTATCCTCGAAGCTTCCAACCAACCGCTTTCTCTTCCACGGCTCTAACCATAGCTGAACAACCACAAATAACAAAACGTTAAAGCCCATCAAACCCCATGTAACCCAGGTACTTGCCCGGCGGATCTTGTCGCTCCAGATTTGCTCCTCGTGGTACCGCGAGAGTATGCTCCTGCTTAGCTTCGCCTGCATGTCGTCCACCACGCTCTCTGCTACAGCAAGTTGCTCCTGTGCTGCCACCTCGGCCTGTTCGTTCGCATGATCGGAGCGGTATAGCTCGGTGAAGCGTTCGAGGTCCGATGGCGACCAGGCGTGCTTACGTTGGAGGAGCTCATTGACTTCACGTTGGCTGGCAGAACGGCGGGCGATGGCAGATTGGTATGCTTCCTTTGCATTGCGGACTGCTTGACGGGAGGATTTGACGGCTTCCTCTATTTGTGGAAAGAAAAAAGGGGGAGAGGAGGACGGGTTTAGCGAAGGAACTGTCTCTGGTGGCTTTTGGATGCGATGGGGGTTGTCTTTCTTGCGTGCCTAGGGTGGGAAGGGGAAGGGAGGAAGGGGAAGATACCTAGGGCTTCAATGGACTTTTTGAGCGCTTCGATTTCCGAGTAGCCGGTTAGGACATTGAGTTTTTGGCCAGCGGTGAAGACAGCGATTTGGAGGTCTTCCATGGCCTTTGTAAGCTTCTTTGCCATCTCCGAGCGCCGAAGGTCCTGCTGGGAGGGTAGGTTCTTGAACACCGGGCTCAGTAGTGAGGATATTGGAGGTGTCTGGGGTTTTGGAGCAGAGGAAGAAGGGGAAGGGGAAGGGGAAGGGGAAGGGGGAGAGCGATCATTGGCTCCACCTTCACTTCCACCTGCCCCTCCTCCAGCAGCACTGCTGTTGTTGCTGTCACCGGGGGTGTTTTTGTCGCCGGATGAGACCCATCTGATCTGCTGGCTCTTCAATTGCAGTGGCCGAGGTTGTAGCAATGGGTTTCGCGTGCATGTTGGTTTTGTAAAAAGACACGAATTGGAGTGCAATTGCCGGATACTGCGGAGGTTGCACGGTGAGGCAGTTGGCCGGGCGAGTAGAATTGATCTTAAGAGCGGCCGCATGTCGCCGAGGCGGAGGGGAGAGATTGAGAGTGAGGGTGGGTTGACTGGCGGAGAGGAGGCGGCGGTCTGCGGGGATCCGGGGGGGAGGGTCCTCGTTCAATTGTTGGGCCGTACCGTATATCCGTTCGGTCGGTGTTGGGCAGAAGTGGGAACTGTCGGATGCGCTGCTTGGCGGTCTAGCTGTTCCGGGGTGTGTGGTGGGGGAAAGTGAACCCCTCCTATGACGCACTCGGGAGAGACAACTGTCGACGGTGTAAACAGTAACAAAATAGAGCGTATTTACTAACCATCAATTCTGACAATTGGCGCTTCGCCACTCTCCAAAGCGGCATCCACAAGTGTCATTTTGCGGCTTGCGCATTTTATATCCCTATAGAGGGGAAGTATCAATTTTACATTTTACAACCGTCAATTTCGAAGTGTCAATTGTCAAAAATGACACTTAGTAATAATAAGATTGTAGCTGAAAATAGACATTTTTTAATTACTACTCTGCATCATGACGAGAAGAGTATCTACTGGCGATTGTATCACTCGAAGATCTCTGCGTGTGAGAACAGAACTTGGAATGTCCAGGGTACCTGCCCGTGACGTTGCAGAAGATCAAGAGCAAAATACTTTACATATCATACCAGTCTGGCTGAAGTCAACGTCTTGGAACTCTCAACTTACCAGTAAAGGGATTTCCCTGTAAATGATCGACAGATCTGGACATCATGGATTATGCCCCTTCCCCTCTCTCGTACCGGTATTTATTCCGGGTCTGTTCCCCCTCTCTTCCTGGTTAGCATCCAGAAATCATGCGGTGTCTGTCCATTTAGCCAGCTATCCTCATCATACTGCTATTAAAGAAAGCTACCGCCATCACTTCATCTCAGCACCATCATTACAGCCTCTTCTTCTTCTTCTACGATAACTGTTAATTAGTTTAACCAACATTCATTATGGCACCCAAGCATAAGGCAATTGTCTTCTCCGACTTTGACGGTAGTCCTTCATCTCAGTACTCTCAGTAATACATCAAGGATAGACCAACTAACTGACTTTACCGTACCTCCAGGAACCATCACTCTCAAAGACAGTACGTCCCACCTCACCCCCCATTTCAGGCCACCAGCTAACATAGCCCCCCACAACCAGGCAATGACTACCTCGTAAGCAAACCCCCTCCCCATACCCGCAACCCCAATCTCACCCACCTACTAGACCGACAACGTCGGCTACGGGCACGAAAAGCGCCGCGCCGGCAACATCGAGATCCTCGAGCACCGCGTGACCTTCCGCGACGCCTTCCGCGAGATGCTCGAGTCCGTCTCGGTCAACAAGCCCTTCCCGGAGTGCATCGAGCTTCTCCGCGCCAACATCAAGCTCGATCCTGGCTTCAGCACCTTCTATGCATGGTGCCTGTCGCAGGACATCCCCGTGATTGTGCTCTCGAGCGGGATGGAGCCCATCATCCGCGCGCTGCTGACGGACCTTGTCGGTCCCACGGCGGACAAGATCCCCATCATCAGCAACCAGGTCAAGATCCACGAGGACGGCAAGGGCTGGGAGATTGTCTACCATGATGATAGCGACTTTGGACATGATAAGAGTTTGGCGATTAAGCCGTATAAGGACTTGCCGGATGAGGACCGGCCCGTGCTGTTTTATTGTGGGGATGGAGTGAGTGATTTGAGTGCGGCCAGGGAGACGGATTTGTTGTTTGCGAAGGTTGGGCATGGTTAGTCTGCATTCTCCTCTTCCCCTTCTATATCTTTTCCTTTGTTGGTGGTGGCTGATTTTGCGGGGGTAGATTTGATCACATACTGCGAGCGGGAGAAGGTCCCGTTCACGGTGTTCCACGACTTTAAGGACATCCACGAGACTGTCAAGGAGATCATTGAGGGCAAGGCCACGGTCAAGGAGGTGGCCGAGAGGCCGCAGAAGGAGAAGGAATTTGGGAAGGATAAGGAGATCCTGAATTAGATGAGGTGCTTTTAGAGTAGAACCTAGACTAGATTTGGCTTGCTTGACTCAACTGCTAGACTAGAGGGCTAGACAAATAAATTATTTGCCAAAGACTTTTCGTTCTCCGTGGCTGCGATTATTGTGAATAGTGTTAGTGGGGTTGGGATTGGGTTTGGTGGAGAATGGCTGGTAGTCGTGAATCCTTATTGGGGCATTGCCAAGGACGAGAATGGTAATGATAGTAGTAACAGCAACCCAAAATAGTCACAGTAATAGCAATAGTAACAGTAAAGAATACTCAAAACCCATAGCAATAGCTCAATAACTACATATCTACAAACTACAAACAAACCAATATCCCCCCACTACCTCACCCTCAACTCCACCTCCGCCTCCCTCTCCCCCTCCCCGCCCACCCCCTCCACCAGCACCTCTCCCCCTCTCCTCCTCCAAAAAAACACCCGCCCCTCAACCCACGCCGCAACCCGACACACCACAGCCCAAACCCGCTCCTCCCGCTCCGCCTCCCCCGCATCATCCTTCGGATGCTCCCTGTTCTCAACAGCGAACTGAAACCGCAACACATCCTTCCTCGTCACCACACCACACAACCTACCTCGATGCTCAACCAGCACAACCCGCGGCCCAACCTTCTTGAAGATCTCCATCACCGTCTCCAGCGGCAGCCGCGGATGCACGCACAGCGGCGTCGGGTCCACGAACTGCGAGAAGTCCAGCCCACCCACCCCCCCACCTCCTCCCCCTCCACTGCTAGCAGAGCCAGTCGCATTATCCGGGGGCGTAAACACGCACTTCCCCACGCCGCTGCGCGGCGCGCGGTCCAGCGCGAAGCGCAGCTCCGTGCGGTTGATATAGCCCATGAGCAGCGGCTGCAGTGCGCCCTGCGGCGTGACGACAGGGAAGCCCTGGAACTCGGTGCTCGCCAGGATAGCCTCAACGTTTGCGCGCGAGAGGCCGGTGGCGGGGAGGGTTGTGAGGTCTGTGTTCATGACGTGGGAGACGGGGACGTTGAAGGTGTGCTCCTCCTTGTTGTCGAGGAAGGGGAAGCCGTTGAACCAGATCATGCGGTCTGCGATGCCGCCCTTGCCGCAGCGGTCTGAGACGGCCTTTGTGATGCCCACGACGATCATGGTGGGGAGGATGTAGGTTAGTGCGCCGGTGAGCTCGAACATGATGACGACGACGGAGACGGTGATGTGCATTATGCCGCTGAGGGCGGCGGCGGCGCCGAGGAAGGCGTAGGTGCCGGGGGTTATGCACTGGGGGGTGAGATGGGGGGGTTAGAGAGCAATACTGGAGTTACGACGGGGGACAGAGGCATACGGGAATGTCTGGCTGGCAGCTAGAGAAGAAGGCAGAGTTTGGCGCGGCCTCGTGGAGCGCCTGGACGAGGATGCCGACGGTGCGGCCGAACGTGGCGCCGATGGCCATGGAGGGGACGAAGATGCCGGCGGGCACTTTGCACCCGTAGGAGATGATGACTAGGAAGACTCTGATGACTGTGGCGATCGTGAGCGAGACGATCATGTGCCATCGCCGGCCGCTCCTTCATTTATATCAGCACAAGAGTCCCGGGACTAACAGACAGAGGCAAACACATACTCGCAGAGGCCGTTATAGTCGTGTCCGCCCTCACACTCGCGGAACAGGATCTCCATGCTCTCCGTCATGTCGATGCGGAGGAACATGTTGGCATAACAGATGACAGCCGTGACGCCCGCGAGGAACGTGACCTCCGCGATGGCATACTCCTTGAGGTATCTCTTCCGGAACGACTGCGCGCGCAGGTTCCACTTGATCACAAACTCGCCATAGAGGCCGCCAAACACGCCGATAATCACAAAGAAGACAACCTCGAAAAAGTGCCAGTCGCGGTCATACGACACCTGGAACATGACGAGCTGGCCCGTCCTGAAGGGGTTCATCGCCGCCAGCACGGCCGTGGCCACCAGCGCGCAGAAGTACGATCTCCACATTGTCTTCAGCGGGAAGTTTGACGACATTTCCTACCCCAACAATGTCAATGATCATTCTGCATGTTTTTCAGCCGCCAGGCAAAACTCACCTCGAGCGAGAACAAAACACCGCCAATTGGCGACCCGAAGGCGACTGCGACGCCGGCAGCCGCACAGGCAGAGAGAATCTCCCGCATCTTCGCGGCGTTGCGGCGGTACTTCTTGAAGAACCTGCTGATGACGTTACCAGTGCAGACGGCGTAGTGGACGCTGGGCCCTTCCTTGCCGACGCTGAGGCCCGAGGCAATGGCGAGTGGGAGGCCGATGGACTTGATCAGGAGCGTCCAGCCGCCGAGGAAGCCCTTCATGACGAAGCCGGCGAGAATGCACTTGATCTCGGAGATGCCGGAGCCGGCGGCGTAGGGCGCGAACGACTTGACGAGGATGGCGCTGGTGTAGGCGAAGAGGACCTGCGCGGGTTAGTTTAGTGGGGTCCGGAGATGAGGAGGGTGGAGGTGGAGGTGGAGGTGGAGGTAGCTACGGAGAAGAGAATGTAGAGGATGTGGTTGAAGGGCCATATGGTGCTCCAGGGCTGCCATTCGGGGCATCCTGCAGATCGCTGTCAGCTTTAGCTAACTTCAAGAATCGGGGCGTTCGGGCATCCAGAGCGCCAGCAGCCAACCTTCGTCACTCCCCCAGCAACAGAAGTTCTCGTTCAGATAGAATGCCGTCGTGCACCTCCCCATGCGGATGTCCGACAGCCACTCGGTGATGATGTTCAAGAAGCTGGCGTTGAGGCCGATACAAACACCTATCCCCGCGCGCGCACACAATCAGCACACTCCCCTCCCCAACAGCTCCCACACAGCTCCCACACAGCTCCCACACAGCTCCCACACAGAAAAACACAAAAACACAGCACCGCCCTACCAATCAGCGAGATGACAATCCACGCCTGCCCGGCCTCATAGCTCTGCCGCAGCTTCCACCGCCACCCCTCCGCGCTCCCCCTCACAAAGAACCCGCCGTCCTTCTGCCGCCGTCGGCGCAGCTGCGCCCGCGCGGCATCCTGCACCCAGTCTACCACCGGCCGTCAGTCAGAACCCAACCCGCACCAAATGCGCCAGCTCAAGGCCACCCTAGCCTACCTATCGTCGTAAAATCCTACCCCGACACCACCCACCGTCAGCCCTCCCGCCAACCAACCAACCACCCACCCACCACAAACAGCGCCTAAAAAACTCACCTCGTACCGGCGTATCTCGTCAATCTCCTCAAAGTGCTCCTGTTGCTGCTGGGTGTGCGGGCGGCCGCCGCCGCCGCTGTGTGCGCGCTCCTCGTCGGCCGAGCGGGTCGAGATGGCGATCGACAGGCGCGACGACAGCGAGGGCCGCAACTGCGGGCGTAGGCGTGGTGATGATGAGCTCATGGCATATGTGGTGTGTGTGTACTGTGTGTGTGTAGGTGCTGTCTAGGGTGTTGGGCTGCCATTCCGGTTGAAACGAACGGGCTGAGGCTCTGGGACTAGCTGGTTGCCAAGTATTCCGGTGGGGGGGGGGGGGATGGATGCACGTGATGATGTGATTACTCGGCATGGCCAGTGGCTGGTGATGTGCGGCATGGGGCGTCACTCGGTCGGGCGTGGGGGTGAGGATGATGGAGCGGTGGGGGAGGAGGGAGGAGGGAGGAGGGGGGAGGGGGGAGGGGATTGGGTTCTGGGAGGTAATGGGCTGGGTGTGCTAACTCTGTCACTGTGCAGTGTGGAGACCTTAGCTATCTGAGAGCTCCAAGGTAACTAACTACCTACCTACTAATCCCATTACCAGAGACTGGGGACAAAGTCACTACTACAGCTGCCAGTACATACGCTATCACAGAGCCTGGAACCAATGCTCGTGTGGACCCCCAACCCGGACAATTACTCCACTACCGGCACCCAAAGAATGGGATATTCATCGCGTGATAATAGGCTTTTGGCGGAAGGCTGCATATCTCCCTTCTCCGCGCCTGGCCAATCAGGGCGCTCTTCGCAGTAATATTTCGGGGGTGTTACTGCAACAAGAGCCGGCGACAGTTACGGTGCTTCACATTCGCTGCAGGCTCAGCTTCTCGCCAAGCATACAGAACAGTAGTTGGGACAGAAGAATTGCAATTGCTAGAATCTCCTCCAGCTCCGAGAACACCTACATGTGTCCATTGTGAGGTCTCGATAGACACAATTGGCATGTAGGTGCCTGTCCATGACCTGCAGCCAATCCCCCCCTCACACTCGGTTCCTGCCTCGCTCGCCTTGAGCCCAGCAGCCAACCCGGTAGCAGCCGCACGGGCCACACACTCTTTTTTACGCTGTGGTTTAGGCTTCTCACACGACTGAACCCTGCACAGCAACACCTGCAGGGCCGGTCGTCGTCTCCCACTTTCCTTTCTCCAGCCAGCCAGCCCAGCCCAGCCCAGCCCAGGAGCACCCAACAGAAAGAATCCCCATCCACGTGAGGCGCCTACACTCACCTCCTAATTTCCCTTTTATCACCAACTCCCTCTTCTCTTCCTTTCTCTCCTCTCCTCTCCTCTCCTCTCCTCTCCTCTCCTCTCCTCTTCTTCTCTACCTCCCCAACCTCCCCCCACTCACCACTATCACCACTATCACCAACTCCCCCCCACCACAGCAGCAATGTCCACCACCACAACCGCCCCGGCCATCACAGCCGAAAACATCCTCCGCCTCTTCCCCGACATCAACACCTCGCTCGCCACCGCCGCCCGCAACTCCTCCGAGCTCGACGGCTACGACGAGGAGCAGGTCCGCCTCATGGACGAGGTGTGCATCGTCCTCGACGAGAACGACGTGCCCATCGGCAGCGCCACGAAGAAAGTTTGTACGTACATCCCTCTCAAACTCGCCTCCCACCTCTCCGCCACACATAGCTAACCCTCGACAGGCCACTTGATGAAAAACATTGAGCAAGGCCTCCTCCACCGCGCCTTCAGCGTCTTCCTGTTCGACAACGAGAACCGCCTCCTCCTGCAGCAGCGCGCCGACGAGAAGATCACCTTCCCTGGTACGTGCCCCACCACCATAACCCCCAGGCAGCAGGACTGAGAATGGAATTGACTGACAATTGGTGCTACTAGGCATGTGGACCAACACCTGCTGCTCGCACCCGCTCGGCATCCCCGGCGAGACCGGCGCCGACCTCGCCGCCGCAACAATGGGCGTGCGGCGCGCAGCGCAGCGCAAGCTCGGCCACGAGCTCGGCATCCCCGGCGCGCAGGTGCTGCCGGAGCAGTTTAGGTTCCTGACGAGGATCCACTACATGGCGCCGAGTGATGGGCTGTGGGGGGAGCATGAGAGTGAGTTCCCCCGCTAGAGGGGAAGGAAGGGTTGCTAATGTGTGGGTGTGAATGTGCAAAGTCGACTACATCCTCTTCATCAAGGCTCAGGTCTCGCTCGACATCAACCCGAACGAGGTGCAGGCGTACAAGTACGTGACGGCCGACGAGCTCAAGGAGATGTTTAAGGACGAGAAGCTGAGCTTCACGCCGTGGTTCAAGCTCATCTGCAACACGATGCTGTTTGAGTGGTGGGAGAACATGGGCAGCTTGGAGAGGTATGAGAACGAGACGCAGATCAGGAGGATGTGAGGTCTGCTGCGCAGAAGGGGAAAGGGAGGGGGTTGATATTTTGTAGAGGTGCTTTTACTAGATAACTAATACAATAAAATGCTGCTTTGGGTTGGATATATGTGGTGTGGAGTGTGGGTTGAAGAGTTCGTGATAGTGGGTATGCAACTGTGGTGCTGGTTCTGAGGTGGATTGGGTAGGGCTCTCAATATGCTAGAGCTTCCTCTACGTGTCTGGGAAATACCGCTTACAAAAATACCTAACTCACCTGTAGACTGTAGTATTACGCCCTCGAGGGCGTCTCATCATTGAGCACATAACTAACCCCCCAAGTAGGAACAAACTCTTCCCTCCCCAGCCCAACCCCCAGCCCATTTACCTTACCAGCTCGCCCCACTACGGGACCCTCTCGGTGCAGAATCCAGGCCCAGCAACGAGCACGTGCGCCTCTCCACCCGCGCAGCACAACAGCCATACCATCACCACAAGAGCTATTTAACCACCCCCACCTATAGGCCTGTAGAGTTAGTTAGTTACCAGAGCATAGAATATATAGCCCAATGAGCGCTGGGCCAAGCACACATATTTGTAGACCCCGCTTTTGTCCATTATTCCGCAGTGTGTGTGGCCGACCTTCAAGCGCTACGTAACATCGCCTGCGGCTGCTTGTGCAGATCTAGAGCGTGTCTGATCTTCACCTGGAACGGGATTTTGTCCGACCACCCCCATTGCCGCGCGGGGAATCACCGCTCTGCTGCGTTTGCCAAGAACGAGTGATGGGTTGTGATGGGGTTTTTTTTTTTTTTTTGGTCTACGTGTATGGTTGAAGGGTGTTCGGCCGCGGGGGGGGGGGGGTTAAGTGGTATGTTTGTGTTAGGGGATGGTAGAGTGGTGGCAGGGCGACAGGAAGGTGGTAGGTTTGTAGTTGGGGCCCGGGACAGTGGGGTAATTATAAAGGGTGGGGGTAAGGTGTTGGTGGCCCTTAAACTTGGTCTTAAAACGCGGAGCGGCTGTAGAATCTCGTCCGGGGGGCTCCGTAGAAGTACCTAGCATTCTAAAGTTGGCTCTAAGCATACCCAGCCGGGGCTTCGAATCCAACCAGCACTACCGGTGTTAGCAATTGATGGGAACTATGTGTCATTCCCCCACCATTATTGGTTTGTGTACCATATTGCCGGAGAGTGTGGGAGGCTTGTGTGTGAGGTGAAGATAAACAGGCCTCAATGGGAATAAACTACAGTAAGCCATATTCTTCCCTTAGCTTGAGCTTCTGGTTTGGGATCGAGAAGTTATGAGTAACAGCCTTCACCACTGGTACCGCCCCGGAGAGAAGGGCTTCCATGATAAAGTGTGGCTCAATTGATCAAATAAAGGGAGCCTTGAGGAGACTGAGGGTAGGATATCAGTACCGGGCTTATGATTGGCTCTCAAGTACTTATGTAGCTATCACTTCGGGGTTGAGGGGGTATCTCTACTATTATCAATGATGGCAGTTTCTCAAAGAACAATGGCTAGGTTATGACAGGTTTCGGCCACTATATTTCTGTCTCGAGTTGACGAAATTCAGTAGAGGTTGCCGACATATTTGTTTATCCACAGTGTGGTGATGTTTCACCAGTACTACAGCAACTACTAGTCGCCATCAATATACAACACACGGTATTCTAGCTATCAATTGAATCAACCAAACTGGGCAATTAAAGACGCATGGTGGTGAAAACTCCATTTCGCAAAAGCTAAACCCTATTGTACAGAACACCAAGAAGAAAAAGGAATCAATTAAGCCCAGACGATGATGATGATGAGGAGGAAAAGATATGAAGAGGTGATCAGGGTGATCAGGGTGAGAGGGGGGCAGGGGAGGAAGGAGGGGTGAGAGGGGCAGCATATATAGCCTCAACACCCCAGTCTCACCCCGAAAACGCAAACCTACCCAACCCACCACCACCCCCACTACCACCGCCAGCCCCACCACCACTACTCCCCGCCTCCTCCATCTCCACCTCCCTATCCACAATAGCCTCAATCTCCGGCGTCACCTTCTTCGACGCCGCCGTGGTCGTCTTCCTCCTGCCATTGGCGGCGCCGCCAACGGGTAGCACGGTCTGTCCCTTCTCCTTCTCCGCGGTCTTTGCCGCCTTCTTCTCCCGCACCTGCTTGTACGGCACCGTCTGCGGGATGGTATCGGAGAGGAATTCGAGGTTGTTGGTACGGGCTACTGCGCTAGCTGTGCTAATTGTCAGTGATGGTAACGCGGGGAGGTGGAAGGAGGGGATTGTACCAAGATCTTTATACTGCATCGTCTTCCTCTGCTTGCGGTCTCCAAGCGTCATCTTGAACCCCTGCTCGGCTAGGTACTGCACGAACATCTCCTGTGCATCCCCATACATAGTCAGCGCCTCTCCGTCGCATACACGCACGCACACGCCGGGACGAAAACATACAGCAGCAATAGTGGCCAGGAACGCGGCACTGTTGGAGCATCCCGCGACATCGTCGTCGAGGCGGATAATCTTCTTGACGCGCGAGACTACAGACACATGACGAGTTAGAATCCTGCGGCCGGCACTCTTAAGGGGGGGCAGCAGGCAGGCAGGAGGGGGGGAAAGGAATAGATTGCAGCATGCAATGCATACCTGGCAGAGCCGGATGACCTGTGATCTCCTCGGCGGGCGGAATGGCCGTGGTATTGTAAGGCATTTCTGCGGTTTCTGGGCACGTAGAGCTTTGTATAGGGTGTGTAGGTATCCTCTGGCGAAGGTATGTATGTAGGCAGCAGGTAAAGTAGAGTGAAGTAGGTAGGTATGGGTTCAATTGACCCTTGGGGAGCTCCGGCTGTAGATGTATGCCAGTTAGAGTAGCAAGGAAAAAGCGTGGAGGTCTATCAGTGGCTGCACGTACTGCGCAGTGGGTGGGGGGTTAATTCTGCGTACAACGGTGGAGGTTGGGTTAATGAAGAGCTCTCTCTCCTATGCTCTCCACGCGGGTGTGTGTGTGGTGGTGGAGCTTGGTGGGCCCTATCTACTGGGTAATATACACAGTCTCCGATTAGGAATTAGGCAAAGTAACTCTTCAGCTCGATACGGTAAGCTTTTTTTCTTTTTTCTAAAACATTTACGGCAAGGTTAGGGTTTGGGTGTCAGAGGTGCAGTTGGATGGGTGGATTACCCTGCCTATGGTGTACTACTAATACATAGTCGAACTTCGGATCGAATATTCGATATATCGGTTTTCGAATTTCAGGATAACCCACCTATAAGGATTCATAGACCAGATCATTAATTTTTTGGTTGGAAAAGTAGTACACCCCGTCGAACTTTTATATGTATATGTAGGAATCCTACCGTGTACATTCTAGACATGAAATCTCACTCACTTTTTCTATTACCGTTGAATTATGCCCTACTGGTGAAACTCGACTGCAATTGAGTGCAAAGTTTCGGCACGACTTACAATCCGGACCAGCTATGATACTTTGCACTTGTTGAAAGTATTTGTACTACTATCAAGTAGTTAAACAGAAGTTTTTCCACATTCTACTAGTAGTGATGGGTCACAACGTAATAGTCAAATTGAAACCTCTTATTATAGAATGTGTTTATGATAAGTTCTGTGTATAATGATTGGCCTTGTAAGCCTACATGTACTAGTTTTCTTTCTATATCTACGGTCAGATTCATTGCATTATGTACTTAATATGATGTACGCACATGTACTTTACGCAAAGAACGTATTATATACCCGAATATCAAAACACAATGGGATATCTTAGAAGCATGTTTCGTTGATCAGGATACTGTTCAAAAATATTTAGTGCTTTGAATGGCCCATCATATCAGACCATAATGTCATAGTTGATAAAGCCGCATCATGCAAGCTTGTGACGAATATCTGGGTTTGTCCGCCCTGGATCTGTATCATACTAATTTCTCGTCCAAATAGCTAGGTCGCTGTCTTATGCTGCACTCCTCGTTGGGGGCATGTATATAGTGTCTCATTAATTGCGTACTTTTAGGGATTATTTTATTTTGATTGGGGACTTTAAAATGGCACATTAGACAGGAGTTGGCTAACAGGTCATATAGTGCATGGAATCTCGAATGGAACCTTTAGTTTCATTTAGATCATGGACCGACATAAGCTTGCTGAAGTATGTATGACTTTGTGATAGTAATGCATTACTTGAACACTCAGGTGTAAAGCATATCCCCCCTTCCTAGCTAAGGTTCCACAAAAAAGTAAATATGATCATGAATGAAAACGTTATCTTGACTGCGTGTGAGCAACCCTGCCGAGTGATTTCCCGTGACCAAACAACAAAAGTCCACCATTACAATAAGCATATAGAAGCACAGCTTCTACTCGGACACGAAAGAAAAGAATATTCAGTAGCACATGAGTTGCTAGATCATATCTGTGACTCCACACTGAAATTTTCACCCAACCCTGATACACACGAAAAAGAAAGAATTAATACCCGTTACTCGCCACCTTTTTGTTCCTCCTCAACCCTAAGATATCTTCAATCCTGCTTTGTTTTGTTGTTCTGCCATGTGTATCTTAGATAGCATGAACATGGCCTTGTTCCAGATCGGCAGAATTTCTGAGGAGTTGTCCCAAATCAGACTCTGCGGACATATCGTCCTGCAGGGAGTGTCCTTCGCTTTCCTGACCGGTCTCAAGAGAATCGGGGTAATAGATACTTCCGTAATCGATGGCAGTGTTAACTGCTGAGCTTCCGCTACTATGCTGAGATGTTCCGTCAGCAGTACCAGTGGACGAATCATCGGTGTCTTCAGAACTTTCTCCAGTTTCGACTCCAGCACTGATAATGGTAACACTTGTCAAATCTTTAATCTTATTGGCCTCAGTAGTTGGTGCGGTCTCTTCTTCGCTAGCGCTATCGCTATACAGAAGACTGTGATCGGACAGCCTATGGTGACGACGGTAGGGAGACTCGAGGGTATTTGGGGGGGGTCGACCCATTTGAAAAGGGTCGGCAGTGTGGGCGGCTTGAAAAAGTTTCCTCCGCTCAGCATCCTGTCTAAGCTGCTTTTGCCGTTGTCTATGTTTGAATAGTGATGCAATCTGAGTTGATGTTAGTGATTTATAGGAGACAGGGCTGTGGAATAGGGGAAATACTCCAGGGGTGTTGGCAATAACGAAAGCACAGGTCGTTTCTGTGTTAATTTAATTAGAACTTGTGCAAACGTTTATCCTCACTTAACAACTTCTCATCCAACGTGATATTCAAACATACCAACAAGAGCCCAAAATGTGCTTGATCCAAGGCATCTCAACGACGTGACTTCTGCCATGCGGCCAAAGGCAGCACCTATCACAAGGAGTCCGAGCCCGAAGAGAAAGTACAATCCCACTTTCCTGCGAATTGGGGCCCTCAGCTTCATGACGAATGGAATCGGGGTCACAAGCAGCGGGATATCTGATGCGATATTCAAAGAGCCAACGATCAACATCGTGCGGTACGTATCATGGCATTCGCCTTTTTTTAATAGTTAGTATATCTCCGTGTAAAGGGGCGGATAAAGAGATGGAAACGTACGAACAGCAGGCAGTGGATTTATCTTCCAATAGTCTGTAAACGGAGTGCAAATAGCAGATATTGTGATCATGGCGGCGAGAAAGGTAGCAAGAAGAAACCATCCAGCAAGGATGACGGTCAGACTTCTTTTACCATTTGTGACAGCGAATTGCCTCAGTACACACCACCAAGTACACTTACATCCCCAGATGCAGATGCAATATAGATACCATGAGGCCAAACTTGCCTTGCTGCCTATGACACGAAGCCTTTCATCATGGTTGATCAACATGATAAAGTCTTCGGCAGTGTTCATCAGGTTGGTCCCTTTCTCGAGGTAAACAGCCACACATAGCATGTAAGCAGTGTAGAAGAGCATGCAGCCTATCATTAGCACTTCCTCGAGTTGAATCTTTCGATTGATAAAGCATCTTATTCCAACTCTGGCCAAGCCAGCAGTCATCGAGATGGCGTAAAAGATTCCTAGGTCTTTGACGAGATACTTTCCGTAGGGAGATTCCTCTGGGAACCGCTGCACCTCAGTCCCCATTTTAGTTGATGAGAGATTGGGATTGCTTTTGAGAAGAGGTTCGATGTAAGGACAGTGTGTAGTAGTGAAAGAGGGTGTGGAGGTTACAGGACGAATTCAAAAGCATAATCTAGGCAAAGCCCCATGTACTTTCGACCCAACCCTTAAACCAAGTGCCGGGCACCACACCTCAATTATGTAGACACATACAAATGTATCCAATCTAGGAAAAAATGAAATAAGTAGAAAGTTGAAATTTACAGTCTAAGGATGAACGTATGATTTCCTCTGCTTATTTTTGATAAATTGTGTGTTCCGATTTTCTTCATTTTATTCATTTCACACGCCCAGCTATATTAAGGAATCTTACCTTGATCTTGACGGATCAGAACATTAAGGTTCAACTACCCTTGCAATGGACATGTAATGTACAATACGGGATGTAATTCACACCGTTAGTGATGCGGCATTGTATTAGAATACCGAGTTAGCTCCATATAGCCTTGTCTACATGTAGTGTGGTCCACGAGGCATTGACGCTAGAGGCCTCGCCTCTGTCTCGAGAAAGCTCAAGGCATGGGGTCCGCAAGGCGAGAATACTCGAGACGAACTCTGCTACTCGGGTCGAGATGTTCGAGGCTTAGGTACTCAGACTATTAAGAGTGGCATTTATTCAGTGGGATTGACGTTTCTTATAGGAATATCACTTTCAAGAGTAAACTCTAACTTTGGTGATTAGCTAATTCTAGTAATTATTTGCTTTGAGTAAGCAAAGGTAAGGACCATATGAGGTAGAAGCACCTCGAGGGACTTATCTCTGCTCGCCTCGAGCTAGTGTTGGGCACGAGCCTGTTCGAGACGAGCCTGATATAGAGCTCGAGCCGGCTCAGATTGTGGAAAGGAAGGCTGGGGATGTTCGAGCTCGGGAGCATGGCTCGACCTCCCATTAGTATAGCTAAAAATAGTCATCTCCGTATACTTTTTTCATTTCTAGGATCTATAAACAAGAAAGAAAGAAAAAAACATATTGAATCGGCTCCGTTCGGGATTCGAATACAAGATCTCCCTGTTGTCGTCATAAGTTTCCTCAATCAGGGTGCATAGACCACTATGCTAACAGAGCTTGAAGGTCTGCTTGCTGGGGTAGATAATAAGCTCTAGTAGTAGTAGCAAAGAATGAATGACTTAGGCTAACTCGAGCTCTGATTAATATAACTGAAAATAGTCATCTTGATATCCTTTTTCATTTCTAGGGACGAATTGGGAGAATCCACCCCCGACACACCCACCACCCAGCTTTGCCATCATCAACTCATTATTATAGTCCAAAAAGCTCGAGCTTTTCCAATATTAGCTCGAGCCCAATGCTCGAGCCAGCTCGGCTTGTGCCCAACACTACCTCGAGCAGCCAGCTCGTGGACTACACTAGTCTTTTCTGGGCGATAGCAAACCTAGTTCGATGGCGGATGGGACAACAAAAACCAACAAGAGCCGATAAAATCGTAGCGGTCCTTCGTCTCGACTGTTTATCAAATCTATGGTTGGCTGAGAAGTTTCTGTTTACTATCGACTAGATTTCGCCATTGTCCCAGAAAAGACCGTACTATCAGAAATACCGTAAAAAAAGCCGAACTACTACCGTAGTCTGACGAATTCCGCAGAAATTTTACCAATCTTTCCGGCACTTTTATATTCCTTATAGGGATCTATATTTCTAGAGAGAGCTCTATGTAGCTTAGTTCATTTCACACGAGTGATAAAACATGAAATAGGGTTAGGGTTTATGTGTTACCCTGCCTATAATTCAATTCAATTCAATCCACTAGAGACCTTCAGTTTTCGATAGATATTGAAAGTCAAAACCCTTACGAGTTACTCCCCACGGTCGCAATGTTCGCCCTCCGCTCTCTCCTCTATCGCCCGGTGGCAGCGCCCATTCGTGCATTCTCTACAAGTGCTCCCGCCGCTGCGACATTCAACCAAGTAATTCGAGGGGCGCGCAAGCCCCAGCCCGCACGCAAACCGGTCTCCCCCGCCATGTCTACTACGGGGAACCCATGTATGAAGGGCGTATGTCTCAAGGTCACAGTCATGAACCCGAAAAAACCCAATTCGGCAGATCGGAAAGTCGCGAGGGTGAGGCTGAGCAATGATAAGGTGGTTACGGCATATATACCTGGTGAAGGTAGGTTTCTCCCCATTGTTTATGGGAAGAGATATAGAAATAGCCAATTCTGAGAGAGGATAGGTCACAATGTACAGCAGCACTCGGTGGTACTGGTGCGCGGTGGAAGATCCCAGGATTGTCCAGGTGTGAAATACCACTTGATACGTGGAGCACTTGACTTGGTAAGCTCCTATTATATTCTCCTATAGTTGGCGATGAAAATATTAATGATGGGATAGGGAGGCGTGGGAAATCGCACAACATCAAGGTCAAAGTACGGTACAAAGAAGCCGAAGTCGGGTGCGGTATAGGTATAGCTTCCTATATAAAATAGATAAACCTCCGTGATGGTCATGTACAGTACTTTTGATCTAGTGAGAAGGCAAGCGACACTACTATTAATTCAGTAGCTTTTCTCGTTGAAGCTCCAACTATGTGGTTAATTCATACCCAACTGGAGTTTCACTCTCCTATATTATGCTACCCCCAGCCAATTGCGCATAATACACATCCTTAAAAGGGAATTTGCTATTGATCAACGTTTTATCAATGATGATGCAAAATTGCCCTTCTCATACTCCAAGCTCTTCTCATGGATGTTCTAAGTAAAATTATGGTAATTGATCAATCTATCAATAGGCAGAACCATGAATTGAATGGAACCGGTTCTAGGATTAATGTCCATGTGCAGAAAAGTAATAGATTTCATCCCGCTAGTATATATTTTCAAACGACCCCCACCTCCAGTTAGCATAACCAGAAAAACCTGAACTCCCTTCTTTTTCATGTTTCATGTCTTGACAACTGTCCCATCTTGGCGGTCCCGCCTGCCTAATCAATTTTTTTTTACCTTGAGAACCAAATAAAAAAACCCAGAAATTCGTTATAAACCTCAACATTGACTGCACTACCACCTCGAATGCGTCATATATTTAGTCCATTTGGTTCTGATAGCCATCCGGCTTCTCCAATCCCATGACATCAAAGTGACGGGATGTGCAGGAGTATCCTAGTATACAAGTCAGTATGAAATTGGGCAAAATGAACAACGGGATGATATACCCTTCCAGTCAAAGTTATCCTTCGGGTTGCAAGTGCATTTGAGCTTGAGCCTGTCGCTCTCCGTGGTAGGGCAATGAGTAAAAGGGACATGATAGTAACTACCCAGTTGTTAGTTTGACCTTATAGAACCACGCTTAATCTTTAAACATACGCAATATCGTTGAAAAAGTGGATTTCATCCTTCGACATCAACAACCCTGCCGCGATACTATGTACCGGGGCATCCCCCCATCTCTCATAAAAGAATCCTCCATCATGGTCCAATTTGTTAAAGAAATCCGTATATGCCTGTCCTCTCCAAAAGTCCAGCGATCCGACCTCAAAATTCGACCAGTAATGACAATGGTTGTACGTGTTGCCATCGTCGTCCGACAAGAAGGCCATCGCATTGTCTTTGTGTATATGTTGGGGATACTCCTTCATAAAGGCTTTGACACTATCCCAGAGTGTGGGAATAGTCTCCACATACTCATACAGAGATAGCACGAACCCGTACTTTTTTTTATTGTCGCGCATGAATCGGAATACATCGTAGTCAACATCACAGTAGAGCTCAATTGATGGCTCAACGCGCCAGTAGTATTCGTAGTCAAGCAGAAGGGGATGATGAAAGAAGAAGCCGGATTCAAAACGGCACATGTGACGGTAACTGACACTATCACCATAGATGATTTTACGCTGCGCCTATTCATTCGAGAATGGTTAGCATTGTACCATCCCACCCAGAGGAATAATAATGTACCATATCCTCTCGGACTTTCTTCGCTTTGTCCTGGTCAATCCAATCGGGGAAGCTCCAGTGCTCCTTGGGAATCAATCCATACTTCGTATTGCCAGATACTAGGGCAGTAGTAATCTTTTTGAATTGAGCATCGAAGGGCTTGTCATTCAGGAAAACCCAGTCGTAGTTAAATTTTCGGTTGAAACGGTCCTCGACCTGCCGGATGGACTTGGCAATCTCCCAGATGTCGTTATTCCGCGCGAGAGTGATGAAGGTTGCATTTGCGCGTTCGCCAGAATGGACTGCGGGAGGGAGAGAGTTGGATGTGTTGGGTGTTTGATCAGAGGAAACCGAGCCTGGGGAGGTTGCGCCATCGGCAGTTGAAGGCGAGCTAGGAGAGCCTTTTTGTTGTGAGATGATTTGCTCTACAGGAATAATAGAAGTTTTGGCAGTAGAGACATAGGTTGACGAGTAGACTTTGAAAAGTACGGCTATTGTCTATGTGGGTAAGCGAGAGAGATTAGATCAGATGTTTGTGGGTTTAAAATTCAAGATCAAACGGGACTTACGAAAAATGCCAGCAGAACGAACCGCAGGGTCCGTGTGTTGGATGCTGCCATGTTGTGGCCAGCTAAGGGTATGACCTGCTATCAAAAAGCCGTGACGCCTGAGTAGAGATGAAGGTATGCTAAGCTACGATGGCAAGTATCGCATCCAAATGGATTGAATGGAAGAAATAAAGATGGAGGACCAGGAGGAGAGCTGGCTTTATGAGAATGAAAGCAAGGGAGATGGGCAGTGGTTACGAGGCAGATGTGAATAGCTACAAGGATCTTCCACGACAAGTTTAGGGGGAGACAGCGGCGAAATTAAAACAGCACAACTACATGTAGGGATAGAGCACCCAATACTCCCCTGAGCTCAAGGGATTGGGATGGCAGATGAGTTGATGAATACAAATGAGCCCTCGAGTAAGGTGCTCACAAAATTATTTATCCAATAGGTGTCCGATCTACTCGTTCTTAGGCAAACTTCTTCTTTGGGAAATATCTGGCTGGTGCTCGGGCTGAGGATTTGACGATGGTGGTGATGATAATACCACAAGAGGATTTATATTCAGCCCTTCATAAAATTGGCGCCGGATCAAGCATCGTCTCGATTTGCCAACCTCACTGCTCCGACCGTTGTTGGTGCAGGTGGCGCCGTTCCACCATTTCAATCTCAGGCGCACAACTTAACCCAACCAACCCCACCCCACCTTCGATCCCCGCCTACGTATCAACTTAATTCTGCCCCACACTCTCTCATCACTTACAACCCACCATCCTTCATACCTTTCCCCTTGTTGTTTTGATACACACCATACACACCCTGTCGGTGCTCTACAATACCTTATATCAATCGGCCTTCCCTCGGAATGTCGTTTTTCGGATTTGACACCGGTCCCCCACGGGACCGTGGGCAACATCCCGCGACAGCCCCAGGCTTTTCCCAGGCCCCAGATCATTTTGCCTCTAGACCGAACGGCGACGACGATGACGATGGGTGTGTTTATTCTATAAAATGGCGGCTAAGTTGAATGATAGATACTGACATTATATTCTTTCAGAATTGACTTTGAAGACACATATGACGGTCTCGGCGATGCACTGGATGAGAAAGATGACGCTTTCAACGACGAAACCTTTGGCGGTGGGGATGATAAGATTGGTACATTCCAAATAGGACATTCTGAGGTTTTGGTCACATACTAATCTGAATCATATACTCAGGCAAAGATTTCGACTTTCACGGCCAAACCGCAAAGGTCGCGGACGCAATGGACGAAGAACACGAAGTGTTTAATCGTTCCGCCCGGAAGCCATCGGTAGTCCATTCCGCTTCTACCCAGCAGCAGCAGCAACCTTCTCGACAAGTCCTCCCACCCGCTCATGTCCCAGTTCTCCGCCCTGATATGTCCCTATGGGGCGGCACTACCATCTCCTCAACCCCCCCACCTCCTCCAGCGGCAGAAATCCACCGGGAGCAAACCCCCTCCGCCCGTGCGCCACCACAGAATATCAAGAAATACATGTCCCTTGATGAAGTCGAGGCCGAGATTCTCATGAATCAGAAACCCTTAGTTATGGCGCCGCAGCCAGTATTCCAGGGTCCTCCGCCACAGCAGGTACACCAGTATATTCACCAACAGCCCGATTTCAATCAGCAAATCCCGCAACATGGAGGATTCAGTATGCAGATGCAGAATATGCTACGGGGGAGCCAGCAACAACAGCAACATATGCAGGCTCCTCAGATGATTCATCAGCAACAACAGCATCCAGATCATTTGCGTGGAATTCCGACTCCTGTAGGTCCAGTGGGTGGGGCAAGATTGCCGCCGCATGAACAATTACAGGAACCAAGGAATGCGTATGGCATGGCGCCTCATGTCCCTGCTTCACAACTTCAAAATATGTCTGAAATCGAACGAGCAAGGTTTCTAGAGGACGAGAGAAAGCGCCTAAAACGCAACCACAAGATCGCACAGTTGGCTCGCTATAATGGACTCATGACTCCGAATGATAAAAACTTCATTACAAGGATCCAGCTACAGCAACTTGTATCCATCAACAATGCTGATGACGCTGCAAACGAGGACTTTTATTATATCGTGCATAGTGCGATCCGTGCTAGAGCTAACCCTACCCAGCCGTTAAACCAGTTTGCTCAAACATATCTATATCGACAGGGGAGGGGAAACCGGCGTCAGGATAATCATCTCCATCGTATGGAGCAGCAGGTTCAGCGCGCTGTTGCAGCAGCGAAGGCGAGGCCAAAAGCGTCTCAGTTAGTATTGGAAGGGAGCTTAGGGAAGATCAGCTTCAGCAATGTCAAGACGCCACGTCCAATGCTTAATATCAAGAAAAGTGAAACCGGAGTCGGCGAACAGATCCGGAAGGTATATAACCGCTCCTTTCCTTTCACACCGAGTGATAATCTATGCTGATGAATATATTTAGACCCAACGCTCTACAATTTCCGGCGCAGGCAAAAAGACACTTCTTCTTACTATTGAAAATGTCTATAACGCCCTTCTCAACCTCGAATGCCACGAACGTGATCGCGGAAAGCTTCCACCACCCCCAGAGACAAATATCCACACTGAATGGGAAGCCAAGCGACAAGTTCTCGTAAGCAAGCTCTGGCAAGAACTCAAGATTATGAGCCCTATCGACCCAAGTAGCAATCAAACACATCCTTTCATAGCAATTCTAAGCTATACAAAGATGAAGCGTGCGATTCAACGCATATTCAGACACCTGGACGAAGAACAACGAGTCACAGTCCTTACAATGATTGTGGTCCATCTCGACATACTTGACGTTGTCAAAAACGGCGTGTATCAGCCTCATGAAACAACGCTTCCATCTGCAACACGCGAGGAAATCGATCTCTTTGCCTCGACAGTATTACCATCCCTCATATCCTATGTGTACGAAGCGCCACTCAGAATCGTCATTGGCCTTCTTGGAATCCTTTTGGAGCGTGTCGATGTGGTTCTAGTCTCAAAGACAAAAATCGGACTCGCATTCCTCACCATGTTTTCCTCCAGAGCTGAGATTGTCAAGCAATCTGGGATGGCTGATGAGAACGAACTTGCCCAGTGGCAAGGAATGTATGACCGCCTGTTTGAAACCTTGCAGGGGCACTGGATGGGATGTTTCCCGCCGAACGGAATGGCCGTCGACGATGTGTATGTTTGGCAGTTTTTGGCAAGTGTGGCGGTAGGGGCCAGTATGCCACAGCAGCAGATGCTTGTGGGCGCTGTGAAGTAAGTTCTTTCTTCTCTTTCTTGCTTATTCGAATGTTGGAAGGCTAATGAGCGACTGTAAATCACAGGGACCGTGTAATGGAAAACGTAATGGCGTCCAAAACACTCCCGGCGGAAATTGGGACGCAGAAGAGCGCCAATGTAAATTTGTTCATGAGGGCTATTGGTTTGGATGTTGAGTTACTTGGATAGTTGGAGGAACCGAGAAAAGTTCATTTTTTTTTTTTTTTGGACTTGCCGTAGTTTCCCCCCTTTTTTTTGGCAGGGGAGGGAGAGCACACACCAGTGAAATGGAGGGGCGGCATGTATCAGCGCGGTTTGTTTGAAGCGCTTAACTGACCATACTATGAAAACTGTGTTTGGGTTCTTGGAGTTAATTGTTTTCACTTTGGTTTTACGTTCAATATTGACGAGTTGAGATTAAGTAATAGATTTGGTGGTGGTGTGTGAGTAGGACCTCTTATGTGCTTTTGTTCTCACATATCTTTCGGTGATACATTCTCCTAATCCATTGAGAATCTCACGATAGTAGACTCGTGAGTTCACGGTTTCTGGCCTTGTGGAAAGGATGAGTACGAGAGTGATACAGGCCAGAGGACCCAGAGCTATTGTTCAGGTTACGGGAATGTTTGCATCACGAAATATGACTCGATGTAACATAGACACCTCTTGGGCGCTATTAATAATTACTCCCATAGGACTCACATGTGACACCCGCGGGATATCCTATACCCTAATCATTTACATACATCTCAACTAGATTCGTAAGCTGTAGGTGCGTAAGGTCATTATGATAACCTGAGTCCATAATCCCCTAATTATAACTTACTTGATATATTATGTGCCTCGGAGGACTATTTTTCCCACAACTATCTCATCATGTGGTCATAGTGGAAAGATTCAAGATTCCGGTTTATCGTTTTATATTATGAGTCAAACCTTTAACTTTGGGCAGGCTTGGCACTCCCAGATACCACACCTTGAGCACGGTACTACTTAGTAATACATGTATCATGGCTACTAGTAGGAGTGTACAAGAACTCTTTATTGCATTACAGCCAGTCCGCCAAGCAACAAGCCTCACGTTTCAGCACCTACAAAAGCACACGCATGATCGAGTGATATCGCATGATCGAGCCAGATAGTTTAATATTGCTATTGATACGGCGCCCTTCATGCTCGAACCACAGGAGCCAGGCCCCGGCCTCCATGAACCATAGAAGCCCCCATACACAGCCATCCAGCGCAAGTGATCACAATCCAGCAGCTACTTCGCACCACCCTCACCCTCACCCCTACCCGCATCCTCCCTCCGCACCCGCAAACGCCGGCGACGTCGGCTCACTCACGTCCTCCAGCCACTGCTGATACTTCTCCACATACCTCTCCGGCACTATCCACGTCAGCTCGGTGCCGCAGCACTTCTGTTCGCCCGCCGCCTTGTCAGCCCACCACCCCCACAATCCACCCACAATCCACCTGGGAAAAAACACTTACCGAATTCCACCGTAGCCGCACCTCGCCCTCCTCCAGCGGGCGCTCGTAGTCCTTCATGGGCCACCAGGTAGTCTCCCCCTCGAACACGCCCGCGAGCACGCTGTTCACGCGGCCCTTGAGGTCGTTGAGGTAGCTCGCGGCGGTGGTGTGTTCGATCGTTAGCGGGTGGGCGCGGGCGAAGAAGGAGGTGTAGTGGTCGCTCGTTTTGGCGGCGTGGTCGGACATCGTGGTGGTGGTGGTGGTGGCGGTGGTAAAGACGGTGGTGGGTGGTGGGTGGTGGATGGTAAAGAGTGAGACTGCTTGGGGATAGTGGAGAATGGGTGTTGGGGACTTTTTGTAGTGGGACGCTAGGGGGGGTTCTCTAGTGCGGCTGTATTATTAGTATGACAACAGCTGTCAGTTTCTCAGTTGTAGCTGTTAGTTGGAGTTGTGGTTTGTTACATCACTGCCGGATACCACAGCTAGCTATATAGCACCACAACGCAGAGAGAGGTAAGGGACGCTCACTAGAGTACACTACTTTCAATATACTATTTTTTCAACAGCCAACTACCAACTATAGCTCCAACCACGTTTTCAAAAACACCAGGAGTCTTGCCCCATAGGTGTAACGATTTCAAGCCCGAGGGTTTGTCAACCGTTTTGAAAGCGCTAATCAAGAGGCGCATGAAAGACACCCACCTATCTGCACGAACGATCATTGATTGGTTGGCCAGTAACTGATCTCAGCAATCCGAGAACGTGGAAACATTCATTCGCAGACCAAACCGCGCCGGTGCCGCGTTATGTAACAAAGAAAAACGAGAACGAAAAGGGATGACAAACATAACGTGACTACATGTACACTCCAAAGTCTATTTTTGTAGATCTATAGCACCATCTCTCGAGCAACAATATCTCTAAAATCTATTTCCTGTGTAGAAAGCTTACATTTACTACGCGTGGTGGTGGTGTTGTTGGCGGATGAAATCAATGGCTGGGGATGGGGGCTATAGTCATTTGGTTGTAGACTCTCTGGTATATTAGAATAGTTGGTTTAATTTTGAATCCAAGACAAAATGATTTTCAATACCGGACTAGCAACAAGGCCACTACAGCTCCTCAGGCCCGAAAGCTACGGACAGGATAGCTCCACAGATTATCACTCGGACTGTTTATACCCTCACCACAAAATATATTCCTGGTATCCCACACCTATCCTATTTCTACATTAACCCACCCCGCCCCCTCCGCACCCCCCTCCCCCCCCTTTTTCCCCACTCCACCCCCACCACCCACTACCCCACCAAACTCGCCGTCGGCTCCGGAAAACTACTCACCACCAGCGGCTTCGGCGGCAGCCGCCCCGGCACCGGCGCCAGCACCTTCATGTAATGCTTCTGCTCGTCCACGCTCGCTCTATATATTTTCCATTAATTAGCCACCCTTCCCTTCCACCCTAGTACGCCACTCCCACCACCACAACCACACCCACTACAGCCAAGGTGGGGGGGGGGGACTTACATATACACAAACCCCATAACACTACTCTCGGCCAGCACCTCCACCGCATCGCCCATCTCCGCGTGCAGCACGGCCGCAACACTATGCTGCAGCAGCGACGTAGGCGTCGTCTTGACCAGCAGCGGCTGCGTGTCTTCGGTCCCGATGGGCAGGACGCCGGATATCAGTGTTGACGCTGTATACATTAGCTTACTTGTTACTAGATAGCCAGTTCGGGGGGCAGACCTTCGCCAACGCGCCACAGATTCACTTCGTTCAGCCCCACGGTGAGCGTGTACGGACTCAGCGTCCGCTTCGGCTCGCCAAAGAAGTACTCGCGGATCGCGCTCTCGCGCGCCTGTTTCAGGAACGCCTCTTCGCGGTCGACGCACCCGCCAGATTTCGCGAGCTTGACGACCGTGACGCCGCTTGCGGCCTCGCGGCCCTCGAAGCGCCTGGCCATATCGCTGTAGAGGCGCTCGCTGCCGACAACCACGAGCGTATCCACGCTGAACTCGGACACCGCATGAGAAATAACCTCGTAGCCGGCTATACCGGAGGTGTCAATAATACATCCGCTAACCCTGCTACCATCCTCCTCACTCAGCCGCGACGAGACTGCCAGCGCCATCCGTGACACGAGCGCGCGGTAGAGCGGCGCATTCGCCTCCGGCGACGCCAGCCCATAGTAGTACACCAGCGGTAGCTTCACCGGCACGGGCGACGGCCCCGACGTCGGCGAGCTCCCAAAATGCTCCTCCACGTCCATGATGGTCGAGAAGCTCGTGGCCGACAGCGTCCCCGGCAGCGACAGCATGCCCTCCTTCGGGTCGAGGTTGACCACGCACGGCATGCGCCCCTGGCGCACGGCATACGCGGTCAGGATCTTGACGAGCGACGTCTTGCCGGCGTCCTCGGGGCCGATGATCATTACGCGGGGCCCCTGCTTGCCCGGCAACTCGCTGGCGGCGCCGCGCAGCTTCTCGAGCGCGAAGTGGAGGTTGGTGTAGGAGGTCATGGGCGTCTCTTCGGAGGTGTATTCGACGGTGGGCGTGCCCGTGACGGAGAGCGTGCAGCCGGACCAGGTGTAGATGGCGGATTTGCAGCCCGTGAAGGTGAACTTGTGGCCGGTGGGGAGCTCGGTGCCGAAGATCTCGGCGGTGCCTTTGAGGAGCTGGGGGTGGCGGGTGTTAGCTTGCTAGCTGGGTTGTGGGGGTGTGGGGAGTGGGTGGGCTACTTTGACTTCTACGGTGGTGTTGAAGGCCACCTCGAATCGCCATTCACGGCATTTGCCAATCTCGTGGATCTTTTCGGCGGGGGGCTCTGTGGACTGGGGGTCTGTGGACTGGGAGGAGAAGTTGGGGAAGGATTGGCCGATGGAGAGGTCTGCCAGCTGGAGGCCTGGGACTGCCATGATGCTGCAGGTGCTGTAGATGCTGCAGGTGCTGTAGATGCTGCAGGTGCTGTAGATGCTGCAGGTGCTGTAGATGCTGCAGGGTGATATGAAACTGGAGAGAGACTGAGGGAGTGAGGGAGGGGGGTGTAGATGGAAGACACAGATGAGGGGTGAATGGACGAGACAGAGAACGGCTGGAGGGCAGAGACAGGCCAGGCTCTTGGACGGAGGTCACTCGGGCGGGGCACAGCGGAGTCGTGTTGTTCTCTTCCGGGGAGACGCGACGTTGGCACGCACACGCTAGCCCGAACAGGGCTGCGGCTTAAAACCTTAATTGGCCTTGGCAGCCACCGCGGAGGTTAGGGTTGTTCTCCCAACACACCACTCTCATCATCATCATTACTGTCTGGGGGGATTGCAACCCTAGACATTGTCTCGCTACATGCTTTTCTTGCTCTGTGATGTGGTATGCCCGCGCCGCCTACACAACGTAGCCGAATAGTAGAAAAAAAAGGCAAAAAAACAGAAGAAATGCTACGCGAAACACTACAACATGCCCTCCTCCTCCTCCTCCAGAATATCAAACTCGTCGTCGCTCTCCCGCTCGATGCGGTCCATCTCGACGTTCTCCCAGGCGCCGCTGGAGATGGAGTTAAGGTATGTGCGTCCGTACGACGGCCTCAGGAGCCCTCCTCTTCTGCCGCTGCCGCTGCCGCGCCGTAGAGGGTCGCCAAGGCAGGAGGAGAGGGCGAGGAAGACTGCCCCGCGGAGGCATTAGAAATGTGTAGTGCAAGAGGGGTGTGGTACAACTGGGGTGCAATGGGGATGGAATGGAAACTCACAGATAAGAAGCACGAGCGGGACTACGAATATGGGGATCAGGATCCAGATCATGGCTGGCTGGCTGGCTGGCTGGTTGTGTTCCTTGCTGTTGCTTGGGCAATCTCTCGGACGGTAACACTGCGGTGACTCGTGCGTGAGAGTTGAGGATGCTCCCTCGAGTAGTTGGGTACATGTAGTTGGGGGTATCACTCGGTCAATCAGCCAGTCGTAGCACGGTAGCGCAGTAGCACAGTAGCACCGCAGCACCGTAGCACCGTAGAGCAGAGCGGGGCAGAGCAGAGCAGAGCAGAGCAGAGCAGAGCAAAACAGAGAGAGCTCAGCTTCCAAGAGCTCCCCTGGCCAATGACGTAAGCCCCCAACACCTGCATCCCCGCCCCCGCACAAGCCACACCGTAATCCAGCCACTCAACCTCACCTCCAGATCCCCCCACCCCCACCTCCAGATCCCCCCCACCCCCGCCATCTCGATATCCCCAAACACCATTCTCACGATACTCCTCCTCCACCATTCTCACGATACTCCTCCTCCACCACCACTCACTCCAACCACTCTCTCACCCCCACAACTCCCCCCCCCCAATCACTCCCACCACCCCCCCCATCACTCCCACCACCCCCCACCTAACACCACATCATGGAATCCCTCTCCCGGATCTCCACCCTCCTCGAGACCGCCCGCGACCTCACCCTCGAAGCCGCGCAATCCGCCTCCATCACCGCCTCCGCCCGCGCTCTCCCCACGCCCTCCCCCACCGCCACCAAAAAACTGCTCAACTCCCGCCTCGACCGCGAGGTCCTCGACGGGCTGCGTAAAGTCATCTCTGTCTGTACCCCACACCCCCATTCCCTCCTCACCCCCCACCCCCCCCCCCCCCCCCCCAACTTCCACTCCTCCCTCTCCCCTCTCCCCCGCACACACACAGCTAACACACAAAGATGATGTCCCACGGCACCGACTGCAGCCCCTTCTTCGCCGACGTCGTCAAGAACGTCGCCTCCCCCACCCTCGAGATCAAAAAACTCGTCTACATCTACCTCCTCCGCTACGCCGAGTCCGAGCCCGACCTGGCCCTCCTCTCCATCAACACCATCCAAAAAGCCCTCACCGACCAGTCGCAGCTCGTGCGGTCCATGGCCATCCGCGTGATGGCCGGGATCCGCGTCCCGGTCATCTCGCAGATCGTGGCGCTCGGCATAAAGCGCTGCGCGGCCGACATGTCGCCGTATGTGCGCAAGGCCGCCGCCGTGGCGATCCCAAAGTGCTATCGGCTGGACCCGGGCACGCTGCCGGCGCTGAGGGAGTGCTTGGGCGGGCTGCTGGGGGACCGTAGCTTCTATGTGGTGGGGGCGGCGGTCGTGGCGTGGGAGGGGGTTTGTCCGGGGAGGTGGGAGCTGCTGCATGGGCATTATAGGGCGCTCGCCAGGATGCTGATTGATATGGATGAGTGGGGGCAGCTGGCGGTGCTAAGGGTGCTGACGGGGTATGCCAGGGCGAACTTTCCCGCGAGGGAGGTGAAGGGTAAGAAGGCTGCGGGGGCTGGGGCTAAGGCTAGGGATGGGGAGGGGTTCTACTCGGATGAGAGTGGGGATGAGGACGCGCGCGGGAGGAAGGGGAAGGTAGCGGCCGCGGCTATGGATGCGGACCTTGAGCTTCTCCTCCGCAGCTGCATCCCATTGCTACAGAGTCGGAACAGCGCTGTATTTATCCCCTAATTGATCATTACCCCTACTCTACATACACTATTCTAACACTCTCCAGGTCATCGTCGCCGTCGCCCGCCTCTACACGCACCTCGCGCCCGCCTCCTCCCTCCCCACCGTCGCCGGCCCGCTCATCTCCCTCCTCCGCGCCCCCACCGACATCCAGTACATCGCCCTCCTCAACATCGTCTCCATCGCGCTCAAAACACCGCACCCCTTCACCCCCTACGCCACGCACTTCCTCGTCCACGCCTCCGACCCCCCGCACATCTGGAAGCTCAAGCTCGAGCTCCTAACCCTAATCTTCCCCCTCACCCCCACACGCACCAAAAACTTAATCCTCAGCGAACTCGAATACTTCGCACACACGCACGACCCCGCGCTCGTCCGCGAGGCCGTCCGCGCCATCGGCCGCTGCGCCCAAAGCGAGACGCGCAACGCCGCCCGCTGCCTCAAGCTGCTGATGCGCCAGGTCGAGAGCGGCACCGGCACGCTCGTCGCCGAGAGCCTCACCGTGATCCGGCACATCATCCTGCAGAACCCCGCCGCGCACGCGCGCACCGTCGTGCGGCTCGCAAAGGCGCTCGACACGGCCGTCAACCCGAGCGCGCGCGCAAGCATCATCTGGCTCGTTGGCGAGTTTGCCGGGTCGAACGGCGGCGATAATGTGGCGGCGGATACGCTACGGCTGCTGGCGAAGACGTTTGTGCTTGAGGGCGAGGCGGCGAAGTTGCAGATTGTGTTGTTGGCCGCGAAGGTGTATGCGCATTACTTGGACCGCACGCAGTCGGGTGCGGTGCGGGAGGGCGGCAGTGAGGAGGGGGAGGGGGAGGAGAAGCATCCCGTTGCGCTGCTGTTTGGGTATATCACGCTGCTGGCGCGCTATGATTTGAGCTACGACCTCCGTGATCGTGCACGACTGTACAAGTCGATCCTGTCGACGCCGTCCTCGACGCCGCTTGCGACGCTGCTGCTGCTCGCGCCGAAGCCGACGCCGCTGGCGCCGTCGCCGTCGAGTGGGCGCGAGAAGTATACCGTTGGCTCGGCGGCGATGGTGGTGGGCGAAGGCGAGGACGTCGGTGGGTATGAGCCGCTCGAGGACTGGGTCAGCAAGAGCAGGGCGCCGAGCCCGAGTGTCAGGGACGTGCCGGTGGAGGGCGAGATGGAGAAGCGCGGGGTCGTGGTCATCAAGAAGAGTGCTGGCGGAGGCCACAGTCCTGGGATGGCAGCGACGCCGGAGAGGAGTCCCGTGTGGAGGCCGGAGGGCGTGAAGGCGCAGGTCAAGGAGAAGCCGGAGACGTTGGAGGACTTTTTTAAGGAGAGTGAGGAGGAGGCGAGTGAGGAGGAGACCGAGGAGGAGGAGAGTGAGGAGGAGAGTGAGGAGGAAGAGGACGATGATGATGATGAGGAGGAGGAGGAGGAGGAGGAGGAGGAAAGTGAAGACGAAGGCAATGAGGGGTCGAAATTATTAACGCAGGACAAATAAAATAGGACTATGTAGCTAATTAGGAGCGTCTCTTTTCTTTCTTTTTCTTTCTTGTTCTGTTTTTAATCAGCGGACTGGACAGTGGAGTTGGTAATGTGTATAGACCTGACGTTGTGTTGTACATTTTTTTGTAGCTGGTGCTTTATAGTGGTTATAGCTTAGACTTTTATATATATATATTCTTTTCTCAGCGCATTAAAGTTTTTGGTCTCTAGTTTTTTTTTTTTTTGCGTATTCAAGTATATTGTCAGCGTGGTGATGATTGGCATAGGCGTGGTCGTGAATATGGTAGGCAGCGGGCGGTCCCGCAGTGGACCGAGTGATGGCCTGTGATTACTCGATACCCAGGCTCGTGTTCCGAGGGCTTGGCTCGATATGCTGAGATCTGTGGATTCGAGCATGCAGTGTGCCTTCCGATATGCTCAGGGGCGCTTAAGCTTGTCGATACCCGATATAGAACCGGCCAACCCTCCAACTCCGCTCCTTGACATTCTATAAAATACCCCGCATCATTAATGCTAAAGGTAACTATGAGCGAGTGCATTTACGACTTGGGTCTTTTGCAGGGTCTGTGTTTAACTCAACTATCTCGACGCACCGGTCTATTCACCGAGGCCAAGCTCTTCCCCGGGGTAAAATATTCGAATTTGTAGGCAAAGTTACGCCATCTCCTGTAACAGTTGAGTGGCCTCGTATTACAAAGTGGTAGGACTGAGTACCTCCTCCCTTTGCTCTTCTCCCTTGATTTCCGCGGGATTCACGAGATAAGCTGATAATCATATGTCTGTCAAGGAACATCTTTGCAATAGTTGGGCTTCTGTCTCGTGATAGTGATATTGCATTGATGTGCTTTTTCGAGATGTGCTTTTGGATCTTAGGCAATATATCCCGTTATGGTCATGTGTGTGTAGTAAAATGCAGGGTCCACAAAAGAGCGTGCAAACCCCACTCCTGCAGGGATGTTTTGTGCTCCGTCCGATGCTATCGTTATCTCACGTTCATGCTTAACCAAGCCCAGGTGACACCGATAGCCTCCCGACTGGCCGTGACCATAGTACTATACGATATCGAGCGTCATGATAGTAGTTAACGGCCACTTGGGATTTGCTGCCCCTGCTTCGAACACCTCACTGTAAGCCGGCAATGCACCTCATCTCGTGGACCACATGAGCCCAGTTCTTGGACTAGTCGATCTCACCTCTGGCAGTTGACGGAGTAAGTAAATCTGTAGCCTGTAGGCCAAGTTGTATCGTTGACCAAAATCATGTACAGTCCGCGATCCGGGGTACTCTACACCTTTATAGCTAAGTACATGTAGATATAGTGTGTTTGGAGACGAGGCTTCCGGATCCCCTACATATACTTGTCAAGCTAAAGCTTGAGCGCAATGATGACACGGGGAAATAGAGTCTTGGGCATAGTAAGTGGAATCACGCTAGTAATAAGCTTTCTGAGATTCCCGATATAAATACATGTAGCGATCTGGTCCTCCCTTGGGCTTACTCCCAGCAAGCTGTCTGGAAGGGATAGACACGATACTAATCTTTTCTCCATCCCCAGGATAAATGCTACCAGCTAGTCATGATCAATCACTCACAGTCGTGAGTAATCAAAACCGTTCCAAACACCAATCGAGGTAAGAACATATTATTCTTGTATATTCTCTAGCAGGCAGTGCCCTCATATCACATCTGACGAATCGAATGCGACCTGGGCTTCCCTAGGATGTAGATGGTGACACTATCCCGAAGATACCCCTATCAGACTTCTTCGCTTGTGCTCGAGGGTTTTCTCGGGTTAGTTGGCGGGATTGTCCGCTCTGTATACAAGCACTTCGGGCTTATTTGTTTTAGAGATGAAGGTAATCAGAAATCTTCGGAATCATTGGCCTTGGCAACTGGGATAACTAATGGGTGTGTCTAGCTAGAAATTCTATCCAGAGATGGTTGCTACTGATCCGGGGCCGGAGATCCGATCTCGCAGAGCTAAGTTCCCAGGTGGTCAGTTCGATCATGGTCCTACATCGACAGATTAAAGCTTCCATACACCACGGGCCTTCAAGACCGTCATAACATGCCAAGACGTTTATTCACTTAAGGGGCAGATGGTTACGACGTTTAGTTACTGTATAGGCAAGCCAAGTTGCTCATCCCGGGCGGAAATTTGGCTTGAAGTCTTGGGTTCAGATGGTCCGGCGTTTGATCTCGACCTTGGCAGGCTCAACATGTATCCATGAGACAACTGGCGTCATCAAGGGGAGAAGTTAATTGAGTTTCTCCATCGGTTCAGCTGAGTACCCCACCTGCTCCATTAGTTGATGCTTGCTAGTGAGGTGGTTGTTTAATATTCTGGAAGAGCCAGCTCCGGATGGATAAAAGCACGCAGAAAAGAACTATCAGCGGTACCTAGTGAAACAGCAATTCTATGATTTCCAATCCGTGGCTCTCCGACATCTTAACTCGTATCCCGCATCCCAGTTTGCCTAACAGTCAACCCAGTCTATGGAGTTTCGCATGGCCATATGGATTATTAAACTACTCTATACCCGCAGCAGGCAGATTATGTGTTCATTAATTGGCATTGGCATTTGTACATACCCTTGCCCAGCAGTGTAGCGAGGCAAGTAGTGGTACGTAATCCGGGACTCGGCAGTACCTCGTGAGTTTAACAATTGCAGAATTTAAAGCACTTATGCAGGTACTGGCAGAAGTATTGGCCCATCTCCTGAATGGCCAAGCTCCACAAGCCTCCCTTGGCATTATCGCCGGTGGTAGGGTACCCTAAGTGGGTTTGCGAGATTCTTGACATCTACCAAGCTACCCAAGTGGTCGTCTTAACCCACTTAACCATCGAATTTTATGTAGCTATCACATTAGTGCTCTGTGCGTAAACTCAACTCTATTTCTAAGCCCCTTATCTTCTTTTAAATACACGAAGTTTCCCACTCCTATGCCTACACATCCATCAACTTACTTTCAATTTACTTCTTTATCAGTCGATACTTGGTTATTGCAGTCCATCATGTATGTTCTTCCATCTATCATTGCTTAATACTCTACTTTATCTTGCGGGATAGCTAATTTCCAGCTAGTAGTTCTTTTCGCAAATCTCCCACATACACATATACCCTGCTCGATTTCTCAAAATGAAGAACGCAGTCAATTATTCTGGAGTTTCAACCTGTATTGGCAATGCAGACGCTTCAATCGATACATCCAGAGGCAATTCTCCCCCAGCTGCTAGGACCTCTGAGGGTCTAACAATTCCTCACATAAAAGTCAAAAAGATTTGCTGTATTGGTGCTGGATACGTCGGTAAGTAACCAGATTCATCCGGGAATGCAAATACTCCAAGAACTTGTTCTTATTCGATTTCCGTGTTAGGGGGTCCTACATGTACAATAATTGCAGCAAAGAACCCGGATATCATTGTCACGATTGTCGATATCAATCAAGCCCGTATCGATGCGTGGAATTCCGATAACCTTCCCATTTCTGAGCCAGGACTGGATGAGGTTGTGAAAAGCTGTCGTGGACGAAACCTGTTTTTTTCCACTGATGTCGACAAAGCAATTCATGATTCAGACCTAATCTTCGTATCGGTGAACACTCCAACCAAGACCAAAGGAGTGGGAGCTGGATATGCCGCCGACCTTGGCTATGTAGAGAGTGCGACAAGACGCATTGCCCAGATTGCCCGGAGCGACAAGATCGTCGTTGAAAAGAGCACAGTGCCTTGCCGAACAGCGCAAAACATGCGGTACATCCTCGAGGCAAACTCCAAGGCCGGGATCCGATTCGATATTCTTTCCAATCCTGAGTTTCTCGCTGAAGGGACCGCTGTCTCGGATTTAATGAACCCCGACAGAGTGCTCATTGGATCCTTGAAAACAGAATCCGGGCGCGCGGCTGCAGCTTCCTTGGCAGATGTCTATGCATCTTGGGTCGCACGCGATCAGATCATCACGATGAACCTCTGGTCCTCAGAACTTTCAAAGTTAGCGGCGAATGCTCTACTAGCCCAGAGAATCTCATCGATCAATGCGCTCTCAGCGATCTGCGAAGCTACCGGGGCAGACATTGAAGAAGTCAGTTACGCATGCGGACTAGATACCAGAATTGGGTCAAAATTCCTCAAAGCTAGTGTCGGGTTCGGAGGAAGTTGCTTCCAGAAGGATATCCTTAACTTGGTGTATCTGAGTGAGAGCTTGCATCTTCCGGAGGTTGCTGCTTACTGGAAACAGGTATGCCTACTCATCCCTGTTACAGCCTCCGGTAGAATTATTGTGGAAAACAGGGACAACGATCACGCCGAGAACAGAGCGATTCTCCAACGCAATAATTCTACCGGATTCTATACTACAGCAACATGGATTAGTAGTCTTACATATACTAACCACTGACTGGGATTATGATAGGTCGTTGATATGAACGAGTACCAGAAACGGCGATTTTCAAACCGAGTGATATCTAGTTTTTTCAACACCATCTACGGGAAAAAGATAGCGATCCTAGGGTTTGCATTCAAGAAAGATACCAGCGACACCCGCGAGTCTCCTGCAATCACACTAGTAAACCACTTCCGTACGGAGGGCGCTCAAATCGCCATTTACGACCCCAAAGTTCAGGAATCACAGATTTGGATTGACCTCACCGAACCAGGCGTCGTGGACGACCTTAAGGAAGTACAGAAGCAGGTCTCGATCGCGAAAGACGCTTATGCTGCCTGCGACGATGCCGATGCTGTCATTATTTGCACAGAATGGGATGAGTTTAGAGATACTGTGTTGGATTATAAGCTGATTTATGATCACATGAAGAAACCAGCGTTTGTGTTTGATGGAAGGTTAATTCTAAATAAGACAAGGCTTGAGGATATGGGGTTTCAGGTAGGAACTATTGGAAGGGCGACGAGTGGCTTCACAGTTCCTAAAGACTGGGAGTAAGAGAGATTCCTTCATCTTATTCAGGACTCGTGGCTCACCACAAGAACTATGAGGCCAGTGAAAGCCGCCCACGGGCGGCGCAAAGTCAACCCACCTATCACGCAAAATTATCCCGCGAAGCAGTGCTGAATGACACTCTTTGCCGCCATGGGCCTAATGTGTTGTGATGACGGGAACAGATAATGGGATATTTTGGGTTTGTATTTCGTTTATTTATCTTTACTTTTGTAGTAACGTCAAGGGCTTAATTTTCTATACAGGATGGGTTTTGGTGGGTAACGGCAGGTGTGTTCTCTTGTTTCTTATTTCTATATAATCATCTAGAAAGATATGGTCCTGGAGTAACTTTGTTCAAATAAGTGCGTCACATTCTCTGGTCGTCAGTAAAAGCATCGCATTTGATATGTAGCTTCGAATGATAAGATCTGAAACAAATTTATTCTCGGCCTTACTGGTTCTCAATAATTTCGATATTCAAATTCGGCCTTTTGACGTCCTGGTTATGTAATTGCTAGAGCTTACTGTCGAACTTAGCTTATCTGCTTTAACCCGCAGTGCATTTTCCCGCCGGCAGCTCGTAATCACATCTAAGTCAATACGACTGACAGGCTCTTAACATGCAGGCTGGAATCAGGTTTCACTGATTATAAACACGGCCGGCAGGAGGTGCAGGGTCTTTCAGCTGGAAAACTCAACTACCTACATATCATTATTATGTGACCATATAAGTAGGCTAAAATTGTAGCCAATCAAGTACACTGGCTACTATTTCGATAACCATTCGATGTAGAACGATGTGGGCCGTGACTGGGCATATTATATTCTACTAGCTCGTATCTCTTGATCGAAGGTAGAAATAGATATCAGTTTGATTCGTACACTTACTAACATGTTGATGTATTGGTGGGGGATATCACCAACAAACCGATAAACACTTCCACTCAATATTTCTTGCAGCATTCACCTCTTCTGACCGGGAATCAAAGAAAACCCGCCCAATTAGAGGCTATGATCTTCAGATCTTCATGCCAGGCAGGACTGTGCATGCAAGCCTTAAATTCAACATGCCAACGACCGTGAGAGGTGTTAACACTAAATTAAAATACCCAAGACCGCCCTGCATGCATTAGGGGGACTTTGGCCTGCATGGTATGAGGAATACTCGTAAAGAATAATTCTAAGGATTGGTATTCTAAGTATTTGACGGCGTATTCTTAAGCACGGCATACAAAAAGTGATATATGATACGTATCCTGCATGCAGCAGAATCTTGGGTACATGTATTTTAATTTAATGTTAACGACTCTCACGGTCGTTGGCAAAAAGACTCTAATGTCTAGCTCGACTTTCTACTCACCTCATGCAGCTATAGCTAGAAGAAGAAAAACTCCGGTAGTACAAGGCCGTCGGTCATGAGGTCTTTGTCTAAATTGACCGGAAGGCAATATCACAATCTCAATCTCATACAATGGCAATAGCAACGTGCTTAGCTTTACTAGCTGTAGCTGCATGTATCTTAAGCTGTCAAATTTTATATCTTCATGAGCTATATATTATAATTTCATTGAGAGCGAGGACATCGTATAGCATACACTTAACTAACAGCTTTAGGGATAGCTAGAAGGTTTGTGGCAAGTGATTTAGTTCGATTTTTTTGTGGAGCTTAAACAGACTGCTATGAGGGTTAGGGGAACTAGTGACAATGTTTCACAGGATTCAATGTTCCCCAAGGCGTATTTCTGAGTCTCTAGGATAAGTGTGAGGTCGTTCGGGTAATGACGTAATGCCACTGATCACTATCCTAAGGCTCATCTAGCTACGTCTCCAACCAAAGACATCAACCATGTCGAACCCTCCCCAAAATAACCCCTCTGAAGAGACCCGGGCGTTTCTCGCAAGACAACCCCCGGGAGCCGTTTTTCAATGCATGCTAGACATCTTCAGATTTTACAATATCGGTGATAGGATGCCCCGAGGTAAACTCAATTTCGCAACATTAACGGATGAGGACTACGTGCATTTTACACGATTCACCTCCGGTAACATTCGTACCGTATGTTCCAATAGAATAAATAATGTCTTTCTTGCAACTGATAGCATCAAATAGATTACTACCCTTCTTGAAATGCCAGAGAAAATCATAGGCCCTACGGGTCTGGAATTTACAAGGGAGGAGGCGTTCTTCTTTCTCTGTGCTAGGCTTGCCTGGCCTACGAGAATGAAAACATTGGAGTTTACATTTGGCTATGATGTCGCCCTTATCTCTGAGGCTATGAACTGGGCGTTGCAGCATATCGTGGACCATTGGGATTTTCTTCTTGATGACTTTGAATCTGGACACTTGAGCGAAGACCGCCTGGCTCTGTTTGCGAGTAAGATTCATGCCAAAGACTCACCTCTCGACAAGTGCTGGGGCTTTATAGATTGCACCATACGAAAAGTTTGCCCACAGGTCGAATGGGAAAAGGAAGAGTATAGGATGAATACGTATTTGCATCGCTACAAGTACCAGGCTGTAAAGTCTCCTGATGGCTTGATTTATCATCTATTTGGACCAGAGGATGGATCACCCCGCACGCTACTACGTGAAAGTCGTCTACTTGATCGCTGCGAAGATAATGCACCAAGCTATTACATGTATGGAAATTCACAATACTCGATAACTGAAAACCTTATCACGGCCTACGACAGTCTAAACATCACTGAAGATCAAAAAATGTTCAATAGGGCCATGAGATCCTGCCATGAATGCGTTGGATGGGGATTTGCCGATGTTCTACGCTTATGGACGGCTTTGGACTTCAAGACCACTCAGCAGCTGTTTGGAGATGTCGATGTAGGATCGCACTACAGGGTGGCTGTCATTCTCACAAATTTTCATATCTGCTTGTATGGGTCAAGTACTTCCACATTTTTTAATTGTGATCCTCCAACATTAGAAGAATATTTGGGTTAAACTGTAGCTCATGAGCTTGCGGGACTTTCGGGGAGGGTATTGAGCGATAAGTCAAGACACAAAAAGTTAGTTGCGGTATGGGAAAGGAAATTGTAGGTAATTGCGTTTGCGTTTGCTGGAAAAGAACTGGCTTTAGTCAAAGTAATGTCTATCAGTCCTGGCGTGCTAATAGCATGGGGCGAATCGGCATATAATTCCATTGCTCGTATGTGGAGAGTAGTACCGACAATGTTACAGTAGAAGGGATTTACTGAAGAAAGGAAAGAGAAATAAATACTCAATGGTTCTAATCTTAGCATGAGGTTAAAGAAAATACATGCCGCAATCAATTTAGCACCATTGAATCCAAACGCCTTGCAACTTTTGAAGAAAGGTTGAAAAAAAAAAAATACCGCCCGTACTCAAAGATTAAACCGATTGATGGACGCACCTATCAATCCTCCTCCATCTCGTCATCCTCAACCACAATATCCTCCACGTCAACTAGTGACCCGCCCACTCTATTCACCTCCTTCCTCGCTCTTCGTATTGCCTCTTGCTCCACCTTCTTGATGGTGCCACTCACCCTCACTACCCTAATCACCACCGGGACGCCCTTGAGCTCGTTCATAAACGACAGCGCCGTCCACACGAGCCTATAGTGATCTCTCGACACCCTAACTATTCCTGTCGACGTCGCTGGCGAAAAATACTTCACGCTAAGGTTCCCCGCCACACCCGCCCCGTAGTCGCCGAACTGGTGGGCGAGGCCATCGCGCAGCAGTCCCGACAGGTATGAAGATGTGATGGAGGGGTCGCTGGGCGAGGAAAACTCGAGATGTGTGCTGGCAGCACCTAGAGTCTTGGGCGCATTCGGGTACAGAACGTCGAAGAGGATGTAGCGGGCTTTGTAGCGGACCATGGTGTGCGCGGTGGAATGAGGTTGGGTTTGGATGTGGTGGGAGTAGTAGGTATGTAGATCAGGGTTCCACAGAGCCGCTGGAAGCTTGGCGGTGGGCGAGTGATAGGATGAGATCGAACTACTCTTCTACGAGTATGTGGATATTGACTTCAATCTCAATCCTGCGCGCGGTCGTAGAAATAGATCAAGCTTATGGACGGTTACTAGAATCAAAACAGGATTCTTATATACCTGTACTAGTCACGCCAAACCACATTACTACATGTAAATATTTAGCGATTTCTCCACAGCACAAGGGCTAGAGCTAAAGAGCTCTAAGAAGATATTTGGAAGCTTCAAATAAGATGAAGAAAAGGTTTGGGCAGCTTTGCTACGCAGACCTCACTGCGCCCGTATTTCTGCTTCTTAGATATATAACTGATGAATTGAAATAGGTAGAGGAAAACAACAAAGAAGGGCGATTTCATGGGCGATTCAAGCTACGAAATTATTCATTGACCAATTTTTGACGTGAGGCCCATATTCACTCTACGCTGTTAGGCCTCTAGATTTTCGCTATCCAGTCATATATTATAACTCGGCTTTAACTCCACCTGGTTGACCAGTGATATTCCAACCATTATTCACCACTCCTATCGACAATCTTTTACGTTCGAAATTAAATTAAATAGGAGATAAAAGGATAAAGATCCGATATTTCTTGGTTTGTATATGGATAGAGGAAGACAGGAAACACATACTAACGTCCATCGTTGTCGGAGGGATATTATTACTGCTTCCAAAATTACCTCCAGTTTCGTTTAGTCTTCCGTGTTGTGGGACGAGCTTGAGTTTGTCTTTCGCGCTCTGGGTGCGCCTAAGTACCTCCACTACCATACAAAGGCCCATTAAAAGACGATAAACCATTCCGATTGGTCGTTTAAATTTGAAATTTTATGTTCGGAGGTACGTCGACCGTAATACACATCTAAATCAACAGATCTACTATTCATACATGTCCCTGTACTTGCTGCTATCCAGTATATTTGTACCATTCCATGATGACAAATTGTCATTGATGGCTCTACAGCCTCCCGTATACTTGTTTGACTCCCTTTCAGCTATAAAATAATAGTCATCCTTGTCCATGAGATTGTTAATCAAGTTGAAGTGTCCTCTGTATACCTCAGCACTCGGTGCAGTTGGTCCTAAATAATTTTGGCAGAAACGTCTGTACAATCATCCAGCAGATATAGGATTGTCTCTGACTGAGACATTGACGTCGTTCATATGCAGTACATAATTCACCATCGATAGGTGACCCTTATTTGTTGTAGTGTGATTATTTAATCATAGCCATAGGCAGCGGTATAGTGATATGCCTGCCACCCACCCTTGTATACAGAAGTATCTTCCACTCCAGTCAGCAGCACCAACAAATTTGGGTACCCGTGGGGTGCTGTGATGTGATGTGTTGGAAAGTCTTCGTTACACAATATGTGTATGAAATCGCCCCCTATACTTCTGGATTTTGTGATGTATTTGAAACTATAATTGGCAGAGTCTATATATAAAATCGTCACCAAGCTCCTTCAGTAAATCGCCGCATTTGATAATTGAGGATCCAAAATTTTGTGGCCCCAGGAATTTGGGGTTGTCCTTTTTTATATTTTGTAGGATCAAGAGTAATTCCTTGAGCAGCTCAAGCTCGTTAAAAAGTAGTTCAATGACTTTTGAAACCCAAGGTGTCGAAATGGTCTGCTTGATCCAGCTAATTTTATCGTCTATGATCTCAACCGCGGTGACAATCATCTCCATAGTCCAAGAGCCATTCGTATCTACCTCACAGGTGGTCTTGGCCATATTAAGTACGGGAGGTTTGAAGTGACCGGGATACCTGAAACTATCTTGCTGTGGATTCGACGAGGAAATATTCCCGAGAGTCGGGATAAGATAAACTTTGACAACTGCAAAGGTATTAAAAATATGCCAAGTCCACTCTTGACATTAACTTTTACCACTCCAAGGAACCGCATGGCATAGACGTACAACTAATAATCAAGTCCACACCACCTCAATTAATGTCGCGTTTTCAGACACCACCCCTATTCAGGCGCGTCTCATATCTGTCTTTCTCAAGCCCCTTTCCCATACGAAATGTCATGGGATATCACTCACCACCCAACTCGAGTGATTTCTCGTGAGTCATTCTAAAGAAATATAGCTCGACCAGGAAGTCACGTTCTTTTTAATAAGGAATCTTGGCCAAATTCCATAAAATTCGACTTATAGATTGCTCACTAATTTTTATCCATGCAACGGATGTATAAGCCCATAAACCATTTTTTTATATTGAAAGATTGTGTCTTTATATTTAAGATGAATTATAAGTCCACTTTAGTTATGACCACAATAATGAAGAAAGAAAGAAAAAATAGCCTACTAAGTTTAGTGGGGACAGATTCGACTTGATAACACTAAAAGAAACGATTGCTACAACGTGACGATAAAAATAAAATAAGGATAGATAAGTGGAAAGTGGATGGGGGGGTAGAGGGAAACAAAATGTGAAATAGAGAGTTATACCAGAAACAAACAAGTGGATAGAAAAGGGGTTAAAAGAAAACAAGTGCCTGCCCGCACACCCACATACCCACACATCATTCATACCCTATGTTGATCATGCTCCGTTACTTTCATCACAACATGACCCGCATCCCCCCCCCCTAGCCCCTTATACCACCCAACTGCCCAATAACACAGCCCTACAGCAATATCCGAACTAGAGGCCCATGCAGAAGGTCTTTGCCCCGCGTAGCAAACAACGCCTTAAATGCGAAGAAAAAGAATCAAAAATCACATGCAAATGAACTCTCCCCTTGCTTTTAAAGAATATCGGGTATGCAGTCCTATCCCCATTGACGCTTTTTACTCGCTATATTAAACAAAATCATGCACGTAAGAAAACCCGCGAAACTCCTCTTGCATAGCTTGAGTAAGAACTAAACAAATACGTTAGTAACATAACATCCCACCAAAGAAGTTGAATGGCTTACCAGAATGCACAGGTGTCAAAACAGGGGTAACACTAGTAAACTCCTGGTCGAAATTGGATGTGTCGGTGGCAGAAGTGATCTGAGGTTTGAATGGTGGCGGTATTCTCTTATGGTAAATATCCTCCCAATTCACAGAGTTGAAGAATGCGTGAGACATAATTTCCTGTGCATCTGTGGGGCCAGAACCCAGACGCAACTCGGGTTCCCTTGTCAAGAGTTTCTGCAGGATTGATACTGAGTCACGCGGCATGTGAATCGGATATAACGGCTCATCAGCAAGAATGGCATCGTAGATCTCATCTTCATCCTCGCCTCGGAATGGCGATTGCTGGAGCAACATCTGGTAGATCAAAACCCCAAATGCCCACCAATCAACTGCACGACCGTAGCGTTTGTCCATAAGAATCTCGGGAGCCATAAACTCAGGAGTACCGCAAAATGTGCTTGTGGTAGAACCGTACCACATATTCTCCTTGCATAGCCCATAATCTGCAATCTTAATGTGCCCATCAAGTGTGAGAAGAATATTATCGAGCTTCAAATCACGGTATATAACTCCGTTCTCATGGAAGTACTTCAACGCCAAGCAAACCTCAGCTGCGTAAAACCTGAAAAGATGTCAGTGACCCTACCATAGTATAAGGGAAAGTACACGTACTGCGCCCTCTTTGCTCCAAATTGCTCTCTCTGGATATGCAACATCAGATCTCCTCCACTGATATATTCCATGACGAAGTATACACGTGTTTCGGTCTGAAAGCAGGCATGTAGATTGAGTAGAAAAGGGTGGCGCTCCTTATTGGCCACCAAGAAAACCCGCTTTTCAGATCTCGTACTTTCGACTTCGTCATTTTCAATAATAAACTCCTTCTTCAAAACCTTGATGGCATACAGCTTCTTTGTTCCTTTGGTTTCCGCCAACATCACTTTACCGAAATTACCTTTCCCGAGAACAGCAAGAAAGTTGAAATGATCCAGCCCTATCTTTTGCGGCCGCGATGCAGCACTAGGAGGTGCACCCTTTGGTGGAAATGTAGCGATCTGTGTCTGTGGTGGCTGTTGTACCTGTTGTGGCTGTTGCGGCTGTAGTTGTTGCTGTTGCTGTTGCTGTTGCTTCGGCTGTTGCTGCTGCTGCTGCTGCTGGGCTGGTACAGGCTCGGGGTAGGATTGTTGATGCGGAATAGGAGGTTCCTGGTGCTCATATGGAGATTGTGATGGAGGCGGTGACGATTTTTGTGGCGCTTGTGGCTGTTGGGCCTGTTGGGCATAGGGATTTGGATAGTCTGAGCTTTGTCCATACGAACCTTGCAATTCACTCATGGGTGGCTTTTGGGCAACCGGCGACGCTGGAGCTCCTGACATACGAGATGCTTGCGGATTATAATAGTCCGCAGACTGCCTTCCATATGTACCAGGGGATGGCGGAACTGACGGTGGGCGCTGGGCAGCCAGCGCTGCAGCTGCCGCGGTTGTAGAATCCGTCCTTTGTTGCGGGGGACGCTGTTGTTGCTGCTGCGGGTAAGCTTGCTGTTGCTGTGATAAACGGGTTGGTGACTGAGAAGCACCATATGCAGCAGTTGCTGCTGATACGGCCGATGGTGAAGATGGCGCACCATATGCAGGTTGACTCTGACGCTGTGGTTCCTTCTGGATTGAATTTCTTGAGTCCAATCCAGCACCATATGGGTCGCTTTGTGGTCTCTGGGACAATGGCGATGATGGGGCCTTGGCACCGTCCAGCAAAGTTGACTTCTTTCTCATTTTTTTCATCTCATAGAGAATTTGATTCGCGACTTCCATGGACATACCACAGAAATCAGGAACCAGATGCGCACACTGAGCGTGACAAGTGAGAGCGCATTCTTTTCGGCATTAGCGTTTGATAAATTTATGGATTGGAAAGTAGATTACCTGAGCATTTGCGCGAATTCTTTTTCCCGACAGGCAGCATGTAACCACAGTGACAGCACCAATTGGCGCCCATGTTAGTCATAGGCTCAAATCTGTGTGGGATACGATGATTGAGTTTCTCTTCCTCTGGGTCGGACTCGGTATTTGACTTTGATATGCACTTTGTGACGACCTTTGGATAACACTTTTTGTGGCAAGTGTACTTGCAATCCGAACATTGCATACCCGTCGAATACTTGAGAAAATCGCTGCAAAGCGCACAACGCATGATGTTGTAGAACTGCTGTTGCACAAACTTATGGCCATACATTTCGTGAACCTCTTCTTTGCGCGCACGAACAGCACCTTTTCTCCCAAGTCCAAGATCCAGCGGACGCTTGTTCTGGTTAAATTTGGCTATGAAAGTTAGCAACTATAAAGAAAATCAATTACCCCAGGGTATTTTACCAAAGCTTAGTGAGAGGTGAACTTGTCCGACAGGTTCCAATGCAAACCACGCATCAATACACACCTCTCCAGGTTGCTGAGTTGGTTGAGGCCGTCCTGTAGTGTTGGCATATAATCCGGCTCCTCCAGCTCCTGCAGCTGCAGGGCCAGGAAGTCCTCCGGCGTTGAACGCGTATTGACTCTCGTTCGGCCTGGGTCCACTGTTTTCCATTGTTTCCGCACTCACCCACCCAGAGCCGGAGATTTCTTGCTCTACTTTCTTTCTTCTCAAGTCCTCAGCAATATCGGATATCCGGATCCACAACAGACCAATCGGCATCGGATGATCTGCTGGCTTGTCGTAAATTGTCATCTCGATCTCATTGGCTTTGTCCACATCAATATCATGGTTTTCGTCAAGCCACTTGTCGTTCCTGGTCGACTTTGTTCTAACACGTACAATATCTTCAACTTTAATTATCACAAAGGTTTCAGGTCCTCTGGCGAATCGTGAAGTGGTCGCATGGTCAACGTCCTTCACAGCGAGAACACGGATTCTCAGGCGACCAGTAAGAGGACGGCGGATATTAGGAGCATTTATACTGTCATCTGCACCAATCAGCATTCCGTTGTTCCGATATGCATCGGTATCGATACATACCATCTGCCTCGTCGCCAAAATCCATATCAACGTGAAGATCTTCGTATCGCTTCAACGCCTGTTTCAACAACTGGATTTTCTGGGCACTTTCTATCCGTTTGCTCTCGGCATCTTGTCTGCTTTTGCGATCTCCTTCAAGCTGATAAAGCTTTACCATTTTCTCAATTCCTTCTTTATACTGTTTCTCCACGCTTAGTTTGAATTCCAATTGCGATAACATCAATTGAATGCGGGGCCCAAGATGTGGAGTATCATATTTGATGAGATCTGTCAAGAAAATCAGAAAATGATCTAGGTACATAGCTTCCAGTAAAGGTCATACCAAGTTTCGAGTAGTTTGTTTTAGTTCTCGGTTGTTGACTAGCAAACGGTGGATTCGGGGGAGCCAGAGGTTGTTGGTACCCCCCATAATTTCCTTTTCAACATAAGTACTTGCCCCGTGCGAGAAAAAAAAAAGAATGTTGCGCACCTCCGTCGTTCATACTCATCCCTTCCATGCCCGTCTGCATAACCCGGTTCTGCAGCTCAGTGTAACGATCCTCTAGATAGCTCAAGTTCCTTTGTGATTCACGGATCTGACTATCGAGTCGCTGTTGAACGGCTGCATTGTCGGTAGAGCTACGCATAGCCCGAGCACCGTTCATCAGGACCTTCTCACGCTCTATCTTGCGATAGACATCCTGCAGAAGCTTATCCGCCATAGCTGTGATAAGATAAAACCGAATCTAGCAGAATTCGAACTTGACCTAACGATCGCTTTATCTGTCTTCTGACAGTTGTCGGGGTGGTGTGTGAAGTTCCCCTGTCAAAGGTTCAGGCTATGACGAGGTTCCACTCCTTAGCTGAGCGCGTGTCGGGTTCCGCCTCAACGAAACAAAGAAAAAAGTAGCAGGGAAAAACACCACCAAAGGAGACCCGCCCTGAATAAGTTTACTAACAAACTGAGAGCTCGCGAGGTGAGTAGACAAAATCACGGGTGAAACTATTCTGTTGAGGTCGGTAAAGGAGGGGTATCAACAGGCTGCGGCACTTCTGGTGGGGGGCCTCTCTGGGATTGGAGCAGGGTGGAGGTGGCTGATATGCCAGCTTCAGATGGCCAGCTTACTCATTTTCTCTGATTCAGTTAGCCATCACGTGATATGTTGATTTCACGTGATCGTCCCAAACATACATGTATGTAACTGTTTTGAGGTCTTCTAGATACATCACGACAAGTTACTGATTCACAAAGATCTCCTATGAACCACTTATTTCAAGTAAAGTTTTATAGAGGACTATCAGGGCATACTCCCTCCCAAATCAATATCTGGGGAAACCAGGAACAACATACCGCCAAAACTCGAAAAATTGGCTATCTCCGTCCAGGGATTACCACTTGAGTGATTGGTTGAATGGCATCGATCTGCACCAGAAGTTTCCCGTACAAGTAATTTTGATCTAGCCAATTTTTCGAGTTATGGCGGTACATATCATACAAGCCTGCTGGCCTGGGATCTGGGGAGCTTCTAATTAGCACCTCCTAATATTATCGTGCGTAGCAAGTACATGTGCAAACTTAGGCTAAACTCTTCGTGAATTAGGTTCCCGAGGAGGAATGATCGCTGCAAGGTGAGTTTTACTCCTGATATTTGCGAGTCTACAGAGCCTATTAGGAACGTATAGCTCCTCACGATTTTACACTACATGTATATACTTGCTGCGAGAATAAGTTTCCGCCACCACTTTTTGTTGCAACCGCATTTTCACGTACAAACTTAGCGGAAACTTATTCTCGCCGCAGGTACATGAAGTTCTTATCTAATCTGTGATAAATCACCTTGCCATGGCACTTCTCTGCGATGTTTATATCACGACTTCCCTATTGGGTTTAAGTAACATGATTGAGATCAGGTCTGATGGCTTAAGGTATAAACCCTTTCCTAGCTGATAGCAAGATCAGTCAAAGCCATTATGCATGTCTGGCCTTAGAATGATCTTAGGAGCACCATAGAGATTCTTTAAGGCACATGAGGTTCCTATAACGTTGGGCATGATATGTTTTTGCTCCCAAAGCTGTAGAACATCCGAGTCTTAAACCAAGTGTCAACGGTAGAATTGATGGATGTCTAACAGATTTGGGATTGGCGGAGCCACGTGTACTCTAATATTTACTCTTGCACTAAGATTTTTCGGGCCTGGCGTGAGGCAAAGCACAGCATCCCAGTTGTTGAATTCAACCAGTGGGTAATCCGTGGTATTCCCCGACTTTCTCTACTTACATATACACAAGTACTAGAGCACTACAGGTATTGTATTCTATTACAATTCCAGCACCACTGGTTAAAATCAAACCAGCCAATCACCTAATAAATGGTTATAGATTCTTGGTCATGTGTGAATCATACGTTATCACTCGTAGATGGTCCAGTCATGACTTTGTTCTTGGGCTGTTATCTGACAACCTTTCAGAATGTATGACCGGGTCATGTCTGTGTGTAGCCGTCATTCGGGGATGACGACCTATATCTACAGGTAAGTACATGTAAGTACAGTACGTGTACATGTAGTCTTTCCGGTCCCAAAGGGTCCCTAAACCTTCCCATATACATGTGCATACTAATAAAACCAATCAAAAGATCTTTACACTCGAACTACATAACAAAAAAAAGTCTTCATCACATTTTCATCATAGGTTATCACTCGGAACCACTCGTCCCGAGCCATCCTATGACTGGGATCAGCGACAGCACAGCTGTAGATTGCAAATCAAGTCTATTCCTGATTTTAAATCCGAAATAATATAAAATAATTACTTGGCATAGTAAGTTAAAAACCTTATCAAAATCTTCAGGAGAGTCAAACGCTCGATCAACAGACTGATCCTAAAACTTCAATACCCCTATGTGTGTTATGTCGATAATTTTAAAAATATCACATATAGAACGAATCAGGGGCTTTTTGCTTTTATAAATCTCCGTTGCCAATATGAGGGAGACGACGAGTAACATCATCACCAGAGCTATTCTCTTATCTATATCATATGTATTGGATGAGACTGCTCGACCGCCCGCAGCCCAGACGATGCGGAAACAGCTTCCGATGTGATACTATTTCGAAGGCGGTTATCCCCGCGACCGGCGATTATAGAAAGGCTGTCATAGACGCGTTTAAAACCCCGCGATATTGAGTCTGCGTCATGAGACATCACTCGGAACACAGATGCCTTGTCACTTTAAAGTTTAAAAGAAGGCCACATCCACAAAGAATTTGCACCCCCAATTATACGTACACGGATCATGTCAGAATCAAAGCTTTGGCACTCCATCTGGAGAACTATGTGATGCCTGCAAATTCATTAATCCACGGGAAATACATTGTGCGCTCGTTGGCCTGTGTTTTTGGGAGCACAGAGCCCCCTTAAACCGTGCGGCCTGGCACCCAATCATGGAGATGGGTAATCAACCAGGGAGCACTGCTGTTTCTTGTCTCCTGTAGCCTCGGTCCCAGGCTCAGGTGGTGTGATTTATTTCGTGTGGCTGATAATGCCCGCTAGTCCTATTTTGACATCAAATTTCTATCACCACTTCTGAGCCTGGTGAATTTGCTGCCATGCCTACACCGTATATTTTTTACCCCCCAAAACCTCCTCCAAAATGACTGGATCGCGCTGAATATACAGCGCAGCCAAATCCCCGCTGTACCCAGCTCGCTGCGCACCCAAATCACCCAATTTGTCGTGCGAGCAATACCCCGCGCACTGCGCGAGCCACCACCCGCGCAGCGCAGGCAACCCATCCGCGCAGCGCAGGCAACCCATCCGCGCAGCGCAAGCAACCATCCGCGCAGCCAAATCCCCACTGCACCCAGCTCGCTGCGCACCCAAATCACCACTGCACCCAGCTCGCTGCGCACCCAAATCACCGAGTAAGTCGCCTAGGTGGCCTACATATATGCCAGCCCGACGTTCAGTACGGAGGGCCGCCTCCGGGCGCCCATTCATTCCTTCGCACTATCCTATATCTGCCAGCTCAACCACTCAACAGTCACCTATGCACAGTAATTATACCTCGCCGCCTCCGCCTCCTACCCTAGCTCAACGCTTATCTGCTGCGCGGAATATGGTGCGACAGTATGGTTTCGATGATATCCCCAATTGCCTATTAGCAGAACTTCAGTGTACAGATCCATCCGTGCTCGCGCGTTCCAAAGCTTACTTGCAGCGCGGTAGCATGGGCAAGCTTTTATGTGCTGCGCTCGTACACTCTTCTAATTCCATCAAAACCCTCGCAAAGGATATTGATTTGCGTAATGCATGTGTGGATATCGTCGAGAACCTTGTGCACAGCGAAATGAGCGCCCTTATAGCTGCACCGCACATGCGCAAAAAGATGAATCAATTTACCCATGAATACATCAGCGGATTTTCACTCTCTGATATTGCAGTAGCGCAAAACAGCTTCGCCCCCACAGTCAAAAGGCTCGTTGATGCAATGATAGCGCCTAGCGCTCAAGACCCCGCGCGCACTCAAGACCCCGCGCGCGCTCAACACCCTCCCCGCGCTCAAGACCCCGCGCACGCTCAAGACCCCGCGCACGCCCAAGACCCCGCGCACGCTCAAGACCCCGCCTCCCCGCTGGGCAATCATTATCAACCCCACCAAGAAGACTCAGAAGATCTCCCTTCATTCATAGAGCTGGGAGTCGGTACGACTAGTACGCAGAAACCTGCGCCCACCAAGCGTTATGATATTGTCTCTACAGTTGCCATCAGCATTGCAGCTTATGGGCGCTCACAACGCGCCAATTCTCTTCAGGGCATGGTGGGCTATTATTTGAACGCCTCCGGCGCCGGTAAACGAGTGATAGAGGTCCTCCACTGCCTGGGAATCTCTGTCACTTATGAGGCTGTAAACCACGCACTGCGTGCTAACGCCTCTGCCCTGCGTGATATGCTACGCATCAAGGCTGCTGCCCACCCGTTCTTTGTTTCCTTCGACAACATGGTTTTCTACCAAAGGGTAAAGACTCATACTACTGGTAATCGTCAATATCAACAACACTACACTGCGGGGTATATTGCATTCCTGCAGGGCACCCCGCGCGCTGGGTTCCTCCCTCGCGCTGAAATGCTCAACCGTGATAGTGCCCGATTGATATCTGCGCGCGACGTAATGGTGGACTCAACAACCTTCCAATACACGCGCGACGCCGCGAAGGCCAACATATGGAATATACTCCACAAACATGCGCATGGTGCTATAGAGCTCAATATGCAGCGCAGAGGAAAAGATGGCACTATCATCAAGCCAGGTTACGAACCATTCATTGCCCCCGCACTGTTTCCATTGCCCTTGAAAAAATCTGACCTTCACACGATGCCCACCTTCCATAAGAATGAGGCCATAATCAGCGAGGTTATCGACATCATAAAATCAATTCTACAGGAGCTTGATATCACCGCCCACCAGCTTATGGACAAACTGATCCTCTTCAAGGGCGATTATATGACCGTGAGAAATATACTGTACGTGCGTACTTGGCACAACTCTGCATTCCCTAAGCTAACTTCCGCTAGGAAGGCTGTTTTTCGCAGGCAGGAAGATCAACCTGCGCACCAAATGGAATACGTGGAGCCCGTAATTGGTCTCTTTCATCTGCAAATGTGTATGCTGGGCACTATATTTAAGGCGCACTGGGGGAATGATGGTCGAGAGCCCACTAGTATCCTCCGGTTTGTTAAATTACTTCGAAAGCCCGCGATAAACACACCTAAACCCAAGGATTTCCGCGCATACGATCAATTCTTTCAACAAATACTTGAAGCGCATGTAATATCTCTTGCTGCCGAAACTCTCAACGCCGACACCGTCGAGTTGTTCAATCACCGCCTCCGCGCAGCCAACTGGCGTCTTGTAATAGAGGATATGGTTGATGCTATATTCCCAGTATGCGGGGGACTATCCGTCGTCAAGCGCAGGCGTTTCTGTGAGCGCGGCATTCCTGTTCCGCACCAATCCAGAGATATTCTATATGAAAATGCGATTTTACTACTGCAGCAAGGATTGGTGTACGCTGACTACGGTGCGGCGGTATGCGCGGGGGATCCCGGGCGCCTGGAGCACATCATTCGCCTCTGGACCACGCAATTACATGGTACCCAAAATATCAATTACCCGCGCGAGGTGATTCATTTGATTGCTTGCATGGAGAAAATATGGTCCCCAGAGATGAGAAATATATGGCGCCACAACTGCCTGGTTAATCCCTCTGGGCGCAGGGGGGCATGGGTGCCCGACGACCTATTTGGTGAGTATGTTGTGCGTGAGATCAAGGCTAGGATCCACCCAAGCAGCAATATTCACTCGGACCAACACCTTAGAGAAACAATATCTCGCCAAGTGATGTCGCTACACGCCAGTAAGGTTTCTATGGAGCGAGAATCGCGTGCGCACAGCTATGGGACGCACTCATCCTTGGTACGCAGCTCAACTGATGTGGCGAATATTGTGCGCGTACTCCTCGATGAAGCCATATGCAGAGACTCGATCCCCCGCGCGCTGGATAGTGTGAAGGAACAACCGCACTGGGAGGCAACAGATTTGATGGGCGCGGGAATAGCGCGCCTCGCAACTGGGGTGCCACTGCGCGAATATATGCAGCGTGCACGATTCAGCTGGCACCCTGGAAAGTCCTCATCAAACACGTCATCGCTGGATCTCGAAACCGAAGAAGATTTTGATACTGATATACTTGGCCCAGAAGCCGGGCTAGACGATCTCCTCTGACACATTGTACGCTGGTTTCTTTGTCTGATGGTTTAGTTCTTTGTCCCTGCGCGCAAGTTTCTTTGTCCCTACGCGCAGGTTTCTTTGTCCTTACGCGCAGGTTTCTTTGCGCGCAAGTTTCTTTGTCCCTGCGCGCGGGCTTCTCTGTGCGCAGGATTTCTTTGTTAGACTATGTAGACTGTTTCTTATAAATCCCAGACTTGAGCGCATACTCGAGGGACAAACTGGACCAATGCCCGACATGTAGCAGTGGACAAATTATGGCAGCCAATCTAAATCATCCTATACAGCATCCGGTCGATGTGGATTTTGCAGTCGGTCAGGCAGCGCTCAATACTGGGCGCCAGATACTCAACCAATTGATCGAGATTAGAGCCCATCTGTTCAATGCGGAGGCGCGGCGAATCAACCGCGCAATATATATGAGCGGATCACGGGAGGTTTGGATACCCATGCGACATGTAGATGGCTCTAGCCCAGGGGCTACATTCCCACGCAACCACGAGGAGTTGCTAGCCATGACTCCCCAGCAAATGGGCACCGTCTCAGCACATTATGGATTGACTCATATACCTTGGCTCAATTATGCGAGTGCGAATAATCCTACGTCGCGCAGACGAAAAATTCTGGCATTTCTTGGATGCCTCGACCTTTGAGAAAGAGCGCGGATATTTATGCGCGCTGTTCTTGCGCGCTGTATATGCTAGGGACACACATTTGCGTGTGCATATTTGCGCGTAAATATATTGAATTGGGGAATAAATCAATAGGCTTAATATATATTTATCAAATCACTCTTTCCTGCCCGTGCGTACTGAAGCAGCGGCCCTGACTTTACCCGCGCGCAGCCCTCCCCGAGGCCTTAGTGGCAGATTTAATCCCTTTGCTTTCTCGTTCCAGCTTGCTATTGCCTTTGATTCAACTTGTTCCTGTGTCTTCCGTGCCGCCAGAATAGTCCTCTTTTGCACCGCGCGCTGTTCTTTAGCTTTGTCTGTAGCTGCGATGGCACGCTGAATCTCTAGTAGTGGCGCCTGCGCGGGGTTTCCGGGATCCACTTGAACAAAACTGAAATCATACATTCGGGGCCGTGGCGGTGCTCGCTCACGTCTTCGCGGGGAAATCACCATCTTGATACTGTCGATGAGTGATAGCAACGACTGTGTGGAGGCCTGGAGGACAGAGTATTCCAGATGCACTTCAGGCGACAGTACCTCGGCCAAGGATTCTGGGCTGTTAATAGTGAATAGCTCCCCTGTAATTTTGGCGATGGCAGCCTCGCTCATGAAATCCGTAGGCATCAAGGAAGGGTATAACCCGCGCACCCAGGCGTTGTATTCCTTTGCGCGCCATTCTATAAGCTTCTCACGCGCCAATACCATCCCAGATTTGGAGGGCGCATTGCTCTTTGCCACTACTACGTCCATATTCTTCTCGAATAGCACACAATACTGGGTCTCGTGGTACTCTGTAGTATATGTATAGCGTATTGAGCGCCGAATATCCACAGGCCCTATCAAAAAATCCCCGTCCCCCCATTCTATTGCATTATTGAAGAAACAATTATCGCAACAAGTAGACGCCGTCGCACTCGTTGGAGGCACGGGAATACCGACGCCCGATATCCAGGAGGGGTCCCCAAACGCGCAAATACCAGCACGCCAACGGCACCCCGCGGTGTTCAGAAACCATACTAGTGCAGGGTCAATATTATCCAGCACACAATGCACATCCGCCGCGAGTGCGCTGTATAGACCCCTAAGAAACTCCTCCATGGATTGCCTTCGCGCGGGGTCAGCCGCGCGGCGCCATCCAAAGTAGAAGCCCCCTTCATTCCCTGGGCGGTCGTTTTCCTCCGGCAGAAAATAACGTTCCTGAACAAATATGCATGCCACCGTATGGCGCGTTGAATCCCTCGCCGCGCGACCAATGCGCTGCCATACTGCAGCGAGGGTAAGATGTGGCATTATTCCCCACTGCACGATGACATCGATGTCTGGAAAGTTGATACCCATAGCAAACACCTCTGTGCCAACAAATATACGGTGCAAGCCATCCTTCACACCTCTCATGTATTGTGCACGGGTGTCTGGCTCAAGAGATGCACTCATGACCTTTATAAGATCTTTGGCGCGCGCAGATATCGAGGGATGCAAGAGGTTTCGTAAATAGCGCGCAATTGTATGCGCGCTATCAACGTTGTCCACAAATACGAATGCCTTTGGAATCATAGAGCCAATAACCACCTGTCTGTCTATAAGAAAGTCAAGTTCATGTAGCGCAGCTAGTAATGCTTGTCTAATAGGTATAACCGCGAGGGTAATATTGGCACGGCCGATTGGCCGCCTGTATATTATAGTCGGCGACGCAAGCAGTAAAACCTTATGGATATAGCCCAATACGTTGGGTGCAAGTGTCGCGGACAGTGCAATGATGGGAATGCTGCGTAGGTGCGCGCGGAAATCGGAGAGGTTGCTATACTCTTGGCGGAATGTTCGATATCCCCACACCACATGAGCTTGGTCCACGGCTATTGCAAGGAGGTTATCTCTGAACGCGCAGGGCTTTCTCAGTATGTGCACCCAGAAATACGACCCAGAGGTAAGGAGGACCTCTGGGGATGCATATACGAGACGATATTTGCCCTCAGCGACCTCACGCAATGCTTGGGGGCGCGCTTGAATCTCCGTCGCGGTAAGAGCGATAGCACCTATTTGATTGGATTGAAGCCACGCTACCTATGTTTGGTCAGTTATACGTACATGTATGCGCGCGCGCTACTAGTATGCCGTGTAGGTTCACATGATTACTTGCCTGGTCGTACATTATGCTCAGCAGTGGAGATACCACTAGGATAATTCCATTTTGCACAGTATATGGCAACGTCTGGAAGATAATGCTCTTCCCTGAGCCCGTTCCGGCACTGACAACGACGTCCCGGTGCATCAATACGTCGGCGATGGCGGCAGCTTGCCAATCATGGAGCTTGATGCTGTACATTGCACGGGCAACGTTGAGCGCGCGCAAGATATAGTGTGCTCGTAAATGATTTGGGTCGACATCGGCGGAATCTAACCACTTTTTACTCTCCATCTTCAGAACTCTTTGGCACAGGAGGTTGGGGCGATGTGACGATAATTGGTGCCTGAAAACTAACTACGTAGTAGATACAGTGGAGCACATGGTTACCCCGCGCACCGCCAAGAACAAGAATGAATACACCCCGCGCAAGTGATACAGCGCGCACCGCCAAGAACAAGAATAATACCCCCCGCGCACGAGATACAGCGCGCACCGCCAGGAACAAGAATGAATACCCCCCGCGCAAGAGATACAGCACGCACCACCAGGAACAAGAATGAATACCTCCCGCGCAAGAAATACAGGTAAGCTATAAGAAATACAGTGCGCACCGCCAGGAACAAGAAAGAATGATACCCCCGCGCAAGAAATACAGCGCGCACCGCCAGGAACAAGAATGAATACCCCCCGCGCAAGAGATACAGCGCGCACCACCAGGAACAAGAATGAATACCCCCGCGCAAGAAATACAGGTAAGCTATAAGAAATACAGTGCGCACCGCCAGGAACAAGAAAGAATGATACCCCCGCGCAAGAAATACAGCGCGCACCGCCAGGAACAAGAATGAATACCCCCCGCGCAAGAAATACAGCGCGCACCTCCAGGAACAAGAAAGAATGATACCCCCGCGCAAGAAATACAGCGCGCACCGCCAGGAACAAGAATGAATACCCCCCGCGCAAGAGATACAGCGCGCACCACCAGGAACAAGAATGAATACCTCCCGCGCAAGAAATACAGGTAAGCTATAAGAAATACAGTGCGCACCGCCAGGAACAAGAATGAATACCCCCCGCGCAAGAGATACAGCGCGCACCACCAGGAACAAGAATGAATACCCCCGCGCAAGAAATACAGGTAAGCTATAAGAAATACAGTGCGCACCGCCAGGAACAAGAAAGAATGATACCCCCGCGCAAGAAATACAGCGCGCACCGCCAGGAACAAGAATGAATACCCCCCGCGCAAGAAATACAGCGCGCACCTCCAGGAACAAGAAAGAATGATACCCCCGCGCAAGAAATACAGCGCGCACCGCCAGGAACAAGAATGAATACCCCCCGCGCAAGAGATACAGCGCGCACCACCAGGAACAAGAATGAATACCTCCCGCGCAAGAAATACAGGTAAGCTATAAGAAATACAGTGCGCACCGCCAGGAACAAGAAAGAATGATACCCCCGCGCAAGAAATACAGCGCGCACCGCCAGGAACAAGAATGAATACCCCCCGCGCAAGAGATACAGCGCGCACCGCCAGGAACAAGAATGAATACCCCCCGCGCAAGTGATACAGCGCGCACCGCCAGGAACAAGAATGAATACCCCCCGCGCAAGAGATACAGCGCGCACCTCCAGGAACAAGAAAGAATGATACCCCCGCGCAAGAAATACAGCGCGCACCACCAGGAACAAGAAAGAATGATACCCCGCGCATCTACCACAGGTAAGCTATAAGAAATAGAGAGCGCACACAGGTTAGTATAAAAGAAACCCTTTAAAGACACGGCCTGGTTGGCGCGAGAAATGGAGCTCGCACCAAAATCAAGAATCCTGCTTTGGCAGATTTTCTGCCCTGCCTTCTAGATTGTCTGCCCCCCCTTCTAGACTTTCTGCCCCCCCTTCTACATCTCCGTCCGAGGGGATTGCATTCACCCAATTGCCGACATCTGTCGTCTTCTGTGATATTTCTGCTGAGCCTCGGGTGGGGCGCCGCGCATCGGTATTGACGTCCTCGTGCTGGGGGGTATCGGGGACGGTGGGGGAGGAGCCTGCCTCATTCTCATTTATCACTTCAAGCTTAGGTGGGAAAACCGCCCTGCTGGAGGTTTGCCTTGTATAGAGCCCTTTATGCCTATCCTCGAAGCCCTGGCTCTGCGGTCTAGGGCCATAGCGGGGAGTCTGGGGCGCGGGGGTAGAGAGGGGCGCGGGGGTAGGGAGGGGCGCTCCAGAATCGACAACATCCTCGGCTTCAAGGTCAATGACACTACAAGCTTCACTTGAAGGCTCACGAAACGCAGTGGTCATATTAGGGGGCCAATATCTCGACCCCGCGCGCGTGATGTTTTCGCGGGGCGATTGAGGATCCATTTGCGTAGATAGCGGTGACGGCGCGTGCTCACTCGTTTTACGCTCGGGGGTTATTCTCATGGTTTTAAGGGGTGCAGAAGGGTTCGCCGTGTGGTGATATCGGGAGCCCATGTCACCTCTCGAGCTCACTTGGGATTCTGCGGGCGGGGCTTTTGCTACCTTGCGCGATTTAAAAATATGCTCGGTGGGTAGGCACGCAGGAGGAATGCCGAAGAAGGCGCTGGTGGGCGACATTGCTTGTTGCGCGGTGCCAGGAGCTTCGGCGGGGTGGTTTTGCCATGAGGGGTTGGAGTGATGCTGCATCTGTTGCGCTGGCTGTTTGGACTGATCGCGCGCGCGCGTAGTATATGCTCTCTCAGTTTTCATGGCTTGCGTTGCGTTAGACAAATTTTCGAGGAGTGATGGTTCTTCTCCGTACAGCTCACAGAGCTTGTCTCTTTTTCTTTTGTACTGCTCAATAAGAGCGTGCTGTTTACGAGTAGCAGTGAGCAGGTATTCCTTACGGCGTAGGGCAGCGTAGGCGATAGTATCCATGCGGTTGCACTCGTCGAGGATTACCCGCTGATGAATTTCATGCTTCATGTAAATATTGGAGCGCGCGTATATCTTGGCGAGGGTATTGGAGAGTGGAGTTTCTTCATTGTAATCACAGGCGGAGTCAAGATTTCCTGGGCGCGCAAATATATCTGCGTCCACTAGGTCCGCAGATTTAGCGCGCAAAGCCCGGAACTTGCTTACATCCTCTGCGATCTGTTGGTTGGTACTCGAAACAGCATTCTCCGCATCTTTCACGATGCCAGTGAAGTCAAAGTTAGGGTCGTCAAAGTTGGAGAGTAAACCTCCATGTGGCGGCGATGGGGGAGTGGGGAGAACTGGCGTGTAGCCGCTATTTTGCGATGAATTCTCCGTGGGGCAATATGGCAGTAGTAAGGCGGTTGGACGGTCTTTGATGGGGGTGGAGGGAATTGGCGGAGGCCATATAAGGGGGGAATTGGTGGCAGGAGTTATGTCCTTGAAGATAGTCGCTATGTAATTATCGCCCAGGTCGCTGATGGGGTCTGTGCCGCACTGATGGAGAGCTTTGCCCACAGCGACGCAAAATCTATCGCGCAGGGTCTTTTCCCAGTATTCATCCGTATCATCTTCGAGCCAGCCAATATGGCCAGGCGGAGCTTTCACCGTGGGCACGCCTATCAGTAGGGGCGTGTGGATTTCAATGAGCTCCGTCATCCCAAAAGCGGTAACGTCCGCCAAAGGTGGGGAGGGGCGAACCCTATGCGCAGTTTCTGCAAGGGACCGTCGTTTAAGATAGTCTTCCAGGAGGGGGCTTTCCTGGAAGATTTGGGCGTATTGCTTGACCTTTTTGACCAGATGGTTTAAAACCTTATCGTGCGCAGCCTGGAAGTCGCCAAGAAGATCAAGTTCGGCTTTGGCAAACAACTCTTCGGCGGGCAGGAGTTGCTTAAAGAGGGCGCGTATAGGGGCTTGAAGAAACCCGGCGCGCACGAAGAATACTTGGGCCCAGTAAAGCGGCACGCGCGCGCTCCATTCTTCAATCGACTATTGAAGGTTAGTAGGCAGCGCGTGGGAATATCTGTAGGGCGCGGGGGGGGGGGGGTCAAACCTTAGAGCTTTGCATGAACTTGCGGAGATGATTGGGTGCGTAATCAGGCTTAATGGTAGGTTTTGAAACAGGCTGCTTTTTCTTTTTGGGGTCTGGCTCCTGGGTGGAGTTTGGATCTGGGGTTTCCTCCACTCGGGCATTGCGTGAGCGCTTTGGGGGGGGGGGCGTCGTGGGGCCAGGAGTATGGGTGCGCTTGCGAGCTGGCCCTGCCATGTTTGGTGTACGGCTTTAATTGCGAGCTAAAGGGCAAGCAAGATATTAGTATGGATATATATCTATGTGAGGTGCAGTGTTTTTTCACGCGCACTAGTATATGAGTACGCGTGATTATCCTTGCGCAGGAAAATATAAAAGGTGCACGGGGATCCTCACGCCCGTGTACCCGCGCGGGGATCCTCACGCCCGTGTACTCGCGCGGGGATCCTCACGCCCGTGTACTCGCGCGGGGATCCTCACGCCCGTGTACTCGCGCGGGGATAGAGATGCGCGGGCAAAAAGGAGCGCAAGAATAGAAGTACGCAGCCAAACAGGAGAGCGAGTAGCGCAAGAATAGAGGTGCGCAGCGAAACAGGGGCGCAATGATACAGATGCGCGGGGAAAAAGGAGCGCGGTGACACAGATGCGCGGGCAAACATGAGCGCAGGAATGTAGACATACATACAAGAATATGGGTACGCGTAGGGTACGCCGTGCGTGTAGAATACCTTGCGCGTGGAAAATGGTGCACTAGGAATTGAATTGGGGGTTTAGGGGCAGAGTATACGATGTGGCGGTGGTAGGTGTATGTGGTGAGGATCAAATTCACCAGGCTGTATGAAGGTTTGACGTGATATATCATGATGTGGCTGGATGTGTGGCTGTAATAACATTACCCTGACCTTGTTACTATTACGTAATACAGCCTGGAAACGAGGCTATGTCTCCTGCAAGATCCAGGCGTCTCCGAAATTTCTTATGTTAAACCCTGGTCTCCCGATCCACGGAACGAATATCTGTTCCGCGTGCTCTTAGTGTCTTGGCGAGCACAAGCGCGGGTGGTCGCGTCTTCCCCTCCGGATCCTCATCTGACATGAACTCCAACGGCGCTCTGGAACTCTTGAATATCTCGAAAAAAACAAAGAAAGGCTCGCAAAACAAAAAAAAGAAACCAACCCCCACGATGTCACTGCAACAAGAAGATGGATCATCTACTTTCACCCGCAAAGAAAAAGAGTCACTGGCGACCTTTGAGAACTTCAATTATACGCTCTGCCATTTCCTCGAGGTCGCGATTCACCAGATCATTTACAATCGTGGAATATACCCAAAAGAGCTCTTTCACGTTACAAACAATTATAATATAGGAACCCATACTTGTAGGCATCCTCAAGTCATCAAATGGATTCGCGATGCCATCATGGCACTTTCGGAAGAACTACTGAAGGTAATCACTATTACTCTGTGACTTTACTCGGGGCCATATCTCTCCCCTTGGTGTAAAACCATGATTATCAACTGACTTAATTCTTAGAACTGCGTTAGACGAGTTGCACTAGTAATCCTCTCCCCAAACGACATATCGCTGGAAAGGTTTATATTCGACATGTCTAGATTTCCCTTAACCCCCGATATTGATGTTAAATATGACGCACCTATGCTGCAACCCGGTGCCGAAGTGCCCCCTTCTAGGCAGGCACTTGCAAATCTGGAGAGAGAATTCCAGACATGCCTGGTTAAATTGAAATACTCAAACATAAGCCTTGGGAAAATTCCCGAGGACTCAACCTTCGGCCTGGCAATTGAACTGAACGACGACCAGGCGGCCCCAAATAATGTAAATGTTATCCCCAGTCCCTGATATATCAAAGCATTACCTTACTGACTTTCAATATAGTATACGGATGCTTGGATGCCCTGTGAGAGGCAGCCAGTCTCGAATAATTCCAAAAAGCCCGTAGTTTCCGCTCCCGATTGCGAGAAAATCACTGGAATACGAACTATCAGAGAAGGCGCTTTTACCTTCAATATTTGGATTGAAGAAAGCAAAGCAAAGTCAAAACTAGCAGTTTGACGATGGAAGCCCCCTTGGATGATCAATTCCATAGTTGGATATTCGTAAAATCAAAGAAATGAGAAAATCGTGTAAGGATTGCGCATGACAACTAAGTCATAATCGTTCTATGAAATACCGTGCAGTAAAAGATAATCATAATAGTCTTCATATAGATCTAATGTATACGCTGAACACAAACAAAAAATAAGAGGTACATGCTTAAACGCCTCAACTCAAGCCTAGCGCCGTTTTGGAGTTCTCATATACAAGGTATGACTGCGTACAAGGTTAGACGTGTTATTATGCAAGATATCATATGACGGAAAGATGTGGAACTTACAATCGACACTGCCGGTATCACCTTCAGAAGGTTCGGCGTCAAGCCCCTGAACATTCCCCGAAAGCCTTCGGCATTGTATGTTTTCATCCCAACATCCCACATACCAGTGTAAGTCTGGGGATGCTGCGCTGTTCCCTGTGCCTGCAGTCTCGTTCTCAACACATTGATTGGATATACACTCGTCGCCCCCACACTCCCACTTGTGGCTCCGATTCCAAGAACCAACCAATTCGGTACCTCCACGTCCTTTTCATTGCATTTTAACTTTTTCGCCTTGCGCTTAATGTAGGTACGCTTCATGTACTCAAATGTACCGAGGTCGATGGCCGAGTATGGAAAAATCCCGACCAGAGCTAGAGTTAAACCTCTGTAGAAGGCACTGGGCCCGCCGGCTTTCCAGGTTTTTTGAAAGGTTTCTGCTATTAGCTTGTTGCCCATGGAGCCATTCTGCACAGTTTCACATTGCATGCGACTATAGAGCATATACGTTAGTTTCATAGTGTACGTCGCATATGTACGTCTGAGGCAGAGGAGAGCTAGACTTACAATTTCAATGTATCTATGGGGTATATAGAAAATCTGCACGATGTATTAGAAATGATGCTTCCTATTCAAATGGAATGATGCTAACGCACTGAGAAACAACCCCTCCAATACCTCCGGCAAGAAATCGAGCCATTGGTGATATTTGACTAGCATCTTCTGCGCCCTCCAATCTCGCAAGAGTCCTTTTTGCTGCCTTTTTCCCTTGTCAGGATTTAGATATAAACCGGAGGAATTGATGGTCGTTCGTACCTCAAACGAGCCAAACTTGATTGCAGACTCAGGCAACACCTTCACAACATTTAATCCATTCCCTATTCCTATTGTTAGGATTTTGAATACCTGGGAGCGTTTCAGATACTAACCTGCAAAGAATGATCTCACGCCACCGGCTCTCCACAATGTCCTGATAGATTCCCTAAGTGGTCCTGATACTTTTTTTGCTGCCTGTAATGGTTCACCGCTTTTAACTGCTTCAACTGCTGCATGCTTTACTTTGGGAGCGGTCTGGGCTATCAAGTATACTCTTATACGATCAAATGGCGCTGTTGCAGTTCTAGATATTACCCCGGCGACACCTCCGGCAAGAAAGTAACCTATTTGATCAATTGAGGTTAGAATACAGTTATCGATAACTCGTAACGAATATGGGACACGCAGGGATAACATGCAGAGCGGCGGGCTTGGATTTAATGATGAAACCGATTTACCTAAGCCTTTGAGATTGATCTCATCACTCAGATTTACATCACCCTCCGGATTAACGCTAACAGTTGAAAGATAATACGAATAGATCGTGTGCAATGTGGCTTCCTTCGGCATAAACATTAAGAAATCTCTTTTGATATGTCAGCGACCACCTCAGGTGCAAAGCCCAAAGTGCACATCGGAGTTCCCCTTCCCCGGGCAGAGGTTTGAGGATGCCAGCGATCATACCTCCACTCTTCAAAAGATATTACGCCGTCGTTATTCTTATCCATTGACTCGAAAAATTCTTCCAGTCGATTAGGATCGACTGCAATTCCAGCGCGAATCAACGCGGCCTTTAGTTCTCCTTTGTCTATATTTCCATTCTTATCCACATCCACTGAATGAAATATTCTCCACAACTCTCTATCGGCGCCTTCAAAGAAATGCTTGAATTCGGAATATTGAATGAGGCCATCCTTGGAGGTATCGACCGCCGCAAGAATATCGTGTAGTAAATGTTCGGCGTCTTTCAGAGCTGCAGAGAAAATGGGTTTAGAGGAACTTTCGCGATTGATTTACCTTCGTTGTTGTGATAATAGACCTCGGGAGTATCGGGAGGAACGCGGGGGGGGGGGGGGGGGGTGTTCGACATACGATGATTGATTCTTTGCAATCCTCGTCTCAGCCCCTCAAGATCCAGATGTCCCTCGTTGCGTGTATCCAAGTTCTTGAAGAGTTGAAGCAATCGTTTGTCGCGAGCCTTCTGGCTCTCCCGCTCCTCCATCTGAGGAAGCCGTCTTCAAAAGTTGACAAAGGGGTTTGTTGGTATGTTCTTGCTGTCTATCATGACATAGATGTAACTGGAGAAAGGGCTGTGAATACAGAATCTGAAATCGCAAACAGATAAAAGTTTGTGTCCAGGGTCTATCTAAGGGGGTCAAATAAGTGAAAAGTCCACAGGTCAAGAGGGGTATGTCTAAAGACGTCACATTCGCATGGATGGGTCACACACGATAAAGCCTTAAGCAGAAGTACAGGTTCTCGGCGGGTCATCTTGTCAGCGGTCTTGATAACATCCGGGATTCCGGCAACCAGAACCATGTTTTAACTCAGCAGAGCACAGAAAAGCGGCGGGACTGGTGCTTTAAGCTTTCACCCCAAATTTCTCCTCTTTGCTGCCTTACAGTCCCTTACTCTGCCTAGCTCAGCTTGATTGAGCCTCATCCAATAGGTACCTGGTCTTATTGTTATCCTTACTACGTGCAACCCCGGCTCAGCTGGTCCACAACAGCTCTTCAAAGATTCACTACAACCGATTCATCGTCGTCGTCGTCTTCCTCGAGTCACCGCTAATTCCATCCTCAATCGAGAGAAACTCGTCTTTACAATTACTTATTCAAAAAAAAAGAAAAGTCAAATATCATTTCACATTGTGAGAAACAGCAATAGCAATGACTGCAAATTATTGGACTTCATCACAGCGCCTGCACTGGCAAATGTCGCGCCCGAAACTGGCTGAAATACGCAGTGCACTTGATGCCCAGGATGGGGAGACTGTTCGACAGTTTCCCTTACCCGACTTGAAGCATCTGAGCATCTACTTCAATTCACGTACGTAGAACGTTCACGCGACCCTCGGTTTTGTTCATCTTACTTCATACTCCGTTTCCTAATCCCGTTGCTTGTACGAAACAGAGATAGTTCGCCTTGGACGGCGCATGCAGACGAGACAGCAGGCGCTCGCGACTGCCCAATTATATATCCGTCGATTTTACACCAAAGTACCAATAAGGGGTACCAATCCATATCTGGTTATGGCAACATGCTTGTACCTCGCCTTGAAGATGGAAGAATGTCCTCAACACATCAGAATCGTTGTCAGTGAAGCAAGAACATGTTGGCCAGGTGAGCTTCATCCATCCCTTCCCTTCGCTTCCCCATGAGCTTTGATCGGCAAGAAACCCCCTCTTCCAAATCCCTGTACCCCGCTGAACGAATAGACGTTATGCCCTCTGATACAGCGAAGCTCGCCGAATGCGAGTTCTATCTCATATCCGAGATGAACTCGTATCTTATAGTCCATCACCCATACCGTACGCTACAGGACCTTACACCTGTCATGAATTTGACGACTGAGGAAAACAATATGTCCTGGCAGGTTATCAATGATTCCTGCTTGACCGACCTGCCGCTGTTGTATCCCCCACACATCATTGCACTTACTGCAATATTCTTGTCTGTAGTACTGAAGCCCTCGCTGTCTCAAGCCAGTCTACATGCTGCCGCAACATCTGCAGCCGCTGCTGCGGTTGTGGCGGCAAATTCTGGTAACGGCAGTGGGAGTAATGGCAACGGCAGCCTTGGTGCGAGCGGTCAGGGACCACAGAGTCGCATCGGAAAAATAATAGAGTGGTATGCTGAATCGAAGGTGGACATGGAGGCCATTATAGATTGCACCCAGGAGATCATATCTCTATATGAGGCCTGGGAGTCGTTTACTGCAACTGCGGAGAAGAACTGCAAAGACCAGCTTACTCGGATGATTAAGGCAATAGGAATGTCGTAGTCTGTCTTGATCAACATATCAGACGGGAGAAAATCAACCCCACATTTTACATGTTCCAACGCTGGTGGTGGTTCCATTCTTTCTAGACGTTTTTCGATAGATGTTCCGATCGGGGAGAGGAGGGGGGTGAGGGGGTGAGGGACTCTGTCGATAGGGTCTTTGAAGAAGATCTCTAAAGACTAGAAGAACCCCCCAGGGTGGTCCGGGACCAACCCCTCCATCTGCCCTAGGCCCTGTGACGTTTATTTCCTTTCCTTTCTTCTCTTTTTGTTCCTGGGTGATGAGCGGACAACACGTCAAACAGGGCTAAACGACAGCCTAGGTAACTCTTGGCCAATAGTAAATTCGAGAATTCCCAAAGAAAATTACCCGATCGGTACCCACAGAATCCGTTCGAGGCTGAAGGAGCACAAACCCATGTAGAAGCTGACCGGGACAGCAAAAATCTAACCAGATAAGCACCAGTGCGACCACGCGAGGCACAGCAAGCGCGAAGACCGAAATTAAAATGATGCATGCGAATGCGACACGGCACCTGCAGCAGGTCGATGGCGAGACCGTCCCGCCTCTAACTGCCTCTGTTCTGAGTGGTCTGTGGATCAACATTCCCCTGCTGACCCGAAGCAGCAACCAGAGGAGGAAAACAAAAACGGCTGGGGTATTGGGAATGATGTGTGATTGGTGGATTTGGATGAAGGGGGGGCAGGTGGGTTATCGACTGGGTTAACGGTGGTGGTGGGGCTTAACTACCCTTCAGGCGCAGTTGAACCAACCAAGCCCCAATTACCCATGTTCCTAGAGGTTGGATCTTCCTTTTTTTCTTCATCATCCATGATTAAATTTAATTGGTTAAATATTCCTGGTCTGGGCAGTCGGTTTCTTCTTATTTGTATTTTTATGATGGAGGATCTTTCCTTTTTTTAGGCTGTGTGTGAGAGAGTGTGAGAGGAGTTGAGGGTCTCTTCATGAAGAGTACGACCAGCGCTTCGCCGGACTATTCCCAGAGCGGGAGTGACCCACTCGCTTTGCTTGCATACATGTCGCCACCCCTTTTTTTATTCCATGGCCCTTTACCTCCTGGTCTGGCCGTTCCCCCAGTCCCAGTGTCTTTGCTCTTCTTGCCCCCCTTCCGTTGTTCACTTTCGGTGCTGCAGCCTGCCCACCCGTCTCCCCTCTCACACCCACCCGCCACAACCCTCCCTCCTTCTGCTTCTTATTTCTCCTCCATCCCGCACCCCTCTTCTTCTTTAAGCACACGAGCTATCTATCCACCAGGCATTTAAATCGATATACAAGTATCCGTGCGATACAGCATTGTTGTTATAATCTAATCATCGCCACCCTCCTTCATCTTCTACCCCATCCACAATCGTCTTTCCCATCTCTCTGACTCGTTGCCTTGCATCCATACCACCTCCTGTACCGCCTCCTCTCTTCAGATAACATTATCCTCATATCTACTGCTACCACAGTACTACTACTACTACTACTACTACTACTACTACCACCTCGCTTTGTTTACATAGTCCTGCTCAGCCGCTTTTCTCTTGTTCCGATAAGCTCTTCTACTACTACTACTATTACTACTACTACTTCTTCCAAAATACTCAAACCGTAATAAACCTACAAAATCCTTTATCTTTTAACAATGTCTTCTTTCGGTTACCACTTTCAACACCATCCTTCTACAGCTTCCTCGGGCAACCGCTCGCGTAGGAACCCCCATCGTCCTTCTTCTACCAAGTCTTTTCAGATGATGAGGCCGAAGGAGGAGCTGACAGACATCCCCGCAGTCCCAACTTTCATTGAGAAGTTCGAGGCAGGGAGGTCCTTCGAGATGGAGGATGATTTTGCATTCATCCCAGAGCTGTGTACCGAAGAAGAAGTATGAGACCTTTTGTCTGGAGCTCTTATTTACGCATACTTATTTTCATTTACTTGCAGCGTCAAATGATGGACTTCTCGGGTTCAGATCGCTCATCAAACTCCAGCGGATCACCTCAGTCATCTCCACTACAACACCAAGTACAGCCTTCGACTGCTTACCCTCACGCTGCCCCATATGCGAACATGTTCAACCCCAATATGCACATGAAATATCAAGCCCCCGCTGCGCTACCTCCAAGACAGCGCAACGCCATCCCCATTGTCAACCCCAACACTGGTCTGCGAGTCGCATCTCCCCCTCTTGCATCACCTAGCAGGATGCCTACCTCTAATCTGGCAAGGAGGGTATGGTAAACCCCACCATCCTCGATCCTTGGCCCCACCACCGTAATAAAACCTACATCGAGCGAATACAATACAATAAATCAATCATCTCAACATCCTCAATACGCGAACCTCATACCTCCTCCTCTACTCGCCTCTTTTATTAGCGATCACATTCTCGCTATGTCTATAGAATGTTGGTGTTTAACATTGTACTTTTTGGGTGTGTCAAAATAACTCTGGGATGGTGTTATTGTGTGAGTTTCTTTTTATGTGGGTTTTATATTAACGGTGCGGTGGGTTGTGTTTTTATTTGGGTTTCCAGCTTTAAGGATCATTAAAGGAGAAGGGGGGAAAAAAAAGTGAAAATATTGGACGGCCTTATAAATATATCACCTATACATAGTTTTTGTGTGCGGCTTTCTGTTTTTTTTTCTTGGGGGTCTATGTTCGCATATCTCTTAAGTCTTGGGAGTTCTTTTGTCTAACGGTTGGCGGACTTGGGCGGTCACCGGTGCGGGGATTTTTGGGTTGTTTAACGATATGGGGCTCTTTCTGGGGGTGCTTGTCAGGTTTTTTGTTATTTGTTACGGTGTCAAAGTTTGGGCTTGTACTTGACTTTGCTGCAATAAGCGGTGTATATCTTTGTTGAACTACTTGGTAGGGCGGGTGCTTTGTGTTTTTAGGTTCTTTGCATCTTCTTCTTTCTCATTTTCTTTCTTTTCTCTTGTCAATTTTCTTCAAATTCTTTTTTTCTTGTTTAAAGATCTTTGAAAAAAATCATTTTGGGGTTGGTTTTCTACTACTTCTACTACTAACTAGTTTCTTCTTTCCTTACTGTTTTTATTACTTCTACTTTTTTATACACCACGATATCTTGTGTATTAGCTCATTGAATGGATATGTACTGATTCTTGAGTGTAAAGCATTGTTGCATTCCGCTTGATCCATTCCTATTGCTTGCTTACTTGCTTTGCCTTTTGGGTGTTGTAATTTGTAAATTGTTGGGAGAGCTGTCTCGGGAAGAAAGGGAAGCAAGGTCTCAGTCGAGGGGTGATTACCGGTATTTGAGAAGCGCCACGGGCGCAAGTGGGGAAATGGCTAATATCGTCAGAACAGTCAGTCATTTCCTCTCCAAAGCGTTCATCATTCGTCTCTGCATTTTTTCCCGACCGATTCGTTTTCGAAATGGTGATTATGATGATGAATTGGTCCTACCTAGTACCTACTTAGCTACATAGAGCACATAACTCATTTCTCGTACGGTAGTTAGGGGGATAGCAGGAGGAGGTTTGTTGGTTGGGCTAATTAGTGGAACTGAGTCGAGTTGGATTGGTTTACCTAAGAAGCTCAGTTGGGTCTCTGTCTTATTACATGCCTTCCTTACGTTTGGTCTGTCGGTCTGTCGGTCTGTCGGTCTGTCGGTCTGTAGGTCTGTAGGTCGGTTCTCACGAAGATCTTGTGGTACTATGTTACCCTCTACAGTCCTGTCTGTGCACGGACGACAGCTGCCCATCAATCCATACATCCATCCCTCATCCATCCGCTCGCATACTTGATCCTCGAGACAGGAAAAGGGAGGGGACTGAGAGTAAGGACTGAGCGCTCACTTCACTCAAAGCAAGTGGTGGTTGTTATTGTGGGTTGTTCCTGTTCCTGCGGTCACACAGAAGAAAAGAGATCACCTGCTCTATCCTCTCTCGTCCTTCTTGCCAAACGAAATGTAGGTAGGTAGGTTGGAAGGGCTTGAGCTCAGTTCAGTTCAGTAATGTTGTGTGTTGAAACCATTCATGTGTGGAGTTGAGACAAGAGAGACACACAGACAGAGAGACACACAAACACAGAGCCACCACCACCTTCCACACCGAGTCCCGACTACACCCTACTAGCTATCTGCCTTTAGCGAGAGCTGGATATCACCGACGACTATCACCGCACATATCAGACAGGGCAGGGGCGGAGAAGCGTTTTTCCCGTTGAGGGTTGTTGTTTGGCACCCTTTTTCCCACTTCGTTTTTTTCCTTTCTTTTTCCTGCTGCTCTATTTTCGGTCCGGTGCAGTGGACATCCACCATTAACTCAGCAAATAAGGCGTGGGCGTCCCGGCCCACCTAGGTAATAAAGGTAGGCTAGGTACTGTGTTACGGTGGAGAGACCCCATCGTGAGAATTGGTAGATTTCCGATCACCATCACCACCCATCATCACCGACCGCCGTGCGCACGCAAGGGTTACTTACATACGGCCGACCGACTCAGCTTGCGCAAAACAGCTCGCTCAAGGGTCGCTCTGCTACTGTGGCTACCCTTACTTACCGATTCCGAACTGAACCTCGAGGGAAGGTACATCTCAAGTTTCTTTCTTCTTCTCAACCGTTTGGACAGACAGAACTGTGCAGGCTGTCTACCGGCGGTAGGTACGTACTACATTGAACGGTACATCCCATCAATTTTCATTATTTTCGGAGATATACGTAGGTACATACAGGAAGTTATTATTACTGCTTCTATATCGGTTGTTTCGAAGCCCTGCTGGGTTTTGGTTTTTCGAACGTTTCATCCCCTCCCCTCCCCTCTATTCGCTCACCTCCGATCCACTATGTATGTTACCCCCATGATGGTGTTACTCCAGGTAGAATTAGGTAGGGGGCGTGTGTGAGAGGCATTCATCCGTCTAGCATGTATTGTTCTCTTCACCAGCATCATCGTACAGACAGAACACAGAAAGAGGGAAAAAATAGATGGATGCAGAAAAGCGCCGCCAGTCAAGTTCCCAGTTCCCAGTCCCGGCTGCAACATCACCTCTTACCTACTTTACATGATCCCCCCATCACTCTATTTCTATTTCACTCCACTCAAGCCCCCCCACGCATCGGTTGCTTGCTTGCGCGCGCGCGCGCTGAGTTAAGTGAAGAACTGAGCTTAGGGAGACGCGTGAGAAGAGAAAAGAAAAGAAACATCTACTTTAAACAACCCCAACACCATGCAGGTCTTAATAAGTCAATGTCCAAATGTGCAATTAAAAAAACGAACAAAAAAAGTAAAAACATTGCCCCCCAAGCCTGACTGAGCCCGGAATTAATTCCTTCCACACCCTGTTCCACACGGCTTCTTTCTTCGGCCCCCAACCCCAATTCTGCGGGGGTGGAGAGAGAGAGGTAGGTGGTGAGTTGAGTTGAGTGAGGCGAGTTGAGTGAGGCGTTATGTTATGGCTCGTCTCGTCCCGGCGCCCGCACCGCACTGACAGTCTGAGCTGCTAGCTGCTTGGTCTCTCCGCATTTCGATCGCTTCCCTTCCCCAACAACTTTGCACAGCACAGCACTTTCCCTCTCACTCTACTTACCCCATCCTGACCGCAGCGGGGAAGCAGAGTAAAAGCAAAGTGAAGGAAGAGGAGAGATGCACCACCTACGTATCTCTACCTAACTACACCCTACATAACTACATCACTACATCTTAATTTCTACACTGCTTACGCCGCAGTACATAGAGTACATAATGTATGTACCGACGCAGCAGCGCAACGCACGCGGCGAAGATGAGGGGCGGCAGAGTACCTAGCAGCCACTGATACCGTACCAATTATGTTAACAACGTAGGAGGGTTAACAATATGTTACCAGAAGCCATGCAGATCCCTTCCCTAATTCCCCGATAGGGCCCAGTGATGATGCTTGGATCGAAATGAAGTCCCGTTTTGTTTTTCTGGTGGTGGTGGACGCAGGTAAGCAAGCAGGGAGGAGCAGGCTGCAAGGGAGTTTAAAGAAACCAAGCCTCACACTCAACTGAGAACGGAGTGAAGAAGTGGGCGTCCCTCCCAGCTCAGCCAGCCAAGAACAGCTGGTTGGTCGCTTGGCTGCTTAGTAACTAACCGCTAGCTGCAAGCAAGCAAAGCTCCAAAAAAAACAAGATTGGCCCAAAACGGATAAGCTCCCATCCACCAATCCATCCACCCGGGCCGCCGCTGCTGCTCGCTCACGTCAGGACCAAGATTCAGGCCAAGACCAAGTCTACCAACTTCTTGTTTGAAGGGTTGAGTAAGAATGAAGTATCTACCCACCTAAAGAACAAAGGAACAGCACTCGCCCGCCCTGAAAAACCCGTAACCTCGATCCCCCCTTCCTCGGACGTAAGGTAAGCTAGAATGAATGAATGAATGAAAGAAAAAAAATAGCGTTGTTGTTGCTTGCTTTACCACCGACCGGCGGCGGGCCGTTGAGAACGAAGGAGAGAAGGAGAGCTTCAATGACGACAGTGCAACTGTGACGTAATGCATCTTGCGATCCAAATATCAACAGCTTCATCTTCGATTTCCCCCTCCAGTCTCTCCTCTTTATTTTCTCCTCATTCTCGTCTATTTTTTCTATACTATTGTATTGCTGCCAGCAAAACAATTAAAAAAAAAAAAAAAAAACCCACAATTGAAACATCGATCAATTAAAACTCGATCTCTATCGTCAATCAATCAACTCACCAAACAACTCACCAAACACCTCACCAAACATAAAAAAACAAAAATCATGTCAGCATCACTCCTCCTCCTCCGAAGCTCAATCGCCGCCCGCAGCAGCGCAGCTCTACTCCCACGTACAACCTCCGTGGCTGCAATTCGCGCCATGAGCGACCACAGCACATCCACCCGCCACGGTAACGATCCAGAGGTACTTTCCCCCCTCCTCCTCTCCTCTCTTCTCATCATCATCATCATCATCATCATCATCATCTTGTTGTTGTTCCCCTCCAAACAGCATGCTTGCTTGCTTGCCCTAGCTAGCTAGTTAGCTAGTTCAATGGAGTCCCGTGGGGTTGTTGTTGTCCCTTGTCCGTCGTAGAGATACCCAACGCAACCACGCCCAATTTAAAACCCCACCAAAGCTGGCAAGTATTTATCGCTCGCTCGATAGCACGATAAGGGGCTGGTAAGACCAGGGGGGGGGGGCGTGCGGCGGGCATTGCGCCATATATGTCACTGTCACTGTCACGTTTCCCCATCATCATGTACCTGTCAGTCTGCCAAACAACGATCATGGGCAGAAACTCATGATGATGACAATGTCGTATGTAGCAAAGCAAGTAGTAGTAGTAAGGAGTGCTAACGCATCACCACCTCCGCAACAGGTTCTCCAAAAGGGAAAAGAGTCGGTGCTCCGCAAGCACTCCAAGAACTCCACTGAGGACCCTCACTGGCACGAGGAGCTAGCGTCGGATGCTGAGGCTTTTGTAAGTATCCTCTCTTGTTCTCTCTCCTCCGCACACCCCCCCTCTTCCTTCCCCGGACCATCCGGGACGGACGAGCGAGCGAGCGAGTGGCTAACAGTGTGTGTGTGTGGTGGTGGCTGTAGGTCAAGGCCCAGCGCAACGAGATCAATGGTAGTGTCCACGAGGAAATCGCCGAGCTGCAGAAGAAAACCACGCAGAAGATCAAGCGCGACCAGTAGATTTGGACCCTCCCATAATATGAATATTTCATTTTTCCCCCTTCTTTTCCCTTTTATATCGTTGTTATTATTGCATATGTCAAGTACCTCTAGTGGTGGTTTGTGGTGGTATCTAAAAGGAAGGTCATTGATTGATTGGACTTTTTTGTGTCTTTTGGGGACCGGACTAGAGGGGGTGGATGGGACCTGGTTGTATTGTATGTATTATGGAAATCGTTGCAAAAAAAATTTCAGTTCCGCATATCAAAGTAGAACTCACTTGTACCTTTTTTTGCTTTCAACACATATACTCGCGAGAAATGTCGAAGGTCCCAGGACTCAATTAATGCGTGAGTAACGTGAGTAAAGTGATATCAAAGTGATAGCGGGAAATGATTTCTAGTGACTGAAAAGAGAAAAAAAAAGGGTCAATCTGCGCGAATATATAATATATATAAAAAAAAAAAAAAAAAAAAAACTCCCGATTTAAAGCTTAAAGTTCAAAGTCCGCACCTATGGTTTTATTCAAGAAGCAAGAAGAAAAAAAGAAGTGAGAAGAAAAAAAAAGAGGACCCTGTACCCAAAACTCCGGGAGAGAAAAGGAAAATAAAAAATAAAAGATAAAGCCCCAGGTAAAAATGTCTGTATCTATCTCCAAAAGACAAGTCAGCATATACGCATCCAAACCAAACACTCGCACCACCTCCAATCCCTCCCCCCCTTTCTCCCAAAACACAGAAAGGACCCCAGCAGAAAAAACCTACCACTTCAACACAGCAATCAACACCACCAACACCACAATCAGCACCACAATAACCACCAAACTCCCATTCTCCCGCACCCCCCTCTCCACCACCCCCAACCCCCTCCTCGCGCCCCCCAGCCGCTCCGTGTGGCGCTCCACCAGCTCATCCACGCCGTCCAGCAACTGCACATGGCCCTCGAGCTCATCGCCAATCTGTATACTCAGCTCCCTCTGGTTCCTGATACTGACCGACAGCCTATCCAGGTCCTCGTCCTGCTCCTCCATCACCCGCTGGTGCAGCTGCAGCACCTGCGTGTTGTCGAGGTCGCTGAAGCGCACCGTCTTGCGCAGCGCGGAGGGCGTCTCGCGCGGCCCCATCAGCGCTTCGCGCGCGGCTGTGTCGGCGCTGGGGGAGCGCCGGAGCGTAGCGGCGGGGTGGGTGGGTGTGGCGGTGGGGGTGGGGGCGGGGGACGAGGGGGAGCTGGGCGGGTGCGTGAAGAGGGAGTGCAGGTCGTCGTGTTGTGTGCGGAGGCGGATTAGGATGTCTTCGCGCTCGCGGAGCACCTGGGAGGTTCTACATGCATGGCGGCTTCTGTGTTAGTAGGTTGATGGTAGCTTGGAGGGGGCGGGGGTAGGGGGTAGGGGGGACAGAAGGAGAGACGAACGAGTCCCCATGCTCCTCGAGCTGCTGCTGCTCCTTCTCGAGCTGCTCGATGCCCGCGTGGAGCGTGCTGAGGCTGCGGGCGATGTCGGCGTCGGACTCGGGGGTGCGGGCGCGCGAGTGGAGGGTCTGCCGGATGTGGTCTTGGAGGAGCGTGAGGCGATCGGCGGTCGTGCTTGCCATGCTGCTAGTAAGTGAGTGAGTGAGTGTGAGTGTGAGTGATAGTAGTGGTGGTGGGTATTCTTCGTGTGGTGATGATAGTGGTGGTGGTGGTGGTGGTGGTGGGTGGTGAGTGGTTGGCGGGGAGAAAAAGAAAAAGGAAAAGGGAGACGGTTGCAGCAGTGGAGGTCGGAGGTCGGAGGTTGGAGGTTGTGGTCGGGGATAGGTGTGTGGGTGTGGGTGTGGGTGTGGGTGTGGGTATGGATGTGTATGGGTATGGGTATGCCGGTGTCTGTGCTGCAGCGGAGCAGAACCGGTTAGGAGAGGTGCGGTGCGGTGCGAGTGAGATGAGGTAAAGTGCTCTACTCTAGCTAATATTTGCACTCTCACTCATTCACTCTGCTCTCTGCCCTCTGCCCGCCCCAATCCATATTTTCCATCGCATTGATCACAATCTTGGGGAAACATGGGCCATGGTCCGGGGTGAATACTCGGGTATGTATCTACTGCATTGCAGAGAGCTTGCATTGGGCAAGAAAACAAGAAAAGAGATGTCTCAGCTCATGTGTGTTTAAATTCCCTATAGGACGATTATTCTCTGCTCCGTGTTGCTGTGAAAATTGATAGAGTAGTGAGTGAGCATGAGGATCTACATTGCACTGCGATGGCTGCGGGGAGGGGGACCAAGCAGACACAATTTCATGTAATTTGGCCATTGGCCTAGAGTATCTATAATGTACTATCGCTAATTTTTCGAATATTGGAACGGTCTGATTGGCTGCTGAGTGCAGGGATGTTGATTAGTCAGCACGACACATCAAAGTACTGAGCACTCACGAGAGGAGGAGGATGGGACCAAAGGCCCCTCATGATTGTAGAGGGAGAATTAAATTTTATTTGATACCCATAATTCAACGTACAACTCGCGGTCGCGAGTTGGCACACCCCTAGTATATACGTACGTACGTACGCCTGCGGGAGTTTCACACCCTACTCTACGCAACTCGAATCTCTGGCTGACAATATGCCTCTGTCCCGGGAGAACACTCGTACCGTATTCTATGCGCCAGCCCGGTCGGTCGGTCGGCCGGCATCTGACGTGTGTGTGTGTGGTGCATGCATCAATATCGTATATGTCTTGTCCACGGGCTGTCATCAAATGCCGAGTTGCTACTTTATGAAACGTTGGTTTGTTGTTGCTGCCTGTTGGCAGGTCATCTAATTGGGCCGTGAATCTGGGGTTGGGGAAGGAAGGGTTGTGATGAGTTCTGTCTGTTGTTTTATTGTGGCCCGCGGTGCGGATGGGCTGGCTGGCTAGCTAGCTAGCTAGCTGTCTATCAATTGGAGATGCCGGTAGAGTAGAGTATGTATGTAGCGTAAAGTAGACCAGGCAGCATAATATGAAATCAGTTCGCGGCCGGCATCGTGAGTGATTTTCAGAACCAATGTCTTGTAGCTAGCTACTCTAGCTAGCTGCCGCGCACTCACTCACTCACTCACTCACTCACTCACTCCATGTGCTGTTCTACATACATAGCATAGCTTACGATAATACAATGCTCTACTCTGGACCCGTATTGCGTCTATTGGCGAGGAATCATATGATCCCGCACCCCGCAAAAAAAAAAAGGGATTTACTCCGGTGGGGCTTGCATGGGAGAGGTCCCGAGTCCCTGTTTTTGGCCTTGTTTGATCATCACCCAGTGCTGTGTCTACATAATCTAGAGTATCTCCATCTGTATCTCGACTGCTCTGCATATCTCGAGTGTGGATGTGTGTGGCTACAGAGCATTGGCATGGCAGAGCTGGACTGGAGGTGATCAGGCATGCATGCATATGATTGGGGATGGCGTTAATATGCGGGCCATGGGCCATGGGCCACTGGCAGCTTGTGCTGGAGAGCGAATAGGGATGTCTTGGGGTGGGAATGCGGATTAGCTTGTGGGGAAGAGCGAGGGCGAGTGAGAAGTCAGCTAGAGAGAGAGGGAGGGAGGGAGAGAGGGGGAGGGAGGGAGGGAGAGAGGGGGAGGGAGGGAGGGAGGGAGGGAGGGAGAGGGAGAGGGTGAGGGTGAGGGTGAGGGTGAGGGGGAGAGAGAGAGAGAGAGAGAGAGAGCTTGCTCGACACCTCACAACCTCTCTCACACCTCACAACCTCTCTCACACACATCCCACACTCTCACCGAGAACTAACTGATAGACACAGCGACACACCCGAGCAGCACCGCACAGCAGCATCACTCCCACAGTCCCACCCACACCCACACCCGCACCCACACTCACACGCACACGCACACTCGCCCACACACCCCTCCCTCCCTCCCTCCCTCCCTCCCTCCATTGATCCCCGCCGCCGCCCAGCCCGCCCCCAATGACAACCCCCGCCACCGACCACACCACCACCACCTCCACATCACCACCACCACCACCACCACCACCTCCAACCTCAACCTCCGTCTCCACCCTCGACCTCCGCAACCTCACCTACCTCACCCCCACCGACGACAACCTCCAATGCCCCATCTGCCACTCGCCCCTCCTCGACCCCGTCACCACAAACTGCCGCCACACCTTCTGCGCGCCCTGCATCGCCTCCTCGCTCGAGCACTCGGCCTCATGCCCCGTCGACCGCAAGCCATTGACGCCCGACGGCGTCTCGGCCGCCCCCATCATGGTCGCCAGCCTCGTCAACGACCTGCTCGTCCTCTGCCCCAACGCCGAGCTCGGCTGCCCGACCACCTGCGCGCGCTACCTCCTCGCCGGTCACCTCCGCGACGCATGCGGCTTCGTCGAGGTCAAGTGTAGCGGCTGCGACGACCTTGTGCTGAGGAAAGATGCGGCCGAGGAGGACTGTATGCACCAGGTGCTCGAGTGCGCGTACTGCTTTGAGAGCTTCAGGAGGATCGATATGGAGGTCTTTCACCCCCTCCCCCCGCTCCTTCATAAAGACAAAGCTAACACCACAGCAACCCCCCAGGCGCACGAATCCCACTGCCCCCAGATCCTCGCCGAATGCCCCTACTGCACCACCGACCAGACGCGCGCCACCATCACCGCGCACACCGCCGCCTGCCCCGCCGCGCCCACAGCCTGCGGCGCCAGCACCATCGGCTGCCCGTGGGCCGGCGCGCGGCGCGACCTGCCCGCCCACGCCTCCATCTGCGCGTTCACGCTCCTCCGGCCCGTGCTCGCCGCGCACACGGCGCGCCTCGAGACGCTGGAGCTCGAGAACCGCGCGCTGCGCAAGAAGATCGATATCCTGCTGCCGCCGGGGCGCGACGACGACGGGCCCGTCTACGACGACCAGACGATCCAGCTGCTGACGGAGCAGGAGCATCTGCGCGGCGATGTGGAGCGCCTGAGTGCGAGCTTGGGCGAGATGGAGATTAAGCAGAGTATGTTGCTGATGAACGAGACGCTGAGGACGAAGGAGGAGATGGCGGGGATGCGCGCGGCGATTAATGGGATGAGGATGCAGATCCATTGGTTGTTGACGGCGAGGCTGCAGAGGGCGGGGCCGGGGCCGGGGCCGGGGGAGAGGGCGGAGGGGGCTGGGAGTGTGAGGAGGGTGCCGGAGGGGGCGGCGGGGGCGCAGGGGGATAGGGTGAAGCTTTAGAGGCCGGGGGTGTTTTTGGGTTTGGGAAGGGTTTGGTGCGGCGTTTGTTTTCTCTCTCCTTTGTGGTGTGTGGTTCTTTGCTTCTTCTTCTTCTTCTTCTTGGTATGGTTCTCTTTTGTGCTTCTTCATGGTCTTTCCTTTGCCCGTAGGTTAGAGGGCCGCTTTGCATTTACAATTATAGCATGGCTTTATTAGTGGTTTTTCTTTCTTTTTCTTTCTTTTTCTTTCTCTCTCTCTCTCCCCCTCTTTTTTCCATCAGGTCTTTTTTTTATAGGTCTTTATTTATAACCATAGGTACTATACTGAATGCATTACATCAGCTTTATATGCTGCTTTTTTTTTATCCGTTTGTCGGCGGTTACAGTGCAATGATCGTTCTGTTCGTCGTTGGTTATGTTGTGGTTGTGGTTGTGGTTGAGGTTGTTGATGTTGATGTTATTCCTACGGTGGTAGCTGTACTCTAGCTAGTAGATGATGACGATTTCATCCCGAGTGAGACTCCATGACCCCCGTATCCCCCCGACGTATAGATATGTAGCGGCCATATTAGAGCTGGTGATAACCTCCGTGCGCGGCGTGCCTCTGGACTTATTCCAGCTGCGGAACCAGAACCAGAGCCGCGGGATTCAAACACCCGGCAGCGCTTTTTCTTATGCTTCTACCGCGGCGGTATGGATATGGCCTCTTGATACCGTTGGGGCGGTGGTAAATTGTGGTGCTGGGGCTGGTCGTGGTGGTTGTCACTGTCACACTGTCACCCTGACCACCCGGGTGGCGGTAATGATCGAAAACACACGTTTCAAAAACAAGACCAGGGTCTGCCCCGCGGGGGAGGGGGGTGCTTATCGATAAGCTAGGGCGCGTTTGGGAGCTACTGAGACGGAGGTTTATATAGACCCCCCCCAAATGTCGCTATGCAGCCTCCAAAACTCTCGGGTTTAAAAACCCTACCTGCCTGCCCGCTTTTTTTTCAAGGTGTAGTGTTGTCGATACCATAACGTAACTGAATCCTGAGAAACTACGTTGCAAGGTACTGCGGAAGAGTTCTGTTCTGTTTGCAGTGTGTTCCTCCAAACATACGGACGGACGGACGGGAGCTTGGTTTGGAGGTACCGGTAACTTGAACGTTAGTATAGTTAGTATATGTCTCTACGGCGAGGAAAAGGGGAGTTAGGTGTTGGTTGGAGGAATGGTTTGTTGGGCCTGGATAGACTGGCTACGGAGGATATAAAATATGGACGAGAAGAAGAAGCTAGCTACCGTTGATAAAAAGCTCCCCCGGGCCCATACCTGGAGAAACCCTGGCCCACTACACGGCACCCCAATGCTATACTGATTGTTCCCAAAAATATGAGGAGCGGGGAACCACTGAAGAGACGCGGGGGTCTTTGTTTTAACTGTGGTCCTACCCAGGGTGGGACCGGGAGTTAGCTGTTGGGGTGGGGGGGGGGCGGGTGAGCATGAGGTGGGAATATATAGCAGACGGGGGAATTTTCCAAGCTTAAGCCTGGGACTTGGCCTGCTGGGGGAAGAGAAGGGGGGTGGGTGGATGGACAGGCCGTGACGGCCGAACCCGCACATAGTTCCACTAGTCGAGCTGCTCCGGATTTGCTCGCTGGGTTTCGGTAACGGAACACTTGCAATGTACTACATGTAGCTAGTTGTCTGTCTTGGGATGTGAGCTTCTGTAGCTATGTACCTATAATCCGTCTTTAAACGTTTACCGAAAATAGTTTTTGAAAATAAATTTATAAACCGAGAAATTGTGAGCTTCTAGAAAAGACGTTGGTCAAGAATTAACCTGTGTGTGTGCGTGCGTGCGCCGTGCGTCTAGTAGAGGCATTCTTGTGAGATGATGACCGTTCTACGTAGCTACAAGTAAGTACATGTAGGTATATGTATATAGCAAGATTATTTTTGGCATTCTGTGTATATGGGTCATGTCGATCTAGCAAAAACCGTCCGCACAGCCAAATCCTTATTCCGAAGAACCACACAGCAGATAAACTCCAGATCTTCCTAAAGCTCAGAGAACCTTGGTGAGGGCCCAGAATTAATTTCTTCAACCATTTGTCCCATCAATTAGAGGCTGTAGAGTGGGGTAGCGAACTGGTGAGGCCTCGTTGAGGTGCCTTTTGCTAGATTGATATTTATCTAATATGTATTGAAACTCGACTGCGATATGGGCCACTACTAAGTAGTGCAAAGCACAAGAAATAAAAATAAAAAACAACCAATTCCAATTCGTAGAGATGTAGTATGCAAACTGTGAATACTATCCGGGAATGTATCTAGGTTTTTCATGCAATCAAGCAAAACCGGGCTTTGTATTTCCGGGTACTTTTTTTATTTTGTTGGTTTGTCGGTTGCTGGTATATATTATATATGGCACCCGTAGACCGCTCTAGCGAAGTTGCCGGGCAATGTTGTGGTTTGAATCTCGGCCGGCCAGCTTGGCCTTGGATGTTTTGTGGGTTGGGTGGTTTTGATTTTAGGGTCATGATGGGGTGCTGGGGAGTGTACCGGCGAGCGAGTGGCGGGAATGGGAGCGGGATGGCGGCGATATGATAGGAAGAGTACTAGTAGTAGACCTTGGGGCCAAGACGAGTGTTTGGGTTAAATGAGGTCTAGTGAAGGAGGGGACGAGTGATGGATGGTGTTGGTGGAGACGAGTGATGTTGTGTGATTCGTGCAGCTATAGCTAGCCGGCTGGATACTTGGGGACTCTTCTTTCCTATGACCCTGGGTTGTGATGCCATTTCCTCAGGAGTAAAACACAGAAACCTACAGTTTTCTGCAGCTAGAAACAAAGGGCACCCATACCCAGAAACAAAATCCACTGCACTGTCGATGCTATGGTTGCTGCAGGAGGTTCCCATTTTGTCGCTTGAGCGATCATTGGCACCAACCATCTAGGTCCCCACATGATGGCTCCTGCAGTGAAAAAAATTGTACCTTACTTCTTGTACCTACCTTATTGTACAGCGCAGTAACCACATGACTGCATACTCCCGCGAGTCATTCTGCTCTCTTGATTGGACCCGTTCTTCCGGCATACATTAGAGTACCTACATGTATGTAGAGTGGAGCTCTATCAATTTATTTCAACCTGATTGCGGAAGATTCCGAGGTGCCCTGCGTCTCCGAAAATGACACTTGGAGAGCGGTGTTAGGAAGCCGACTATTTCCGGCGACAGCGACAACGACAGCATCTAAGGAGGTGTTTTGTTTGCTCATGCATCCGCGGAAGGGCCTTTTTTGATTTTTTTTGATTATCTTTATTTGTTTTTTTGATAGTTGATATGTCGTGCCTGAGAGCTCAGGTTGCAATTGTGTCTACCGTTCTGTTGTGAGGAGAGCGAGAAGGTACATGTATGGAGCTCGTTTGCGGTTAGCAACGCGAGGCACGTTACATTTTGGGTAGGTCTTGGCGGAGGGGTCCCGCACCCCCGCACACCCGTTTGGTTACGGGCTCCCTGGTCGCTCTGAGCGCTCATTCTTTGCGTGCGCGGAATGCGTTAAATTTATTTCTGGACACGGCAGCCACCACAACCATCAACCTAACGTACCGTCTTCTTGCACCTCAATTGTCACAATCTTGGCCCTGGCCTGACCTGCGTCCTGGTTCTTCTTCCTTCCTTTTTATACTCTCGTCGCCTTGCCTTACCCTGCCCCACTAACTTGAATCAGAGATCACAGGAACGAAAGGAAAACAAAAAAAGTGCTTAGGAAGAAAGCATTAACGAATACTAAATATGGAGCAGGAGTGAGTTTTCTTTCTCCTTTGGGTCCGAATCCATGATCTGATGTAATTGCTGACCCACGCAACATCAGGATTCTTCGTCTTCTGGGCGAACTCCAGTCTACCGCCGAGGGCCCTCGACGGAATGCGGAAACTCAGATTACCGCGTTGTACGCCAATGATGGTTTGTTTTCGGCCTCAATTTCCCTTTGGGATGTTGTGCACCTTCGCGGATACTGATGTAATGGCTAGCCTTGCCTGTTGCCCTCATGAATATTGCGTCTGCGCAGCAGCTCGACATGACTGCTCGCCAGGCGGCCCTATTGATTCTGAAGCGTTATGTCCAGCACTGCTGGAGCCCAAGCTTTGAGGAGTTCAAGGGACAGCTGGTCAGGGACGACGTCAAGGCCCAGATGAGGGTCGCACTGCTGGGTCTTGTTACGGACGAGCAGAGGAAGATTAGAGCGGCTGCTTCATACGTCGTCAGCAAGATTGCGAGTCAAGGTTCGTGATCAGTAGCAGGATTGGTGCATTGGGGCGAAGTGTGTGTGTGTGTCTGGTGGTTAATCGATCAATTGAGGACAGATTTTCCGGAGGAGTGGCCGACATTGGTGCAGGACCTATTGAAACTGATCTCCGAGGGGAGTGAATCACAGGTTCACGGAGCTTTGCGTGTGCTCAGTGGTGAGTTTTCGAATTTGACGCGGGTAGTTTGGAAGCTTACATATAGCTTTGTAGATCTTATCAACGACGGATTCTCGGATGAACAGTTCTTCTCGACCGCCAAAGCCCTCATCTCGGTCGTCTATGGCGTTGCTACACATCAGTCAAGGAACTACTCTATCCGTGCATTGGCCGTGCATGTGTTCTTTGCCTGCATTGAGATGCTGGAGATGGTGAAAGAGGACCACCCAAACGCTGTTAATGATTTCGCGAAGGAGATACTCGATCTCTGGGTCCCATTCTTTGTCGGCACTCTTTCTGGCTCTTTCCCGGAGACCGACGATATTACTTTCGACGGTGTTGTGACTCTCCGCATCCAGATTATCCGGACCATCATGCAGATCCGCAAAGTGTTTGGCTCACTTCTTGCCCCATTCTTGGGTCAAATATTTGCGGTTACTTGGCAGGAACTTAATACTGTCAAGGATCGCTATGTCCGTGACTTTGTGATCAATGAGACTGAAGGGAAGCTTGTTGATCTGGACAGCTTGCCGTATAGTTTGGATCTTTTGGTTCTGGAACAACTAGATTTCATTCAGACTTGTTTAAAAAACAAGGCTGTGAGGGATGAGCTGGCGCGTGTGAGTGCTGGGGGTGGAGCGGGTTCGCCATTGGTACAAATGGTGAATGCTACTGTTGCGCTGAGTCAGGTCGCGAGCGAGGATGAGGGCATGTGGGAGGTTGATTTGAATGTTTTCCTGTGCGAGGAGACTTCGATTTCGGCGAATTACACCCCTAGGAGTGCGTCGGGCGATTTGATACTGAAGCTTGGAGAATCATTCCAGCACCAGACAGAAGCCGCATTGTGGGAGTATACACAGCAGATATTCAAGTCCGGGGAGAGGTTTGTCATGCAATCATCTCAATTGATCATATAGCTTTACTAACGAAGTCTGTCATAAGTACTCGTCAAATCAAGGAGGCAGCCTTGTTCATCTGGGATGAGCTTCTCAGTGAATTTGCTGAAATCAATCGAAAGATTAACCCCAGCATCGCCTCGAATCTGTTGGAATACGTAGTATCTGCCATTGGCAGCAACCTCGAAGAGGAGCAGTTCCTCAGAGCTCGGGGTTACTATCTTGCTGGAACATTAACCAAAGCAGCCCCCGAAACCGTCGGGCCCCGGGTGACCGAATTAATTGATCAAACTATCCGGGCATCCACCACCGACCCATCGGATATCGTAAAAATCTCATGCATAAAAGTCCTTCAGAAGTAAGTCATTGTGATTATTTATCGCTTTCCTCGCTCTAACAGAAATAGATACTGCGAGATTGTTGATCTCGAGATAATTCGACCATACCAAGCTAGTATTATCGGCTCAGTCCGGTCTTTCCTCGCCCACAAACCACATGATGAAGCCGAAGACAGCCAAGATGTACTGGCAGAGTTAATGGAGGCTTTACGTGGTGCCGTTGGCCTTAATTATTCCATTGCCATTGATCCCAACGTCCGGGTCGTTGAGTTAATCTTTGCTATTGCTCACAATGGCCCAACGAGCATGCACTTGCAGAGTTTGGTTCAGGACTTGTTTCAAGATATTGCCGAGGAGCTATATGAGAACTTCGTACCGCTCTGTGAAATGATGCTCCCGTTCATATCAGCAGCATTAGATGTAGGAATGGATGGGAAGAATCATCCCTTGATGGATCTCGCAGCTGATGTCTTGGCTGTGCTCGCGCGGAACGGCTCTGAGCCTCTACCGAATGGTTTTGTTGCAACGGTAGTACCGAGGCTTCAAAGGATTTTAATTCAGTGTGAGGAAAGTGACGTTTTGCAGAGTGGATGCGAGGCGCTGGGAAGCATTGTCAAGCATGACCTGAATCAATTGATCCAGTGGCACGATGCAGATGGAAAGAGTGGTTTGGAGGTGACCCTGGTCATTATTGATAGATTGCTGAGGCCAGACATCCCAGACAATTCTGCGCTGGAAGTTGGTGGGTTGGCTGCGGAAGTTGTCGAGAAGGCCAGTGAGCACCTTGGACCGTTCCTAGCGAGCTTGCTTAGGGCCGTTGCGGAACGTTTGGCTACTGCACAGTCACCACCCTTTATCCAGGTTTGATACACCGTTCATTTTTCTCTCCTAGTTGTGAAGATGCTGACTGCCCTGGAGAGTCTTATCCTCGTCTTTGCTCGTCTTGTGCTTAAACAAGCAAAGGACGTCGTAGACTTCCTGGCTGGGTTGACTATTGGTGATGTAAACGGATTACAGATCGTGCTCGGAGCATGGTTGGAGAACTCTAGCAGTTTCTCAGGCTACGAGGAGATTCGACAAAAGTATGCTCTTCCTTCTATATTCGATAAGCAGGTGCTGATATTGGAACTTCAGTGTCATCGCACTATCATTACTATACCGCCTACAGGATCCTAGGCTCTCGCAGATTATGGTTAAGGGTGATTTGATCGTCCCCGAAAGCAACCGAATAATGACGAGATCCAAAGCGAAACAAAGTTCATTAGACTCTCCAGTCATGTCTTGACTCGCTGCATTTCATTGACCAATTTGGCTAACTTTCGTTTTTCTTGCGCGCAGATCCTGACAGATTTACGATGATCCCGGTACCTCTCAAAATCGTGAAGCTCTTGGTTCTAGAGCTCGGGTCGACAATGGGCGATGCAACCAAGTCATACTATAACAGTAGCCAACTGGCGGCCGAGTCAGATAGCGAGGACGAGGGCGAGGGCTGGGAAGATATGCCAGCTAGCTTAAACATACCAGGCATCTCTACCGAAGAACTCATGGCCCTCGGAGGTGGATCTGGCCGCGTCTCAAGACAGGCAAATGACGAAACATACGTGAGTCGCCATACACCAGAAATACTCCTGTGCTGTTAGCTAACATAGCATGTACAGGCCTACTTGACAAGTTTCTTCCGTGAGCTGTCCACCACCAACCTCGGTGATTTCCAGACCATCTACGCTGCGCTTAAGCAGGAAGAGCAGTTGCCACTTAACCAGCTTTTGGGTTCGCAGTCATAGAGAGAGAGAGAGAGAGAGAGAGTAACATCAGTATATCTAACTAGGGTTTGGGTTTAATCGTGCGTTGGGGGCGTTTGTGGTAAAGATAAAACAAAGATAAAACAGCGGAGTTGGGGAAGGGGCGCTGGAAGATATCCTCTATACTTTACTTAGAAATGGTTACCTGTAAGTATCAATAAGCTGCTATTGTGGAGAGTAAGGGGCGCATATATAGTTTTTCTAGCAGCTTCTTATGGCGATTTACTTGTTTTTCTATCATCACGGTGGTGGTAACTAGAGTGCAATTATCAGGAACTAGTGAAATGATTTGTCACGTGCGGTTATGAGGTGTGACGGAGAGGGAGGGGAGGGGAGGGGAGGGGAGGGGAGGGGAGGGGAGGGGAGGGGAGGGGAGGGGATGAGGTTGCTACTAACAGGTCAGTATTGGGAACTCAGGACCGCACTGATCATTCACCCCGGTGCAATGGTAATTACATCCGTCCTCAGATCAGAGAGCGGAGTTTCTCAGTAACCACTCTGGCGGTGGCACGAACAGACTTCCCTCCACAAGTGAAATACAGCCTTCAGCTACCAATGAGGTATGCATTATACCAACAAACCACTCAGGACGAGGCAGGAAAGTTATTCACTCCTGGATTGATATATCAAGAGTGCTATACCTATAACAAGCATCGAAAAATGGCATAGGAGACAGTAAATGTTGAGGTGTTGGGTTATAATTAGTCACTGGCTTTCAGGTGCCTCGGCCACTGTGGACCAGTGGCGTGCTCTGGCCTTGAGACGTACCAGGAGACAGGCGAAAAGCTATAGGGCTTGTTGAGCCATGCATATTGCCAGTGATCAGAGGGCTTAGATAAGTTTTATTAGCTTGGGCTCCGATCACAACGACGGTTTGCAAGTTAGTGAGTTGTGGGTGAAAGGAGAGGCATGAGAGGCGACGCTTGCTGGTGCCTGCGAGAGAAAATTTTAGTCCCTTAAGATGTGGATTCATAGCACGCGGACCACGCTAGTTCAATTTCAAGCTACATGTATATACATGTGTGATTGGCAAAATCTATCCTTTCCTTCCCATTAACTACCACTAGCTACTACTACCACCACTATCCTATCTATCTTCCCCCAATGTAGAACACACTCCCATGGTCAATCCCTTACTATATTAATTCAGTCATATCTTCAACCACTAACACGCGCCTCCATGCCTGAACTACTGCTCTACATGAGCGCGAAGATTCATCGAGTGATAGTTTATGACTTGTTTTTATCTAGCACGCCCTACCAAGATCGTGAACGCTCCAGGTACAGGTGTCCACAACCATACCTCAACGTATTCCTATCTTTAACGGGCCTACACAGCAAAAGGAATGAATCCTCAAGACCTAGAGGCTTTGGGGCCGATGAGCTACCTACAGAGTAGCTAGCAAATGATCCTATTCCATAGATATCTAATAAGTATATAATTATAACCTGCATATGCATGTGTATTTAAAAGCTTCTGATTGGCTAATTGAGAGAGGTTTTGTTGGATATGAACATAGGGTATTGTGCTGAGTGGTGTTAGATTGTTAATAGGTTTTCTATTGGTTCTGGGAATTGATTAGTAGTTCGATTTTAGCGGTTTGGTGGCTGCTAAAGGGATATATTTGTAGTTTGAATTGGAGAAATTGTCCTGTCCACTGATATATGGAGGATATCAGAAAAGGCACATATCGACTAGAGTAGATATAGTGATGGACAGGTAAATAGAGAAAATAAGCCGCAAAGCGGCTTGCCTGTATATTGGACTGATTGATATACATGTAGTACCGGCCGAAGGCCGGAAACCACTTGTAGATACTATAGATTTATGTCTCAGAATGCGGGGAGAACACAATGCCGACTGGGTTACCGATTTGCCAGCTTGACTAATGTCCAAAAGGAGGCACATGCTGGCAAACCCTCTGAGGTTAAAAGGAGCTTCCCTCGCGCGTACTGGGGGGGTATAATTGCCTAATATTGGATAAGGGACCTCACCTAAGTATAACTACCTCGCAGATCTCACTATGCGTCGAGGTAAGGCCGTGGTCGGCCGGTCTTGAGTCACGGTGTCTCATAGTCATATTACGATTTTGTAGCACTACAGTTCTTGGCCCTAGTTTATGGTTTAATACAGGTCTCTAAAATTCTAGGCTTGGCACCGGGACCGATTCATACATTATCACTCGTTAGGAAATAATCATCGGTGGACATGAAGCCTATAGGAGGGATCAAAGGTTTTCAAATCAGCTGGCTCTTTGAATTTGAATTTGTCTGGGCCGTAGTATATCAGTACCATTTGACTTCAATTTTCTTAAATATGGTACATTTAAAGACTATTTTTCATCAAGGAACGATATGCCTAGCCACGTCATGTAGATGAAGGGGATAATAAGGAAGGGGTGTGGAGAGTGCTAGCTAGCTACAGTTGCAGCTCAACTCACGAGCGTTAGCCCGCAGTGCCCAGTCATATTACATGGAGCGTGTTAGTATCTACGCCCGAGGCCCCTGCAAGGTTACGGGGCGCCACTATCTATAACTTTGCAAAACTACTTTAACTTCAACTTTTTCTTGGATAGTTGTCGTCAACGTTCGCTTTTTCTCCTGGAGTTTAGCATCAGGTCGGGTGGAGGGGATTGGGATTAGAGGGGAAGGTGGAGTAAATGCCGAAGGTAGTAAGCAAGGGACTGTGTTAGGTAGGGCTTGACTTATATCATCGAGATATCGATCGGCGTGATGTGAGGTGTAGGTCGGGATATCAGAGATACTAAAACAGGGTGGGTGTGTGGGAATCAAAAATGTCAAGAGATAAAGGGAGAGTTTAGTATGAGAGGTGTTTAATACGAGGTGGAAAGTACAATATGAGACATAGAAACCTAGATAACAATGGAAAAATGGATGGCAGGAAGAGAAGAATATAAACAAAGATGCGGTAGATAACCAGAACCAGTAAGAGAGAGAAAAGATTAAAGACTGCTGCAGGAATATAACCTCAAAATATCAAAGCAGGCAGGGAGAGTTGATTACAGAGATACTAGTGCCGGACTAATGGGAATGTTTATAAGAAATAATAGTTGTAACACCTACCGTTTTTCACCGATCTAACCATGAACCGACACCATCCGGTAACGCAAGGAAATATAAACAATTAACGGAAAAACTACGTCCGAAACTGTCATTTCCATACTTAGCTTTACGCTTAAATGCATACCGCTCAATTGTCCAACGATTCTCGGGATAATTCGCCAATATATGCACCATCTAAGTATTCGGAACACCCTGCTGTTTTCGATTCCCCCCGCCCCTATAGCCACCTCTCTGTTGACTTTGTGTATCCACCAAGAAATGCCGGACCGGACTAGCACTTCTTCTCGCATATGGGTGAGCACGTTGCGATTTGTGTCCACCGCGGCGATTGACCATTGTATTCTGTGGACGGTTCTGGTTGAAGTGTTGTGCTGGTGGTGGAGCAGTGACAGGTTTAGGCGGCAATGGGTGATGGGAAGGTTGTGGAAGAGGCTTAGCTGTTGTATCACGAACACGCTGTTTTTGAGGTCGGCTATACATTGGTTAGAGAAGCCCTGGAATAAGTCCAACCCTGCGGGTTCAACAGTAAGATAACGAACCTATTATCCAGAGGACTTCGGCTCTTGCGTTTTCCTCCTTGATTTATGGCATTTGTTCTACCACGAACCCCGCTGTTGCTAAGATTATTTATCCCTTCATGACGGCCTGTGTTGTTCGCCAACGAGGTCGTAATCGGTTGTCGGGTCCAAGGACTTTTCGAGTCAGAAGGATCTCCGGCAGTTTGCATTTTCTTCTCGGCTGCGTCTTCACTTTCAACGGGCTCATCTGTGTCCTCGAATCGCAGCTCGACCGACTTTTCTTCTTGTGTATTCTCGGCCTCAGTTTCCACCTTAACCTCCTCCTCTGGTTCATCTGGTAGCTCCCATTCCAATGGCTGTGCAAGCATGTTTCCTCCAGTTCTAACACTCTCCCAGATGGGATCTTTCATAATCTCGCTGCCCTCCCCATAAAAGTCCCTATTGATTCTCCTACCCTTGGGATCAAAGTATTTGGTGAGAGGACTCTCTTTAGTTTTTTTATCATTACCTTGCTCTTCAGTTTCTTGGAAGGTTGGGTCTAGTGGTGTTTCGGTTGGCTGTGCAGGTCTCCAAACTTAAAGTACAGAAGATGTTAAAAATCATTATCTTGATAAACAACAAAGATGGTGGGAGCATACTTATAACACCATTTTTTGAAGACACAGCCGCATTTTTATCCAGGCTTGGGAAGCAAGGAGGTGGTTTCGGGGGTGGAGGTTGCTGCTGTGCGGGTGCAACACCATTTGCTGCAGGTGTTTGGGGAAATTGATTCTGCGGTCCATGGCCATGATGCTGAGTCTGCGAGAAAGATGTAGTGGCGGGTGTATATGGCGGCTGAACTGGCGGTTGTTGCGGATATTGCTGGTAATTTTGATGTGGAGGGTAGGGGCCTGAGGGATGTGCCTGATGTGGGGGGTTATAGTGGGGATGTGCCGGCTGGGGTGCTTGCGCTTGTGCCGTATAGTTACTCTGTGGAGTATAACCACCATATGATGGTTGATTATGCTGTCGAGGGTAAGCTGGCTGCGCTGGTTGCGTTGGTTTGTTGTAGCCATAGTTAGAGACAGGCTGGTGTGGGCCATAAGCGGGGGCTTGTGGCGGCGGAACAACTGGAGCAGCACCGTAGGGCTGTTGCCATGGTTGCGCTGGAGGATACCCCTGGGGAGTTGCTTGCTGGTGCCATTGCTGTACCGGCTGCTGCTGTTGAAGATGTGGCGGCTGGTAAGGGCCTATTTGTGCTGGAGGTTGATAAGGCCCGGTTTGTGGATAGGAAGGTTGCTGTGGGTAACCGTTGGCATAATTTGGCGGAGGAGCGAAACGCGTAACGACAGGTTTATTATTTCTTTTTTGGATAGCGCCCCGTTGAGGACGCGGAGCTTGATTAAGCGACCCACTGGAAAAAATTTGATCAGCAAAGAAAGCTCCACGGTGGTCAGTTGGGGGTTGGTACGAACGCAGGAACGGCCCTTCTAGCTTCGCGACAGTGTTGAGCTACATGCTGAGGGGAACCACAATTATAGCAAGGCTCTGGCGCAGGTTGTGCCTGAGGATTTTGCAGGTGTTGTTGCTGTTGAGGGTAAGCTGGGCCCGCATACTGGTGCGCGAACTGCCTTTGATGAGGTTGTGAGTTCATCGCGGGAGCTTGATTGAATATTCGATATTTTGTAAAAGGAATGTGAGTCGAAGGGAACCAGGAGTCGTAGGCCTAAACGAGAATGGGGGTCGAGCAGTTGTTCGAGGAACACGATTGTCGATGGAAATGAAATGTGGACTGGTTGGACCAGGGGAGATGAGTAAAAAAACAAATGACCACTCCACAGCCCACCTTCAATAAGCTTTGGCCAAGCTATGAGCACGGGGGAAACGAGAAAATCGGCGAGATTCGATAGGACTTAAAAAGGCGCACTGTTCATATTCAAGGAGTGGGAACGGTGAGTGGGAGCTACTAAAAAGAACGAGATGGTAAAGAAATTATGGGGTGAGGCGAGGGAGGCAAAAATCTTGGAGGGACACAGAGAAGGAAGGAGGTGATGAGTGTGAGTCTTGGGAAACGGATAACTGGTGAGATGGGGTTTTTCGGTTGCCGAATTGAACTATTCCTGTCAGATTGAGGTCGCGTTAAGGTTCTGCCAAGACAATTGAATACCTAGACATCATCATGAACTATGTCAAGTGGGGTACAGAGTGATGGACTTTTTCACGAGCGTCATTGACAGGGGCATTTGTAATTTGATCAGTTCAGAGAAAACAAAGAAAAATTTATTAAGAGGGAACAGTGCACTGAAGCAGGTATCATGTTTCATGGGGGGAAGAGACTATCAAAAGGCGTTTTTTTAGTGGACGTGCTCATCTATATGAACCCCGCGATGTTTGTCTCAAGTGAAGATGATAATGAAACGATAATAGGAAAAAGGCAAATGGGAATAGATATGGAACGGATACAACGAATGGTCCCAGAGAGCTGAACAGATGAGATTGATTTTACAACCACGCTGACAAAAGAGACAAGAAATTTGGGATATTGGGAAACCTAATAGCAGGGATTGTTAGTTGGCGGGGAGGCAAACATAAAGCTCTCTTGAGCTGTCATGACTGTTGTTGCTGCCTGAACGCAGTTTAGGGCTTTTAGCAGTGGCATCGATGAAGTAATTCCGTCAGACCTCCCCCGAAGTAATATAGTAGTAATAGGTGATAATAAAAGTTTGGCTGAAATGGAATGGTGCTTCATATTTCATATGTTTGATGTTTGATGGAGGGTTGGTGTTGAGAGCTGAGGAGGAGTCCGAGAGAGCCTCTGTTCCCTTGGCTATGTAATTGCGGGGCCGATTCCCAACGCAGCCAAACCAATGCCCAAAATGGCAACTCTCAACGTCCATCATATCGTGGGGGCAAGAGAGAGTGCGATTATCACGAGCCACTGTAATTAGAAGCGTTCCAAGGGCTTAGAAATCATCACAACCCTCGAATTATCTCCTTCATCACATTAGACACGTGCTCCTTCGCGTCTTTGGTTTTTTCATATGCGTTGACCTAGATGAACATGAACCATTTGCCGCGCCTCTTCTCTTCCCCTTGTTCCCATCGCACAAGCTCGCAACCTTGACCAACACCACCATAAAACCCATCTCACCATAGCTGCAGCTGCACAAGCAAATGCCTGGACTACCCGGTACATAAGCACTCCGATCGACTTGCCCTAAATCTTAACACGACTGACAACAACACTAGTCTCAGTCGACCTCGATGAGTGCATCGAGCGCCTCTACAAAAAAGAGCTCCTCGCGGAATCTGTAATAGAGGCGATATGCAACAAACTCAAGGAGCAGCTCATGCGCGAATCCAATGTCGTGCACATACTCGCCCCAGTCACTGTCGTTGGCGACATTCACGGACAGTTCTTCGACATGCTCGAGATATTCAAGATTGGTGGCTTCTGTCCAGATACAAATTACCTGTTCCTGGGTGACTATGTCGACCGTGGGCTATTCTCAGTCGAGACCATATCGCTACTAGTGTGTTTAAAACTGCGGTGGCCAACACGGGTACACTTGATTCGCGGAAACCATGAGAGTCGAGGTGTCACGCAGAGCTATGGGTTCTACACCGAGTGTTCAAGGAAGTACGGGAATGCTAGCGTGTGGCATCACTTTACGGACATGTTTGATTTCCTGACGCTGAGTGTCGTTATAAACGACGACATCTTCTGCGTCCACGGAGGTCCGCCTTCCAAACCCCCCATTGATTGCACCCCCTTCCACCGCTGACACTCCTCACCAGGATTATCCCCATCCATCCACTCAATCGACCAAATCAAAGTAATAGACCGATTCCGCGAGATCCCCCACGAGGGCCCCATGGCGGACCTTGTCTGGTCCGATCCCGACCCAGAACGTGACGAGTTCTCACTCTCCCCGCGCGGAGCCGGGTACACCTTCGGCGCCCAGGTGGTCAAAAAGTTCTTGGAAGTCAACAATCAATCGCATATCCTCCGAGCGCACCAACTGTGTCAAGAAGGATACCAAGTACTGTACGAAGATCGATTATCCACCGTATGGAGTGCGCCCAACTACTGCTACCGGTGCGGTAATATGGCCAGTGTCCTAGAGGTTAACGACAAGGGAGAGAGATTCTTTAATGTTTTTGAGGCAGCGCCGGAGAATAGTGAGCAAAGAGACGCGGCGCAACAACAGGACAAGGGGGTCGTTGTGGAGTATTTCTTGTAGACGTTTCTTGGGCGGTGGGGTGTTTGGGATGTTTTTTTTTATGTTTTTTTTGTTTGGTTTTTTCCTTTCATCCATGTGGTGGATATGACTTAGGCTGCATCTGTACACTTTCAGGATCCCGCGATTATATACCTATACAGTAGACTCTCACTCATAACGGTTTGCATTGTAAGGGGTACTAATTCTCAGTCTGTACTTTAGCATATGTAGTGCAAGTTTTTTTTCGTGTTTTTCAGAGGTCTAGACCATGTTTCGATGATACCATCTGCGAACGTTACTACTGATTATCATGTCAAATTAAGCCCGGCTGCGAGCTAGCTACCAATAGAAGTATTCTGGATATCTAAGTTAGATAAGATATATTGGACATCTTGGTACGGCTATTCCCTGTATCATGGAAACAAGAGATTGGTGCTTCCAAAGCTTTATAATTTACAGGACATCTTTGAGGACAATCCCTCAAGAATGATCTACCCTAGCCCCGGATAATACTGGGAAGTCCGGGCGATCTGCCTAACACGGAGCAAACGATTCATCACACGTAAACGGCACCGAACCAGACCCCATGAGTAAGCCTCCTCTGCCCAAGGGGTATCAAATCTTTGAAACACAACGAAATACTAAAGCCCCCAGTTAGCACTAAGAGATTCATAGACAATCTAGAGAAAGGGAGTAAATATGTGCTTTTCTGACACTCGCCCTAGTTACGTGTAGTTAATACAAGCATTGTCAAGCTGACTTCCGAATTCATAGTCAAAGGCAACCCGTCAAGCCCAGCCAGGTCGTAGGCCAAAATACTTCCCGTCCATTCTGGCATCTTGTTACAACGCAGCTAGGAACGAAACTTGTAAAAGTAGCTGGAATCAAGAGTGTGTATGCGGGGATATTAGCTTTGGCTAGAGATTCCATTTGTTTTTTCTTACCCTACTTAATCTTGGTCTTCCAGATAGCGAGATGTCCGTGACACAATTGCGGATGAAATCTTCTTGGCTAGACAGCGCCAACATCGATTACAAGGCTTAAGACGCTGCTATGTGTGTGGGTGGGTGGGGTTTACCTTTTCGCAGGTGGAGACAAACCACATACTTTCGAATTCTTTCGGCACTGAAGAAGGAGTCGGCGGCGTTGATGGGGCGGAGGGTCAATGGTCATGCTCTCCCACTACAACTTTAACTTCGCCTTCTTGAAATATGTTTAGAAACACAATTGCAAAGAACAGCCTCTATTAAACCGCACCAACGCATTACATCCTATCCCCCAAAAGACAAAGCTCCCGAGGGCATGTTTGACGTCTTTCTTCACTATACAAATTTAACTCAACGAAGGAACCAGCCAATCAATCAGAACATGTGTGCGATTATTTTTGGTATTTCAGATATTGTCATAGCCTCCGGACTGCATACAGTTAATGAGATACCAATCAACCAATCAATCAGAACATGTGTGCGCACGCCACAGCAATTCCGCTGCGCGAGTGATACCCTATGATCTCATCCCTTGGCTTTGGCCTTTGCCGACCCTCTGGACTAGTACGTGAAGACACAAGGCTACATCTGCAAAGCTCCTCCTCCTCCCTACCAAGTATTTCATACCAGCACTCTGCTTCCATCAGAGCAAGGCTACACAGACAGCCTACCACGGCGAAGCCAAAAGGGCAAGTGGAAAAGACACACAGCAGCGTCACAAACTATCACTCGCACATCCCCGAGCGTCCCGACACCCGATATGAGATAGATACGATAGGCCGCCTGGAATTACCCCTCCTCCAGATAGATACATGTACTTATTATATATCTCCCCCTTCCCCCCTTCCCCCCTTTCCCCCCCCCCCCCAAAAAAAAAAAAAAAAAAAAAAACCCGCTCCCCACTACTACCTCCACAGCAGCAGCAGCAACGGACAAAGGATAACACCCACCAGTGCAGGCCCCAGAAATGAATATCCCGATTTCATGATATCGTAAATACATAAACGCGTTCCTCCCTTCCCATCCCTCTGCCTTCCTGCCTTAATTCTCTTCCTGCCTTAATTCTCTTCCTGCCTTAATTCTCTTCCTGCCTTTCCTTCCCTCACACGCGCGCGCGATTAATATCCATCCACCCCACCCCACCCCATCCGTCCAAAGGAAAAAGGAAGAAAAGAGAAAGAGAAAGAAGCCCCACTCCCCCGCCCCCAAGAAAAAACAGAACCAAAAACCACCCGCAGGGATACCACAGCTACAGCAGCTAGCTAGCTAGCAGATATCAAACAAACCGCCGCCGCCGCCGCCGCCGCCGAACTAATCACTACGTAATAAACAAATTGACCAGAAAAATAAGAAGAAGGATGATGAATATAGAGAAGATATTGGAAAAAAAACATAATAAAACTCCAAACCCAGGATATAGAGAAAAATGAATAGAATGGGGCAAAAGAAATACCCGCCCACGGGGGAGGGGGGGGGAGGCGTGTGCCGGATGCAATATAGACAACATAACCCATACTCAAAAAAGACCAACCAACCAACCACTCGAAAACAAGTAAAAAAACAGAAAGGAAACGAGGGAACACGCATGTGCTTACACAAACACACAAACATACAAACACATACACAAAATACTACAATTACCGCGACCGCAGCAGTAGTCAAAAACCCCAACTAGTGAAAAAAGAAGAAAAAAGAAAAAAAAGTAAAGTAAAACGAAAGCCAAGGGAAAAAAAAACTACTTATCCTCATCATCGTCATCATTCAGCTTCTTAATCTTTACCCTACCCATCCACGCCATGGCACCATCCTTCCTCTTCGGCTTCTCCATCCCCGCCTCGTTATACCACTGCAGCCGCAGCACCTCATCGTCTCTTGCCGCAATCACAAAAATCGCAACCTACACCACAAAACATTGTCAGCAATCCCTCACTTTCCACCGAGAATAAAAAGACACATACCCCAACGGCATTCCAGAAATCCAGCGTGACATCTGAAAAGTCCACGACGAGCAGCGTCCGCGTGGGCGCCTGGCGGTTGCGGGCGTCGAGGGTGATGAGCGCAACGACGCACCCGGCAACGGCCATGCCGTACACGGTGGAGGGGAATCCAGAATCGACGTCGTGACCGGCGGCGATTAGTCGGGCTTCTTCGGCACGGTATTCGGCGGCAAGGTCGTGGAGTTTCTAGTATGTAATGTTAGCGATGTGCCAGTCTCCGGGGGAGAAAAAATAGTTACCTTATCCATCCTCTGCTCGCAATGCTCAGCGCCCCGTTCTTGCGAGCACGAAATTGCGATCATTGGCTCTATGTGTTTATTATCTGCCACAACCACCCATTAGCCCTCCTACCCCCCAAAACAGAAACAACCTCTCAAAACATACCCAAAGCCGCATCCTCCACCGCCCAGCAAATATATCTCCTCAGCACACTCAAAATGCGCCCCTCAACCTCCCGTCTCGTCTCCAACTTGCTCCTCACTCCCGCCCCCAAGTTAACCATCGCCTGGAACGCCGCCGTCGCCGCAAACGTGCCCTCCGGCGCTATCCCCTCAATGACGGCCGAATCATCCGGGCCCTGCTGAAATAGATTATCGGGCATAGTTGCGAAATCCACCTGCCAGTGAGCGGGCATCAGCGGCTCGAGCCCGCGCCGCCGGATGCGCTGGAACAGTGTCGCCTCGTCATTGCTGAAGCCCTCGCGGCGGAGCTCGTCCGTTTCCTGCTCGGACGTTGTGCTGACGACGGAGGAGCCGTCTTCGACCGGGAGGGAGAGCCGCGAGCGGCGCTTTGGCTTTGCGGGTGCGGGGGAAAGCAGGGTGAGCGTTGTGATGGACTCGGTGATTGATGTTGCGGGCGTGGGGAGCTGCTTGGGGGGTGTGCGGGATTCGGACTTGACGGCTGGCGGTGTGGTGGTGGAGGGGTTGCGGGGGGCGCGGACGAGCGGGGAACGGGTGCTGGTGGAGGGGCCGAGGGAGTGTCGGGTGCGTTTGCGGAGGTGGGGGGAGGTGGTGGAGGGGTGGCTGTCGGAGGTGCGGGGACGCTTGGGGCGTGTAGTGGTTGAGGCGGGGGTGCTGGCGCGGCTAGTGGGCTCACTTTTGATGCGGACTTTGGGGTCCTTGTCTGATGATGTTGTTGTTGGAGGTGTAGGTGTAGATGTAGATGTAGATGTAGTTGTAGCAGCAGTAGACTCCCTCGGCTCGCTAGTAGTAGTAGCAGTGGTGGTGGTGGTTGTTTTGCCCTGTGCCGGCTTCTCGTTCTCGGGCGCCGCTCGGTCTGGCCCGGCGGTGGTGGTTGTCGTTGTCGTTGTCGCTGTCACCTCGATGGCACGCACCTCTACGGGAGCTGCGGCGGGCTTTTTCCGGGAGAACATTGCGGCCCACATCGTGTTTGCCTGTTTGCCTGTGAGGGAGGGGTGCTTGCAGCAGGTGTGATGCAGTTGGGGGGGGGGGGGGGGGGTGTTCAGTCGTGATGCTGCAATGCGCGTGTGTAAGGGAAGTGGAAGCGGAGGAGAAGGAGAGGATGTAGATGCCGTGGATGCTGCTGGTAAGTATGGATGGGGGAAGAGGAGGGATGGGGGATGTAGACAGTCCGTCAGTCCGTCAGTCGTGGTTGTGGATGGATGTGGTTGTGGGTGGTGATGTTGACGAATAGGAAGAGGATGTGTGAAGGTGAAGATATGGATGTGGATGTGGACGTATGGGATGTATGGGATGTATGGGATGTAGAGGCTGTGATGTGGGGAATGGCTTCTTCCCGGGTGACTGATATTATTCCTAGCTTAGTTGCTGTGATACCGCCCACATATGTGTGATACAATGCTCTGCTGCTGCCTCTGCCAGTGTTGCTGCTGCTGCTGCATTCACACTCACTCGGGGTCAGTCAGTCAAGGGTTTGTGGAGATTGGTGCTTTGAACGGGTATGGATATGGATTATGGATATGGATTATGGATATGGATATGGAATGAGGCTCTCTGCCAGGACTTTCTCTTTCCCAGAAACCAAGCAAGCGCGGGATCAAGAGCGGAAATTCGAGGAAACGAAGCAATTTATCTATCTACTCATAGCCGCTGAGGCTTCGGAACATGCAGATCAAACCATCTACCACTGGCTGGCTGTTGTTGGTCTGTCTGCAGAAACAAAGGGAAGGGTAAAAAAAACGGATCTGGACCGCAAACAGCACTCGATCTGTGGATCTACATATCACATCAATGTCCACAAGAACCAACCGGCTCTAATTTCTAAATGATTGTTTTTGATTAATAACTGCCCCATTGCCATAGGAGCTGTTGCAATGAGAATGTAACAGGGTATCATTCTAGAGAGAGAGTATCCCTCTCTTCTCTTTCACTCTCCCCTCTTCTGCACGAAAAAACCAGCACCAGATCGAACCGATTCTCGGCGTGCAGATACACAGTCGACGTGGCTGGCCCGCCCAGGTCCCTGCCAAGGTGCCAGCAAGATGGGCCCCAGGATGGATGGGTGGATGGGGGCAATTGACGGACTGACAGAGTAGAGACACCGGGCCCTGCGTGGGATTGAGCAATCCCAATCGGCGCTGAGAACTGCCAGCGTCTACTCCAAGATCCAAGCCCTCGAGAGGCATCCACAGAGCACGATGCAAATGCTTGTCATGACTTCTACATATTTCCATCCTGTCGTGAGCCGGAGTGGGAATGGACAGGGATGCCTGCTACTAATCCGTGCTTACTCAACGCCGTTCTTGGGGCCTCGTAGTTAAACCACAAGTTGTAAGCCTTGTCTAAGGCCCGTCGACAATAGCTCCGAGAAGCTCTCACTCAGCTTCTCTTGTCTACTACAATCCACCATCATGGACATCATCAGATCTGCATACTCGTTCGCATTCTCCTCGCACTCACGGCCACCCCGATGGCTTCTCTGCCCGCTGCTATTCGTAGAGGCCTTCCTCTGCACCCTCATAATCAAGAAGGTCCCATGTAAGCAATCAACCGGCGACAGGAGCAAGTGAAATCTGGCCTCCACTAACACTTCCTCCCCCGCCCCCACCAGACACCGAAATTGACTGGAAGGCCTACATGGAGCAAGTCGCGCAGTACCAGGCCGGCGAGCGCGACTACGCCCTCATCAAGGGCGGCACTGGCCCCCTCGTCTACCCAGCGGGCCACGTCTACATATACTCGTTCCTGTCCGACCTCACCCACCAGGGGAAGGACATCGTGACGGCGCAGTACCTGTTCATGGGCCTGTACCTCGCGACGCTGGCAATGGTGTTCATGGTGTACCGCGAAGCTAGAGTAATGACATCTGTACCTAAGAAGCCCACATTAATAAAACACAATAATAACCAGAGAGCAATTCTTGCGTGAAAATCTTCCAGGCGCCCGTCTACATCCTCCCGCTGCTGGCGCTCTCAAAGCGCCTGCACAGCATCTACCTCCTCCGCCTCTTCAACGACCCATTCTCCATCTTCCTCCTCTTCGCCGCCATATACTGCTGGCAGAAGCGCCAGTGGACCCTCGGGTCCGCGGCCTACTCGCTCAGCGTCGGCATCAAGATGAACACCCTCCTCGCGCTCCCGGCCGTCGGCGTCATATATCTGCTCGCCTGCGGCAGGGACAAGGCCATCAAGCAGGCCGTGATCATGGCGCAGATCCAGTTCCTCCTCGGAACACCGTTCCTGGGCTCCGCGCCGAAGAGCTACGTCACAAAGGCTTTCGAGTTCTCGAGACAGTTTATGTTCAAGTGGACCGTGAATTGGCGCTTTGTGGGCGAGGAGACGTTCCTGTCGCGGAAGTTCTCGCTCGGCCTGTTGGCGGTGCACGCAGTGCTCTTATTCGGCTTCCTCGTCACCCGCTGGAAGAAGTAACATTCCCCGCCCCCACACCCACTTTCTAGCCGGAAAACTAACCCCCCCGCAGACCCTCACAGCGCAGCTTCACCTCCTTCCTCGCCCTAATCGTCGACCCCGCCACGGGCCTCGAAGACCACCAGATCTCGCAGCGCGTTAGCCCGCGGTACATCCTCACCTCCGTACTCACGGCCAACGCAATCGGCATGCTGTGTGCGCGCTCGCTGCACTACCAGTTCTACAGCTGGCTCGCGTGGGGGACGCCGTATCTGCTGTGGAGGAGCGGGCTGGGGCCGTTCTGGGTCGCCGGGCTGTGGGCGGCGCAGGAGTGGGCGTGGAATGTGTATCCGAGCACGAACGAGAGCTCGGGGGCGGTGGTGGGGGTGCTGGCGCTGATGGTGGTGGGGAGTTGGTGGGGGAGTAGGGGGGAGGTGGAGGAGGGGGTGGAGTTGGATGATGAGGATGAGGAGAGTGGTAGTGAGGATGAGGGTGAAGGTGCGGAGGGGAGGAAGGCGAAGTAGAGTGAGAGGGGTGGTGTGGGTGGAGGAGGGATACTGGTTGAGTAGGGTAGTGGTAATTTTTGAGTGCCGGTTTTGCGGTTCTTAGGTAGACTAGGCTATAATTAAGAGTCGATCTCAAGGCGGACTAATCGGGAATGAGTTTTGATATCTATTTTATAGCTGTAACCCAGAGTAATTCCCTGTTGCAAAGACAATTTTAAAAGTTTGTTGTATTGCTAGAAGCTCACTGTGCATGCTGTGGCTACATTGATGAACCGCATATACTTCGGGGATGCTAAGAATCCGGTAACGTAATATGATATGCCTCAAGCTTCAATTCGAAGCCCTATATGGCCGCGGCATGAACCCCGGAATGGTTATGCCTACAAATTCGAGCCTGCTTCCGGTTCTGTGGTTGACCCGGCCAGGCTCTACGCTGCCCAGAAGGTCAATGATGGGGCGTGCATGTGTCCCTGCCAAGCAAACCTCACCATAACCAATGATCATATTTCACTATCTTGGCACGTCCAGGATCCCACCTCACCCCAAAAAACTTAACCTCCAACCCCGACACCAGCCCCGACACCAGCTACAACCCCACCACTCAGAACCCACCATCCACAATGCCCCGCGCCGCCGCCTCCCGCCGCGCCCTCACCGCCATCGACACGCTCACCACCACGCCGCCCGACACCCTCCCGCCCGCGCACATCATCTGCCGCATCATCGCCTCCGCCGGCAACAACATCTACCGCCTGCTCACGCCCACCGACGCAAAGACCGAGATCCTCGCGGAGCTGCCGACGATGTTCCGTGGCAAGGTGTGGCTCAAGCGCGGCGGCTATGTGGTGGTGGATACGGGCGCGTTTGGGGAGCGCGAGAATAAGCTGGGTGGAGAGATTGTGAATGTGGTTAGGGATGAGAGGGAGTGGAGGAAGGAGGGGTATTGGTAGGTTTTTGCTTTCTTTTTGTGGGCTTGTGGGGAAGTGGGGGAGAGGGGGAGGGGTGGTGGTGTGGATGGGGTGCTGATTGTGGGGTGGGGTGGGGTGGGCAGGCCGAAACAGTTCCCGAAGGAGGAGGAGCTGGAGGATAGTGAGGAGAGTGAGGAGGAGTCGACGGTGGGGAAGATGCCGCCGGGATCGGACGATGAGGAGTGAGTGTGTGGTAAGTTAGGGAATGTGGAGAATGCAAAAAAAGGCATTTTTATAGACATCAGTACCATCCATGCACGAGAATCGGTCCTGGAAAAGCAAAGCTGGGCATAGTGACTACTAGCTGGGCATGAGGTATTCGGGGCTGGGCTAGCTTGAGAATATATTGGCCTCGAGACTTTTGGAACTGGGGATGTATTGGGGGGGGGGGGGGGGGCTAGCTATGGTTAACGGTAATTTTTAGGATTTAGGGGGTTAGATAGCGAGAATTCAGTGGGCTGTTTTGCTGGTTTGGGTCTTTCGTTGGCACTCCCGGGGCACGATCGCGGGATGACAACCAGCTATATCTGCTCGAGGGACCATTTGTCACTTTTCTAAATCGGATAGGATAACCCATCTATTCACTCCCCCCACCACCACCAGCACCCCCGGCATCAGAGCGCTGGACTCATGCCATTCTTTGACACTGTACATTCCCACAATCATTCGTTTAACTCTATTCTTCTAGTAGTCAATATTTGCATGAGTTTCTTGTCCTTCTCGAAACCCGTATTTCCGATTCCCCTCATTCACGTGAATCTCTCATAGGCCATCACGTATGAATTAAACAAAAAAAAAAATCATGGGCCATCACTCATCACTCTCATTATCCGAGTGATTTCTTGTGAGTCAAATTGAACAATTTACGATTCAAGCTCTAATCTAGACAGAGAAGATTCGGGCAGATGCAAGCCTAAGCTATCCTAGGCCTTATGTTGGGACCAGGTTAATCGAACCAGAACGACCGCCTTTGGGTAATGGGCGTGCTGTGTATCAGGTAATGAGGAAGGAATGTCCGTGCACGTGGTCCGGGAGAGTACATCAACTTAAAAGGCGGCTTCCGTTCTTTTCTCGGGGCTCTATG